TACGGGCGACAATAATGGTCGCCCCCAGCGGTACTTCCGCTAGGGGCGACAATAATGGTGGCCTCCAGCGGTACGCACGTTAATATATACCGCTAGGGGCGAAAAAGGGCGCCCCCAGCGGTACAAGCGTTATACCGCTAGGGGCGACAATAATGGTCGCCCCCAGCGGTACGCGCGTTAATATATACCGCTAGGGGCGACAATAACGGTCGCCCCCAGCGGTACTACCGCTAGGGGCGACAATAATTGTCGCCCCCAGCGGTACGCACGTTAATATATACCGCTAGGGGCGACAATAACGGTCGCCCCCAGCGGTATACCGCTAGGGGCGACAATAACGGTCGCCCCCAGCGGTATACCGCTAGGGGCGACAATAATGGTCGCCCCTAGCGGTACGCGCGTTAATATATACCGCTAGGGGCGACAATAATGGTCGCCCCCAGCTGTACTACCGCTAGGGGCGACAAAAATGGTTGCCCCCAGCGGTACGCGCGTTAATATATACCGCTAGGGGCGACAATAACGGTCGCCCCCAGCAGTATACCGCTAGGGGCGACAATAATGGTCGCCCCTAGCGGTACGCGCGTTAATATATACCGCTAGGGGCGACAATAACGGTCGCCCCCAGCGGTATACCGCTAGGGGCGACAATAATGGTCGCCCCTAGCGGTACGCGCGTTAATATATACCGCTAGGGGCGACAATAACGGTCGCCCCCAGCTGTATACCGCTAGGGGCGACAATAATTGTCGCCCCCAGCGGTACGCGCGTTAATATATACCGCTAGGGGCGACAATAACGGTCGCCCCCAGCGGTACAAGCGTTATACCGCTAGGGGCGACAAAAATGGTCGCCCCCAGCGGTACGCGCGTTAATATATACCGCTGGGGGCGACAATAATGGTCGCCTCCAGCGGTACGCGCGTTAATATATACCGCTAGGGGCGACAATAATGGTCGCCCCCAGCGGTACGCGCGTTAATATATACCGCTTGGGGCGACAATAATGGTCACCCCAGCTGTACTACCGCTAGGGGCGACAACAATGGTCGCCCCCAGCGGTACGCGCGTTAATATATACCGCTAGGGGCGACAATAACGGTCGCCCCCAGCAGTATACCGCTAGGGGCGACAATAATGGTCGCCCCTAGCGGTACGCGCGTTAATATATACCGCTAGGGGCGACAATAATGGTCGCCCCCAGCTGTACTACCGCTAGGGGCGACAATAATGGTCGCCTCCAGCGGTACGCGCGTTAATATATACCGCTAGGGGCGACAATAACGGTCGCCCCCAGCGGTATACCGCTAGGGGCGACAATAATGGTCGCCCCTAGCGGTACGCGCGTTAATATATACCGCTAGGGGCGACAATAATGGTCGCCCCCAGCTGTACTACCGCTAGGGGCGACAAAAATGGTTGCCCCCAGCGGTACGCGCGTTAATATATACCGCTAGGGGCGACAATAACGGTCGCCCCCAGCGGTACGCGCGTTTTTCTATTGTCATTCAGTACCTCTAGGGGCGACTATTAATGGGCGCCCCCAGCGGCCAGTACCGCTACGGGCGACTATTAATTGTCGCCCCTAGAGGTACGCGCGTTTCCTATTTTATTGATATGGTCGCCCGCATAGCGGTACGCGCGTTTTGCTATCGTCAGCTGTTCCTCTATGGGCGATCTTATAGTATTTAATTGTTTTATTGATCAATTTCACAAAACAACAAACGATGCAAGATTTACGAGATTTCAATTACCAAATCGATTTATTTACATAAAAATGTCAAAATTGTATATTATATATATACATGTATCTACAATTGATATGGGTATCAAAACGGCACAGCAATAAGTGGTTATGTACAAATATTTTCAAATTTAACAAAAAATGTTAAAGATACAGGTTTTATCAAAATAAAGGTAATGCAAAACTAATGGCTCATTTTGTGATAGTTACGAACTTAAACTGTCAAAGTGGTCTTATATTAAATGGGGATTCGTTAGGTTTCAATGAATATCATATTTCCATCTCTCCAGTCACGGATGACTTAGGACCACTGATTTCAAAACAAAGACCAAAACGCTCCTTTTCAAAGTTGGCCAAATTAGGGCCCGACTCAATTTATACCCGGGCGAGTTCCAGACAAGTCACAAATAGAATCATTCACTTTGTCCAGAAGAAACTCTACATTTGCCCTGGACATATTCCGGGAAAATTGTCTTTAGCAACTGCTTGACTCGCCATACTTTATTGCAGGGAAATTGTTCAGAATCCTACAACTTATACAGATACAATGTCAGCAATTTGTCTGGAACTCGTCCAGGATATAAACTGACATGGACCCTTATGTACTATAGATTTTGTTTTTAAATCGACAAATGTCTAGCGATACAAAATATTGAAATGAGACATCATGCAACAACTTATTAAAACCTCTCATGTTTAGACAATATCTGCAAATACTTCGGTGGAACCTACCATATCTTTTTTCCTTCCCTAAATCAAAAGATTTAGGTTCTGCGTGGTTTGCTTAGTTAAGTAGGTTGGGGCATGGATCCTCTACAGAAGGATAAACGACTCATCTGAGCTTGCGTAAAAATGCACGGAACAGATTGTCTACATGCGTGATGTGCTGCTTCTGCGCATAGAACAACGAATAGAACATGTAGATCAATGCGCTTGCCATGAATCCCGACAGCTGGCACTGGCCTAAATGAAATCTCGTTGAAATCTGTCAGAAATTTGTGTGCAGTCACACGCCGAGTCTTGCATACACGGGCCGTATCATGCATGTATGGTAACCAGAAATTTAGGGAAGTGGTTTATCCTTGTGTAGAGGATCAGTGGTTGGGGTAACCAGAAACACTGGTCTTTTTTCTTAGCCTATGGAAAACACATTGGTATTGGTAGCTCCATTACTAAGTCAAACTTCACATCAAGAGAGAATTTAAAGCATTCAAAATAAGTAACCAAGTTTAAAAATTTGCAAAAAAATAATGTAAAATGAAGAAGCTAGGATTTGTTGATAAGTTATGAATATCATTGTGAATATCGATCATCAGGTTTAAATTGGTAACAAGTTGAAAAGATTAAGCACATTTCACTGAATAACAACTGGGACTCCTAACACTTTTCATATTTCAAGAACCACTTTTAAAAAAACTGTGCGAAATTTCTCAGAATTTCTAACCGGCCTATTGAAGGGAATGGTAGCACCAGTATCACAGCCAGAGGAAGGTACACTAAAGGTTTGCGATATTTTCCTTAAGAAACTTCTTTTTCCCTTCGATTCAAATAATCCTTAAGATAAATTTGAAGAAGATAAACAGTAGATACGAAATCGGCATGATTTGAACAAAGTTCTTTCGATTTATAGAAACTCATCCCACTAACTACTAGGCTATTACATAGCTGCCAACATTTCAAAATCCCAATTAGTAATCAACCCGCGCGGTCATTTTCAACTTCTCGTTTTATCGAAAGCTTTACCAACATCGAGTACAGGTACATGGTTTACATGTACACATACATGTGCATACCCTTCTTGTTGTGAATAATAATGTACTGTAGGCCAAAAGATAATTAAAAAAAAAAAAAAAAAATTAAATTTTTTTTTTTAAAATTAATTTTGTTTTAATGTCTGCATTTGTTTGTGGAAGTCAAATAAATAATAAAATCAATAACATGTGCGCATATTTTTTTGGAGATGCATGCTATCGATGTTGAGTTTCGAGTTCGTATCATGTTTTTACACACAATGATCTATGGCCACCGTATGCAATAGAAATATCCCGCCAACATACCTTGCAAACGCATGCTAATTTATCTTTTCTGTCCGTTGTGACAAACTAAAACTCTATTACCAATTATTCCAACCATACTCTTATTAAATTCCATGATTAAAATCTCGCACTGATGGGTCTCATCCCGGCAATAAGCGACTAAATGTGCTCACGATCGTCACTGAAAAGTACTCACATACAGTACACACAACCACACATCCACGAGATGCACACAAATGACACACCATTGAAAAATAGTTTTAGTCTGGTCCTCAAGTACTCCACTGCGCACACTGCATTGATGTCTACCAGGTGCTTGACTGCATTCTTATTAGACTTGTCACCAGTCCATCCATTATCGCGACATTTCGCCAGAAGTTTTCGGTCAAAAACGATACTTTACATTTTTTTTTCTTCGTTAGGTAGAAAATGGGAAATTCGTAATGTTTTAGTGGCAAATCGTATTTTCGTAATTTAACAAACAATTCGTAATAATTACGAAAAAATCGTACTAGTTGGCAGCTATGCTATTATGTCAACCTGACAACGTCCATTCTTTAAATTCCCGTAATGTCGCTAGTCAATTAAGTAATTGACCTATCGTGTAGAATCGCAACAGAATCAAGTAAACGCAGCTTGTGAAATAATGTCCAATTACATGATATACAAATGGTCGTGGAAGGTGCAAAATCTGAGACAAACAAAAGTTAGTGTGCAAAAATTACCTAGGGTTGTCTAAGGGGCGTGCTAACTCACAAACAGCGATAGGTCAATTATGCTGTGACGTCATTGTTCTTTCCTCATGAATAAACATAATACTCCTTAGGTTACTGATAAAAAGTGTTCCTTCCTCCGGGTGTGATACTGGCGTACTGCAGGTGATAGTCTCTTGAAAAGTGAGTTACATTGCATGAATGACTTACTCACACAAAGCTGTTTCCTCACTTGAAAATGTTGACACGTGCACATGATCTTGAACTCAGACACAGATAATCAAACTCCAAAACGTTAATATACACAGGATTCCGATACCAGTCTATACAGATAATCAAACGGCAGAATAAATACACGAATAATAAAATCCACTTTGGCTCAAAAATGTTCAGCAGAGGATCCTGAAAAAGTTTTACAATAATCCAACTGCAGCAGAGTATTGGTGGCAGCGCAGTGGGGGCAACAGCAATAGCATGAACACGTGAACACAAAGCTCCTGAAACCCATCTACACAGATACTCCGATTGCAACATCGTCTTTGAGTAACGCAGCATTCGCAGCGGCATGCACCATACTCGCTGCCGTTCCATCTAACTGATCTGTCAAGAAGGAGCTGATTGTGTTGATAGCCTGATCCATCTCTGTCTGTAAGGATTCCACACGCTGGCTGTTCTCTGCCGACATCTCCTCAAATCGCATCAATTCGTTCTGGTTGAAGAGCCCTCGGATGTGGTAGTAGCGCACCAAGGCATGGTGAAGACGCAGCTGGAGACCACTCAGCTGAGTGAAAATAAGGAGAAAATTTAAAATTAATACAAGGTAATAAAATGGAAACCCCTCAGAAGGAGTCAAGTTATCATCCAGAAACCATTTACCTATAACTCACCACTGTAACCTTTACCTTTGACCTTCTGACCCCCAAACCAATCCCAACTTGCCTGTACCCAAGGGCAACCCCCTTCCGAAGTTGGACACCAAATCTTATTTCCAACTCAAGTTATCATCCGGAAACCATTAACTCACCACTGTGACATTGACCTTTGGCCTTGTGACCCCCAAAAGAATCCCAACTTTCCTGTACCCAAGGGCAACCCCCTACCAAAGTTAGACACCAAAATCTTATTTCTAACTCAAGTCATCGCCCGGAAACCATTAACCTTTATCTCACCAGGGTGACGGTGGCCTTTGACCTTTTGACCATCAAACCAATGCCAATTTAATATCCCCAAAGACAACTCCCTACCGAAGTTACACTCCCAAATGCATAGCTGCCAACTGTTACTAATTTTTCGTAATTATTACGAATTGTTTGTTAAATTACGAAAATACGATTTGCCACTAAAACATTACGAATTTCCCATTTTCTACCTAATGAAAAAAAAAATACTTGTAAAGTATCGTTTTTGACCGAAAACTTCTGGCGAAATGTCGCGATAATGGATGGACTGGTGACAAGTCTAATAAGAATGCAGTCAAGCACCTGATAGACATCAATGCAGTGTGCGCAGTGGAGTACTTGAGGACCAGACTAAAACTATTTTTCAATGGTGTGTCATTTGTGTGCATCTCGTGGATGTGTGGTTGTGTGTACTGTATGTGAGTACTTTTCAGTGACGATCGTGAGCACATTTGGTCGCTTTTTGCCGGGTTGAGACCCATCAGTGCGACAATTTAATCATGGAATTTAATAAGAGTATGGTTGGAATAATTGGTATTACAGTTTGAGTTTGTCACAACGTCCAGAAAAGATAAATCAGCATGCGTTTGCAAGGTATGTTGGCGGGATATTTCTATTGCATACGGTCATGACGGTGGCTCTAAATCATTGTGTGTAAAAACATTGATACGAACTCGAAACTCCACATCGATAGCATGCATCTCCAAAAAAATATGCGCATATTTTATTATTGTTATTATTTATTTGACTCCAACAAACAAATACAGACATTTAAAAAAATAAATTTAAAAAAAAAAAAATAATAATTTTTTTTTTTTTAATTATCTTTTGGCCTACATTACATTATTATTCTCAAGAAGAAGGGTATGCACATGTATGTGTACATGTAAACCATGTACCTGTACTCGATGTTGGTAAAGCTTTTGATAAAACGAGCAGTTGAAAATGACCGCGCGGGTTGATTACTAATTGGGATTTTGAAATGTTGGCAGCTATGCAAATGACATTTCTAACGCAAGTTATCATCCGGAAACAAAGCTGCCGGGATGGAAACCCCGCCCCCTTCCCAAGGCCAACCCCCTACAATTTCGTGAATTTAGCCTATTAGCTAGTACTGTGCACTATTTGCACCTGTATTCCTTAATGCAGGCTTCCAGGCTAAAACAACCCTCTAGGCTGATACAAATTCAACAATTTCGCAATAGCCTGTAGGCCAGTACTAAGTACTGTTTGTACCTGTTTGTGGTCCTTGATGCTGGCTTCCAGGCTAATACGACCCTCTAAGCTATCAAGAAGTTGTTCTTTCATCTTGAGATGCTCCTGCTGTTTCAGCCTGTACTGATGCGCCAACTCCTTGTTCTCTCGCAGACTTTCCCTCAAGTCACTCTGTAGAGAGAAGCGGCAATCCTTAAACATGTACAACATCTAGTTTTCTGTCTTGAAAACTTTCATTTCTAACAAACTAAAAGGAGAAAAATGTTGTCAAGACTGATAGTGCATGTGAAGATTTATAAATTCTAATGAGAGCAAAAAGTCTTCAGTGCATTATGAAAAGGTAAATCAATTTCTGCAAGCATTCTTTGAAGCATGAAAACAAAACTTGTCTTGTCCAGAAAGATAAAGGGAGAACACTAAATTCTCTGTTGTCCTCGATCGTTCATCTTTTGTTGAAACGGACCTCCATCGTGAGTTTGTGTGCTTAGTCTATGGGAGAGTGTTATATTACAGCGAAAAAGAGAAAAACAATGCCTTGTCCTCGAGAGTTATATAAAGTATGACTGTGTGTGAGTCACTCAGTCAGTCAGTCAGTATGTGCACGTCAGTCAGTGTGGATGTACTTTACACACACCCCAAGGACAACAGATTCTTTGTTGTCCTTGAGCGTTCATCTTTTGTTGAAAACAGTCCTGGATTGTTTGTTTGTGTGCCTAGTCTATGGGAGAGTGCCACATTACAGGGACAAAGGGAAAGACAATGTCTTGTCCTTGAGAGTTACGTAAAGTACGACTGTGTGTGCATCAGTCAGTCAGTCAGAAAGTGTGTCCGTTTGTCGGGGAGTCAGTCACAACAGTCAGTCATAACAGTCAATCAGTTACAATAGTCAGTCAGTCACAATAGTCAGTCACTGACTTAGTCCTAGGGGAGTCAGTCAGTTAGTCAGCCCGTCAATTCGGGGAGTCAGTCACAACAGTCAGTTTTATAGTCAGGGACTTTGTCAGTCGGAGTCCAATATGCTGACCCTTCAGGTCCAGCCACACTCCCACTGATTATCATGCATTTCCTACCTCTAGCTGTGCCAGCATCTCCCTCCTTGCCTTCATATGTTCTAGATGTTTACTCCCGCCTTCCTCCATTCGCTGGGTGACCTGGGTCAATGAATCCTGCAGATCATCCTGCTGCTTCTGACCCGACTTCACCTGGATTGTTAGCTCCTCCAAATCTTCACTGTTTACAGAGAAAAACCAAATATTATCAACTATGAGTCCAGGCATTACCAAAATATTTAAATACATAAAGTCAATTATTTATTTTTCAACTGATTCCAGAAACTTTGTTTTGACACAACTTCTGAAACTGAAAGTAACGTTGCGGTTATATCATGGAGGAAAGTTTGATATTTTGGATAACAGTACAGTCTTTGCCAAAAGATCCAAGTAAATAATATTTACTATAAAGCCGAATGTCAGGACAGTGTAGTTTAACACAAAATCTGAAATAAAAACCGACTTTGGGTTATACTGTATGGAACAATTGTTTCATTTTACAATGGGAATTATACAGGGTGACATTTTTTTGGTCACTGTACAAAATGGGAAGTGTTTCAGATGTTATTATAAGAAAATTATTAAGAATTGGAGAAATATTGGTTATTTTTCTTCAGATCTTATTTCTGCTTCTTGTTTGTCAATTTTGGGGGTGAAATTAAGCCACACTTGGCTTTGATTCATTGGCATGATAAAATGAAACAACTTTCAACATCTGTGCAGTGGAACCTATATTTTCTACATCCTTTAATACAGATGCACCCTTCGGGTGTCCAAAAAACCATGTCCCACATCAAAGCTGTCAACAGTAAACGTTTTGGAATACTTACGTTAATTCAGCGATGGTCTCCTCTGTACTTGTGATGACTTTAAGCATGACACTCTGTGACTTGGCCATATCGGCAAGCTTCTTGTTGATCAAGTCGGTGCGGTAAGCCATGTAGTCCAGTCGCTTTGAAGCGTTCAATATCTCCTTCTGCAAAGACCAGTTAATCTTGTCGTTAGACTCAAGATAACATCCGCTGTACTTACGGTCAACGAAAACTCTACAGATGTAGTGGGGAGTCAGGTTGGCGTAGCGGTTCGTTCCTCGCCTTCCACCGCTGTGACCCAGGTTCAAATCCCGCCTTGGCCAACATGTGGATTGGGTTTTCAGTCCCTGCCTGATTCCGTGGGTTTTCCCCAGAATATTCTTCTGGGGTTTTCCTCCCACCTCTAAAACTGTCATTTCTTCACATTGTCTTCTCTCTGCAGGTTTCTTCAGGCTTGCGAGCTACAGTGCCTAGGGCACTTTTGAGGAATCCTTGGTTTCATTACCAAAAGTAAATAATACCAATAACAATACTAATAATAATATCTATAGTCAATATTTTGGCAGTCATTACTTCTTTAGAGCCATCAGTTGGATGTGTGCACAGCATGCATGGGTTTTTAAAAATTACCATAACGTGTATTTGAAAAGGAGGGGAAGGACACAACGAACGAGTAGTGCCTTCAAAAGCTACAATTTGATGCACTCACAACTAGGACAATTTGAATGCCCATTTCAACTCAACTAGAAAGATATCTCAGTTCTAGAAAAACACTGATCTTGTTAGTATGGAATAACATTATAGGCTCCATGCGCCAACAAGAGAGGGCGCTTTTTGATCACTTCAGATAGCCCAGTGGATGGGACACACCGCGTACTCGTATTGGTTGACACGCATTTGGCGCGAAGTACTCACGACAAATTTTATTCTCAGTATGCACAAAGCCTTCGCCTTTGCGTGAGTGTCAGGCGTCTTCAGCAATGCGTTTCAATGTCTCTCCCAGTGGTCTCCCCAACTCTCCCTTTCTTCCCGTTGAGGGCGCACTTGTGCACGGAGCCCATTTTAGTTTAATCATGGAATCCAGCTGCTTACCTCAAGATCTGCACACTGTGGTTCGATTTCCTTGACAGAGAAAGTCTGGGATTTCTCCATTTCTTTACGACGCTCTTTCAGGTCTGCAATGGATCCTCGAAGCTCTGCAATAGTCTGTGGAAAATACAAACCAGAGTTATCGTTTGCTTTCGTAGGAGGTCGTGGGTTCGAGTCCCACCCAAGTGATTTTTTCCAACTTTCTCTCAGGAGGTAACAAACTGAGTATACAATGTTCATACGTCGGTGAAGGGCAAAACCCAATGTTGATCATATCAAAGTTGTCATCACAAGTGTGGACAGGATATAAATATATTGGGCACTACTTCAGCATTTCTAGAGAACTGTAAGTCCAGTTGGGTTGAAACTTGGTATGTACATAGACAAAGAAGTGTTACAGACTACGTCATACAGATTCTGCTGGGATCAAAACATTGGCCTTCATGAAATTTATTGAGTAATATAAATGAGTAAATGAGTAACCAAGTCTTGAGTTACTCACCTGTTGTCGTTGAGCGTGTTCCTTCCTGAGCACTTTGACATCAGCTAAGATGTTACTGACAATCTGCTCCAGTTCGAATGCCTTCTTGGAGACCTTTGCTTTCTTCTTCTTGGCTTCTACTTGTTGTTTAGCCAGGTCGGTGGTATCGGATGAGATACGAGCCTGGAGGACCGTCCGTGAATGGGTTTCCTCTTTGACTCGCTTCCGCAGACTGTCTGACGTTCCCTGCCAGAAAAAAAAACAGAAGAAATAAGTCAAAATGGACCGTTCCACATTTGCCCATAAGCCCCGCCCACCATTGGTTGGTGTACATTATTCACAGTGCTTGTGACCAACCTACCATGGTCACCTGACCAGAACTCATATTCTAATTGGTCAAAAAAAATCCACATTTGATCATAAGCCCCGCCCACCTTTGGTTTTGTGTACATTTCTCACAGTGCTTGTGATCAAGATATCATGGTCACCTGACCAGAACTCATGTTCTATTTGGTCAAAAAAAATCCACATATGATCATAAGCCCCGCCCACCTTTGGTTTTGTGTACATTTCTCATAGTGCTTGTGATCAAGATATCATGGTCACCTGAACAGAAGTCGTGATTTAATTGGTCAAATAATTATATAGATTTGGCTATAGGCCCTGCCCATCCTTGGTGTGTGTACATTTCTCATAGTGCTTGTGATTTGCCATTATTCGTCGGTTCAGTGCGTGACATCGCGTAGCTGCAATCGGCTGAATGAGAACATGTCCCAGACGCTGAATTCAGGCCCAATTCAAAACATGACTTAGCAACTTTCGAATTGAAATCGAGATCCTGGAATATTGTTTTCTCTGAATATACAGCATTCACTGAGCTAAAACTTCATCAGGTTTAATTGTTAAGCACCTGTCTTCAAATTTTGAACATTTATGTTGCTTCAAACGAAACCAATGCACAAATGACCTACTCTACCTTTAAACAAGAATATTTGAAATATAAGGGTTTTTTTTAATCAGATTTGAAAAAAATCATAAAAAACAACAGCATTATTCTGAACCCTTTGTTATTAAAGACCATATGCTCACTAGAATTGACACCAAAAATGTAACATTTTCTAATCATTCTTGTGTACTATCTGACCTCCGCTTGACATTTCATTCAAGACATTGATATAACTGAGCTGGCTGGCAGCTGTCACTGACAGCTGAGCAGTTTATGATCTGCAACATGTGACTGTCACCACACTTTTATTACAACTGTTTAACCTCCCACTGAAATTTAATTTGACAGATGAAATATAACCGTAGAAACTTGTCTCCTTTAAAGTAGATTTTAAAGCTGAGAAGAAACAGAAATCTCTCAACAATTTTGTATTTTAAGAATGGTAGTAAGTGGGCAGTTCTGCCATGCTGGACATACATTTTGGATGAGACAACGTGGCATAATAAAAGTTAATCATGAAGTGGATTTTAGTTATGATTAAACGAATTAGTTAGTTACATGTACTACAATGATTTGAGAAAGAAATTATTCATCCAACTTTTTTTGCTGTAGTAGAAAATCGGCATGAAACAGCATGGCTTTGGACATACTTGAACAGCTTAATTATTTTAGCGTACTTATTTATGAATTATTCATTAAAAAGTGTTACAGCTTAAGTGTTCAACATTGTCAGAAATAAAATATATTTCAATAAAATTCAGATAACAAGCTTCAAATTGGCATACATGTTTCATTTGTGGATTTTTTGATGTAATTTTTGGTTATATTGACAAATCCGACGGCAGCAATTTTCTGCACTGGCACCAGGCTCGCACGAGTTGCGCTCAGGTAATACACACGCACTACGGTCTCCTCCGACCAATAGGAATACCAAAATGGCATGCGCCTCATCTTTAAGAATGTGTGCAGCATGCGTGTGAGCGTGACACCACCACCGCAGTATCAGCTTCTAATTCTGGTCGCCAGATTCTACTATATAAAATTACGTTCAAGTTCAAACCATAGTGTGTACAAAACCACGCAGAACCACCACGTCGAGACTCAGAAAGCTTGACAATTTTACCATCATCCACCCCTACAAATAACTGGTAAAGCCCATTCCCAGCCATGTGCCACAACCAAAAGGTACCAGCTGTCTTGACTAAACTGCCCAAATCACCTTCAGACTGCTCAATCACGATTTCCTCCGACATTTTTCAATGCATTAATAGGGCCATTTCCATTACGCCATAAATTCACTATTTTGCAACAATAACAACATCAAGTCCTTGAAGGTGTTTTTACACTGAGCTGTCTTTTTGGTTTCAATGTCAGTTCTGATAAACTAGTCATAAATGGTGAGATGTGGGGAAAGATTGATGATGGAATGATTGGACAGACAGAAAACACCTGTCAACACACACTGAAAATACTGACCAGGCCACATTAAAGGTAATATACAACATTTGCTTTTGCTGTGATTTTTAGAAATGGATGGATGTAGGGTTTAGTATTTTATGGCAAATATTGTTACACTGACCTGTTCAAAGTTTTGAGTTCATAAATGCTGGATCCTATCATTAAATTCACAATGAACTCAGTAATAAGTCTCCAAACTGGCAGAACTCAATGAAAAAAAACCTCAAATCTGATATAAGGACAGAACCAAAATGGACAAACTCCTTTAAAAAAGAAACCAGTGACGATCACAGTTAAACCAGCAGGTGGCATGACATGTACTTGCTCAAAGTCACTCTCAATGCCAACAATTACGCACGTCTTAGTAACACCAAACAATAGAACACTATCGCACAATGTAGTCTTTGTCAACAACAATCAGTAGCAGTCAATGCCAGATGAGGGAGATGAACTTGAAAACCACATTAACAAAGGCTAAGACGTCTTAGAGATGTGTGACGTTAAACTCCCGATGACTTAATCCTCAGTGAAGGTTGACAATTAGAATATGATATCTCCTCCTTACATGGGATTATCCTAGTAATCCTTCAGTCATACAATAGAAGGGGCATGCACACTGTGTTCCCATTGAAACTCAAGGCTAATCTCTTGGCATTTGAGCGGTGGGTTGAATTTAGAGCAGGCTAGGGAGTCAGGCCGGGAATGTGAGGCCCATTCATGGCTAGACTAGTCTCCAAGGAGAAAGTCTGTCAAGATATCATTTGAGGACAATAGTGAGATGATGACAAGAATGGAAGGGTGAATGAAGGGACATATGAGGGTCAGATGGGGCCTGATGAATGGTGGCTGGGCATTTGGAGGATTGAGTACCTTAAAGGGGCAGTTGGGGTTTTATTTGAGAGGGAAAATGTAAAAAAAGAAAAATATACTGAACTTTGAAGGACTCAATCTTGCACATAAATATATCAATACATCTCACTGATAATACTTACTTTAGTATGAAATGTATTTTAACAATGTTGTTACATGTACAAGGGATGTGCAATAACAGAAATGTGAAGTACTTTATTTGGGTAATTGGCGTGTAATAAATTTTCTTCGAAAGGAATAAGTCAAAGAGCATGCAGGGGCAGCAATGTACATACAAATTTAATACAACACCACAAAAAATGTCAGTGGTTTTGTACTTAAAAAAAAATTTAAAGGGGATATTTATTTACCATGTCCCATTTTCTAGTTACTTTCCAAGCTAAATGTCCATTGTAACTTTAAGATTTTACATGGAGGTCGAGCAATGCTCATGTATGTTGAGGTCAAACTAGGCAGATTCTTGTGCAAGTGATTAACCTAATAACATGTAATCCTGTCAAGAATTACTGAACTTAATACTGTGATGTATGCAATGTCCTTACGTTGGATGATCCTTCCCCCTTTTCAGGGGTTTCAAGAAATTTAAATAGCAGGTGTTACAGACAAAGAGAATTAGGTGTACAGGTGTGATAGCTACTGAACAGTGAGGGGGGGGGGGGCGTTAGTGAAACGTGTCTGCTGAAGGACTTCAAACAGTCGTTTGTTTGTACAACTCAACTCCTTATGTACTTAATGGTGAGTAAACAATGTTACTGAATGTTACGTTTTACTCTGACCTACTCCAGTCAATACTAGTTACATCGGATGTGTTTAATGGGGGTTAAATACTGCAGCCCTTGACATATTTGTGTCGTCTTCCGAATAACAGATGTAAGTACATCCTGGTTATATGGGATTCGTGACCTTAAGAGCAAATATTCTTGCAAGAAACATGTACAAATGTAACTGGTGAATTTATGTCTAAATGCATACTCTCGACAGTACACATCAATACCATTTTAGAAAACTTATCTTAAGGGTGCTCTCTTCGCACTGTTAAAAAAAAACGTGACTGTTTTTTCTAATGAAGTTTCGATTGGCATGTTTTGTTTTAACGAACACAATCCTTTTTTTCTGTATTCTGGGCGTCTCCAACCCGCTGAAAAAAAGACGGTTATTATTGTTTGTTTCACACCTTTAAACAGATCTGCCTGAATTACTGTCGAGATGCAAATAATTCAAAATTTGAAATTCAAAATTTGTAAAATAATAATTTCATAAATAAATTCGGACAGATTTTGTTTCAATGTCTAGTTGAAATGTGAATAATTTTGTACTGCTAGAAATTCAAAATTTATTTTAAAAAGATATTTCGGGAGGTAACTTGAAAACAGCAAGGAAGAAAGACTTTAACCCTTTCCATTCATAGGAATTAGCTTTGCATTCCATCTTATAATCTTTTCTTCATAAAAAATCAATAATAATAATGTGTGTATAAAGCGCACGTATCCACCAGTATTGGTGCTCAAGGCGCTACATCATTATTATCTTGGGCCAATGAAACATTCAAAGACAATCTTAGCTCCCTGGGGAGTATACAGCTCCATGCTGTCATTTCAGCGCAAAGCAGCTTTAATCAACCACAATAACCATCTCTGCCCTCACAGGTACCCATTTACTCCTGGGTGGGGAGAAGCAATGAGCGACAAAGTGCCTTGCCCAAGGGCACACGCACCATAACCCCAGGCTGGACTCGAACCCACAACCTGCAGAATTACCCGCAGACTATGAATTCAATGCTCCAGACCACGAGGCCACAGAACTCCACTCCACTTTTCTTCACGGATATCAAAGATCAAAGAGAGATGTCTCACCTGTAGAGTGTCTTCCAGCATCTGTGCTTTATCCTCTTCCCCGATCAGCTTATTACGGACGGCCGTGTTGATGATTTTGATCTTTTCAAACTCCTCGTCTACTACAGCCAGCTGTGTTTCTACTTTGGTCATCTCTCTCTTGATGCGGTCCACGTTCTTGGCATCGTCCACCTGCTGCTTGGCACTGTGAAAAAATATACACAGGATTGGTGTCTATGAATGTCACAGAGTGGTGATCAGTGCTATAGTTGAGGTACTTGTGATGGATCGTAAGTGCATCACAAGTACATCACAAGTCCAGTCATAAGAACATCACAAGTCCCATCATAAGTACATCACAAGTACACCACAAGTTCCATCATAAGTACATCACAAGTACGTCAAAAGTCCCATCATAAGAACATTACAAGAAAATCACAAGTCCCATCGTAAGTACATCACAAGTGCATCACAAGTCCAATCATAAGTACATCACAACTCATATCACAAGTCGTGACTGGTCACTAAAAAACCATTGTAGTATGAAATAGCTGACTTCTGATGACTAAGCTATGGCTGGGCATTACACACATGTCTATGGAAAGTGAATACAGCCATTTCAAAGGACCCATATGGATTTTCATGTAGTCTACACAATTCATAAAACTGTGCAGCTCAGAAGCTTAGATTTTGTACTACGCACAACTTTAAGTGAATTTTTGTTTTTTTCAATTGATATCATCACTCAACCAAAACCAAGACAGAGCAGATGTGACTTGGACATTCTGTCTGTGGCTATGGATTACTACAGCAGCAAATCAATGGTAAATACAAAACCATAGCCACTAATGATGACTTGAACATAGCCCTAACAAAAGAAAGGCTTTTGGACGTACCAGGTTTTTAGTTTCTGTTCAGTATCTTCAATCTCCATGGACATCTGTCTGCACTGCGACTCTTGCTGTCTCAGCTCAGCTAACCGTCGCTTGGATTCTCCCTCCAAGTCATTCACTTCTTTGGTTTGTTGATTTCTCTGTGGATTGTTAAAGAGTGGAAAACAATCAACACGTGTTGATGGTGGATGCAGGGTTTGGGAAACTGCTGAATAGTTATGCTGTGGAGTTTAATTTCAACTTGTTTGGATGCAGATATAAAGTCGTACAGAACCAAATTATTCTGAGGATTTCAATTAAGTACATGAAAAGTGTCTTGAAAATTAATTTATACAGATTCACCTGTTTGAAACCAATGTCTATTTGACTTCTAATACAATTTGGTTTGTTTGCATGTCTCTGGAATGCATCCGAAACGGTGTTTATGGCTTCTGACTAGCGCCTCTTGAACAAAGACAATGACAAAATGGGGAATGCCAACACGGTGCTGGATAGCTCAGTTGATAGAGCTCCAGAACGGCAATCCGGAGGTTGCGGGTCCAGTCACTTTTTTGTTCAACTTTCATGTAATTTGATGCTCCTTAAACAAAGACATTGACAAATTAGGGAACCGCCAACATAGGGCTGGATAGCTCAGTTGGTAGAGCACCGGTACGGCAATCCGGAGGTCGCAGGTTCATACCCTGCTCCAGTCAATTTCTTTGTTCAACTTTTAAAAATGATATTTCCTGTCAAATGTTGATGTGATTTTGGTGGCCTACCATTCTCTCTGTCTGGCTGGTCAGTTGGAAGTTATGATCCGCCTTCTTCCGATGTTCAAACTCCGCCTCTATGATCTTCTCCTGAATCTCCTTGACCTTGGAGGCTTGGATCTTCTCTGCCGCTTTGGCGTTCTCACACGTTGAGACTGAAAATAAAACACAATAACATGAAATAGGTTATTTTATACAACGCCTGAATAGATCCCCATTATCTGATTGGTGGGTTGTTGATCACATGTCATTGAAGTATTCATCCAAAACCATAGCTCGGCAGCACCTCAAAAACAGAACTTTCAATCCACAGTAAATATAAGTTCCATTGCAATGTCAAGTACAAACAGAATTATTACAACCACATCGTGACCGAGACTTTAGACGCCGACACCTCCCCGTGACCTCATAGCCAAGATCCCAAGAGGATGTTTCCAAGAGGAAACCAACCAAGTACCAAGTACAAAGTCACATGATTGGTGGCTCGACCAATCAGATGACGAGGATTTATTCAGGTACTGTTTAAAACAAATAATGAATGTTTCACATACCCACATCTTAATAAGAAAGAGAAAATAGACCAATCCAATTTGTCTCTCTCAAATGACGTCACTTCTTACAGATTGCCACGCACAACAGCATTTTGGGAGTCAACTTTTTCGTGACGCGCATCGGCTGCGCTGTATTTCAAAGAATTTTGAGCAACATGCGCATGTGTTTAGAAGATTTTGCACACTCCGCGCAATGTATCTGATGGTGATGCATACGCAGTTGTTATTTTCCTACAAAGATGGCTGTCTATGAGAGAGGTCTATGCGCCGACCAACCAGCATATGTGCAACACCACATGCATCTCCAAGCCACGCTGCATGTTCCACACACCCACATTTTACACATGTACATGCATTTCGGACTTAATTGCGTCGGACATCCATCATCGCTTTGATTCGTTGAAAACATGACAGGGCTGAGCTTTAACGGATGAACGTGGACACAGTGGTTACTTACGAAGTACGATTTTCTCTTCTGCATTTTCACGCAGCTTCTTTCTGAGATCGTTGCATTGATGAGAGTAGGATGTGTGTAGTGCTTTAGTTTCATCCAGCTCAGCGCTGTCGAGGAAAAAAATATACAACATTTTGTTACTTGCAACTTTTAACGGTCAGGAGCACTCATCTTTTTACAAAAAAAAATGCCTTAGACACTCAGATACGATCGTCACTAAGGAGTATTTTCGTAACCAGATAATGTTGACGTTCATGATGGAACGATTATTTTTGTACAGCCATAAGATAATATACGCGGGAGAGTGGCGTGGTGGTTAGGGTTCATGACTCATGATCAGAGGGTCAGGGGTTCGAATCCAGCTGCTGGTTATATGTTGTGTCCTTGGGCAAGCCACTTCACTCCCACTTGCCTCTCTCCACCCAGGAGTTTAAATGGGTACCGGCATTAGCTGGGGAGTAACCTGCGATGGACTAGCATCCCATCCAGGGGGAATGGAGATACTCTCAGTTGTTTCATGCCATGGAAATTGGCGACAAATGACATCCTAATGAGCCATATTGGTTCGACAAAGTCTTTACGAAGCGAATATAATAGTTTAACTTGGGGAGAGGTTATGAGCTATTGCAAAAGACCTTTTTGGGGTTAAAGTTTATTTTTACTTCTTAAGTGAGGGAACAAGCTCTATCTTTGTCATTGTGTGTTCAGTTACTTACTTATAAACTTACTTGATCTCTCTGAGAGCGTCGCGGACTGCTTCCAGCTCTCGCTTGATGTGAGCGCGCTCCATGTCTGCCTTCCCATGAGCCTCGGCTGACTTATCCTCGGTCCTTTGCAGTTTCTCATAGGTCTGGTTCAGCATGTCTGTAGTCTGTGAATACATAAATATCAAAATTCAAAACATGTTCGCAAATTGAAATCAACTTGCAATTTATGGCTATTATCATATTTTGAAATATGATTATAATGCACCTAGTCAGTTTCCCTTCGTGGTTTATTTGAAAATATTTTTCGAAATTGGAAATTGGAAATGTTAAGTTTGCTTGACATCAAAATTTCTTTATTAATAAACTAGCATCCAGTCAATATATACATTAATCTTATTCAACTGCAAACAATGCATATCTTGGTTTCGGGGAGGGGGGGGGGGTGTTTGACATACCTGGACCTGAGCCTCATCAATTCGCTTCATAGCATCTCGCTCCAATTCTAACTTCTCTTCCACTAGCGGGCTGAAATGATCAAAATACAATCAGAAAAGTATATTTACAACTGATTTTCATTCCAAAATACTGTTTGTTTCTAAAGATGTATAAATATATTTTGAAATGAGGTGTCTGCAAAGTTTCAACATGTCTACTTCAGCTCCCTGGGGAGTATGCAGCTCGATGCTGCCATTTTGGCGCAAACCAGCTAAAATCAATCCCAATAACCATCTCTGCCCTCACAGGTACCCATTTACTCCTGGGTGGGGAGAAGCAATGAGTGACAAAGTGCCTTGCCCAAGGGCACACGCACCATAACCCCGGGCTGGACTCGAACCCACAACCTGCAGAATTACCCGCAGACCACAATTTAAATGCTCCAGAACAGTGAGTAAAAATGTTCAGATACGTAAAAGATGAGCTTACCAGTGTTTTTGAACGAAGGCAATGTCTTCCATCAATCTAGCGTTCATTAGCTCAGCGGTTTCAACTTGGCTCTGTACGCGGCCTCTCTGTCTGGCACGATATGCACAATGCCATTTCAACTCAGCGATGTCAGTCGCACATGACTCATGCTCTGCCAAAATACAGAAATAATTGTACGGTGATCTTAGGCACATCCAAATCTCTTGGAGACATTGTATCAGGCATAAGTTGCAGGATTCTGAACAACTTCCCCGCAATCTTCCCGCAAATCAGTGTTGGTGAGTCAAGCAGTTGCTAAGGAAAACTTTCCCGGAACATGTCTGGAACTTTTGTCTAGGTCTGTGTCAATTAGGGCCCATCTCACTTCATATCTGGGACAAATTCCGGACAAGTTGCAGACATTGTATCGGGTACAAGTTGCAAGATTCTGAACAACTTCCCTGCAATCTTCCCACAATGAAGTTGGTGAGTCAAGCAGTTGCTTGAAAATTTCCCCCGAACATGTCCGGGACAAATGCAGAGCTTCTTCCGGACAAAGTGTATGATTCTATCCGTGACTTGTTCGGAATTCGTCCCGGATATGAATTGAGATGGTCCCTTACCTTTCTGCACAGCTCTAGGCATTTCAAACATCCTCCTTGCAGCTAGGCGATCTATCTTAGCTTGCAGCCACAGTACTCTCTTGCATTCCTTCTCATACAGGTCTTGGGCGTCTCGCCGGTCGGTTTCAAGACTTCCCAGGAGTACGACGACCTCATCTATCACCTCCTCTGCTCCCAGATGAGGAATCTCATCTTCAATGTCTGTCAGCGCCGTTTCAGCTAAAATAAAATACCAAGAAAAGGAGCAGACGCACAGACAGTATAGAGCAAGTGATGAAAGCCAATTATGAATTATGGAAACTTAAAGTACTGAGGAGTTCGGGCAGATTTGACTCGCTGATCATAAAAAAAAATTGTCTAGGTTTGAGTGGCAACACTTGTAATTTGTTGTGTTTAAATACACTAACACAAAGACTGACTAGTCTGTCTCCTTCAATCTGTACCACATTTGAGGCCCTGGTGCTTGTGTTCTTGGGCAAGACACTTTACTACAATTATCTCTCCACCCAGGAGTATAAACAGTCACCAGCAGTCAGATCATTTGTCAAGCAAGCACTGTGACTAGTCAAACTGGGAACAGACAAAGCAGGCAAGTTGTGGTCACAGCTGGTTTATCACTCACCCAGAGTCACAGCATAGCTGTATCGAGTTACTTAAACAGTCCCAGCCAGTCAATACTACTTTATGTAGGCTGGGAATTCGTAACTGTTCAAAACAGTCACTTGTTGATTTCGACTGAAAGGAATACTTGGCATAATGTATGTTTGCATAGGAGGATTAACGAGAACACGTTCTTACCTTTAGGTGCAACAGCGCCAACTCCCTGCACTGACAGCTCACATGTTCTTGGTGTTGCTGCCGTACGTGTTGTAGGCAGCGAGCTACGGGGTGAACGCAGTGTTGATGAACGTCCACTGGAGCTATGGGCAAGTTCCTCCACGGCTCCGGATAGGGCTGAGTCCGACACAAACCTGAGCTGCTTACGACCTGTCATGTGACAATCATGTGACAATAATAGATGGTTACATCAGGCTGTGTCTGATTTACTTGGCTATGGCTAGCAGTAAGCAGTGTCTGTGGGAAGTGGCTGCAGCCGCTTCCATAGGCGCATGTGTAATTGCGAGCCATAGCCATAGCTATAGTCATAGCCGTAGTCTGTCTGCTAGCTGTAATATTTATTCAATTACCAAACACTGACCAAATCCACCAGAATGATTAACAAGTTGCAAGAGTTTCTATTTGAGAAGCATTTCTTTTTATTTTAATCTTACACAAAAGAAATCAATAGGGCTTTCAACATTTTCATCCACATAAGAATTTATCTGAATTTAAAAATTTATCTGAACACATTAATACATCAAAAATGAGTGATATCCAGTTTGTTAGTAAAAACGCCATATACGCGCGTGCGTGGACTCGACTACATCCCTCAACAAGTAATAAGGCCTTTGTACTGACCAGTATCAGCAGTCAGTCTGCTAGGTGCCTCCTCAATCACACTAGAAGATCTTGACGAGTTCATCACGCTAGCAGCGATGACCGACGGCCGCCTACTCAATATCTCCAGCTCCACCTCTCGGCTCCATATCTCAATGCGATCTTGCAGCTTCTGCAGATGCTCCATGGCCAACTCGACGCTAGTGGAGGCAGGCTTGCGGAAGAAGAGGGCGCGACGCTTGAAGATCTTGTCGTGGAGGCGCGGCCATCCTTCGGGGATGGGATAGAGCTGGTCTGTGGTGTCAGGAAATTACAAAAAAAGGATTTGAGTTGATTATTATTTTAATAAACAAACCTACAGTGCAATAAAAGTTGTTAAAAATAATAATATATGCGGTTGAGCGCCCTCGGTGAATTAGCATATATTTGTTTTCTCCACGTTACGTAACCAAGAATGGTAAGGTGTTCAGGGTGTGGCGTGAGCGTCACTTCATGTTGGCTCGCACCACTGAACAGACCTGAAATTAAATTTAATATACAATTAATAAAAGAAGTAACCTAATACATTCAGTCTGTAGATAGAAGAATTCATTCATCATTTTGGCATGAGATAGCAAGCATGGGGCCAAACTACGTTCTCAATTTTCTCAATGAGTTTCGAGTTTTCGTAGCCGGCTACTATCACGAGTGGTTCTTCAGGTTAACAGAGAATTATGGGTTTAAAATTGGAAAACGGAAAGCTAAATGTGGTTGTTAAAAAGAAGGTATTATAATTTCAGAAACTTGGAATTGTTAAGACGTAAAATTGGATAAAATAATATTGTGTTAAAGATTATTTAGTATGTTGTAACATACGGACTGGTGGTGCGAAATAAGACCAACACAATCCAAATTATTGAGTGATTTGTATAATTATTTAATTAAAATATATTAGGTTTATTCAAGGGTTTAGTGGAGAATGTCTGTTATCGACCATACGGCAATGATATAGCAGAGTCTTTTAAGGGTCCACAAGATGAATTTTTCTTAGGAACACATTTTGTGCAACTTTTACTTCTCTTAAATGTATGAAAACTATACGACATCCCTTTTTGGTTTAATAATGTTATTGAAAAGTGCACTTCTTTAAACATTAAAAATTGTCCATGCTTTTCCGGACAACTGAGGGCACTGTTGCTGTGATGTCATTTCAGGAAGACACTGTTCAGTTTAGGGGTTTTCTACTCAATTGTGAACCCAAAACTTCGCTCACTGAAAACATTTGTGAGAAAAGTTTGCCACATTGGCCATGTACTGACTTAACAATGAATCACCAAAGAAAAGAAAATTTAAACCAGCAAAATATCCAAAATTCTGGCAGCTATTGGTGCTGATGATAGCTGTAACATTGAGGTTTCTGCCTGAAATGACATCACACTTTTGATCACGAATATGGAAATTTGCATTAGCATAAAAGCCAAAAAGGCACCAAAATACTCTTTAAAAATTGCTTTAAAGCTATAGTCCATCATTTGCAGCCATCCGAAAAAGTAACTGGCGTATTATTGTTGAAAAACATACTTGGTTGAAAGATAGTAAGTGGACTAAACTCCCTGTGAAATTAATCTTTCTGGCAAGCTATCATTTTGAAGTAATCAACGAAAGAAGGCCTTTCCAACGGTGCGTCTTAAGACGCATCGTAGGAAAATTTAAATTAGTAGTTCGTTTTGTTATTCGACGCAGCGCGCGCAAGCATTGGCACGACGCACAAGAGCGCTATAATTCGCCGGATCAGTGCGTGACATCGCGTATAGCTGCAATTCAGAACAATTCAAAACATGATTCAGCAACTTTTGATTTGAAATTGAGATCCTAGAATGCTGTTTTTCTCGGAATATACAGCTGAAGCTGAGCTGAAACTTCATCAGGTTAGTTGTTCAGTATCCTTCATTAGATTTTGAACACTTTTGTGGCTTCAAACGAACAAAATGCACAAATTACAAATGATGGACTATATCTTAAAAAAATTGAAAATAAGGTTAAATGGGACACAAAGGTACATTTTCTAAAAAGTAAAAGTACATTGCATGGCCATTTAACAAGTTCTCACAAGATTTCACAAACTTGTCCATCACAAGTCATCCATCCCAAGCCATGTCACAAATTACTCAAATGAACTCTGACAAAGGCAATGTTTTGTTATTGTTCATCCCCGTTACACTTGACTGACTTGTGACTGACGTGTGATTTAAGAATGACCAGACTTGTGATGGACTTGTGAATGGCAATTTTTCTTCTAACACATGAATTTCATTGAAAACAAATGGAGAGGGTTGGTTCTTTCAGCGTATTATAAATTATTCTGAAACATTTTCAAAACAATCAAAACACAATTCTCAAAATGGAAAACCAAAGCTTACTCAAATGCCTCAAGTAATAGACAATGAGACAAATATACAGTATCAAGTTGTTCGCTTTTACAGCATCCACCGTAAATCACTTCATTTTTACCTAATTCACTCAATGTCTCATCCACTTTTCCTTCAGTGTCTGGTGATGACCGTTCCTCCTCGATACCAGAGTCATGAGCAGTGTCATCCTGAGCCACTGATCTCTGTCGCCTGCTGTGAAACCGTTTCTTTCCTTTCATTTAGAGAAAAAGAAAATTATAAGTTTATCAAAGCAATCCATATCCAAAACGTATTTTCTAAAAAACCTAATACCACCTCAGATTACACTTTCACATTACCAGTTCTGCCGAGTGTTACAAAAATACGACACACCGTAGTTTACTGTTGGTCGACAAGGTTTTAGCAAAACAGGTGCCTGTCACACCGAATTTCCCCCCAATTTTTTTTGGTCATCCCCTGCAACTAAATAAGATGGAATATGCAAAGGCTGGTTATGAGTTTCAGGGCCATTCATAATTTTATACATGTATCATGAATGTTTGTATTTTTGCAGTGACAATATGTGTTAAGGTTGCTAAAACATTTGAATGTCATCATAATGTGCCTATCACACACTCAACTGGTAGTCTATGGAATAGCCACTTGCAAAGCAATCGTCTACAATATCCAGGCAGATTCGGCAATTAACTAGATGCAAAACAAGACTGCATCTTGACCTCCAGAGTCTGACCAATCAGCAGGCACCTTCTATATCAGGTCTTCGGTAACCGTTGTTGTATTACAAAAACATGGCAGCAAATTGACCAATCAACAACTTCGTTCACATTTCTGCATGAAATGACCCCCGTTTCTTTCGACTCCAATTATTGGCCGACGCACGGGGTCAAATACATTTGCATTGCACATGTATATCAGACGTTGTTTAGCGTGCTGGCTCCATTGAACAACAGATGATACTCAGACTACGCAACTGCAAGCTAATATTTGAATGATAGAATGTTTACCTTTTTTGGAGGACAATGTCTCAGTATTCGTCTGTACACTAGGAACTGGTGAAAACGTAATACCAGTCGCCTCGTCAGTTACAGCACTCAATTTGGAAGCAGTCCTTGGTTGCGTAAGGAACGCCTTCATTTTCTCTTTCTGTGGTTGGGAGCCTGCGTCTATCCGAATCTGGACTCGTGCGGAGTCGGACACCTCACTCATTGCACCAGGTGATGACGCCATCTTTGCTTAATATAGTTTTAGACCATCTGTTGAACACTTGCAAGCTTTTACTTTTGGGTCATTCCGTGTCAAATCAACACGCTTTTGGACCCGACCCTCACAGATTGAAACAATATTTGGTGTGATGATTGGCCTATATGAGAAACCCCCAGAACTGATTTTTTTTTGTAAATTGACTCGTTAGTTTTTGAGATACGGGTCAACGAACTTTTGACTAATTAGCATGACCTCCGAACTTTAAATACTTGTATCTCAAAAACTATTACGCCTACAAAGCCAAGTTGTACATCATATTAAAGTTCTTTGAATGGCCTCCATTTCATAAAATAAAACCAAAATCATAGCATGAAGTGCAGAGAAAATGCGTAACAAAATGACCTTTGACCTCGAATTACGAAAAACAATATGCTTCAAATTTTGTAATTTTTTTTCAAATGATAGTTTATGATGTCAGCAACAATCTTAAAAAAAAATTGGGATGGGCGCTCTGAAAGTTTTTAAGTTATGATTTTTTGAAGAAAGCCTGTACATGAAAAAGTATGCATAATATTAAATGTACATGTACATGTACATGTACATAACATGTAAATGTACAGTGTACTTGTACTGTGTACATGTACATGTGCACATTTTACCTGTGCATCATGTTTGCCCTTTACAACTGTATAGTTCCACATATATATTAACGGCAGAACAAAATTACTTATAAAAAATATGTTATACATACCGGTCTACGTTACTTTCATTTTTCGCTCAACCAAAGTCTGTGTTGCAGTGTTCATCTCCTCGGCAGAGATCTTGTATATGCGTCCTGTTTCAGTGACCGGTTCCACTGCTGTTAGTACATCCATTCCGTGAATTACAAGTGTGTCTGGTCGATAGGGGAACTTGAAAGATGGAGATGGCCCATGGGGATGAAGGAAACTCAGTTCCACTTCTTGGGATGCTGGAAGGATCTCCTGAACACATGCTAGCCACCAGTAACAGTCATACATCACTGTAACATACCCCTTGATATCTGCAAAATCAATACATGCAGTTTGTCCATGGACTTGGAGACAAACTGGTTCCTCCCTTGAGTCTGAGGAGGAGGAAAAATCACGCACCTTAATTTTGTCTCTAGACATCGGACAAAAACAGTGCAGCTTTTGTGTTCCTGGAATGGTACGTGCAATTTGGAATCTTTGCCTGAGAATATCCGTTTCATTCTTGTATTGCTCTGTTGTTGCAAAAGCGAAGTCAATACTCTTTATCTGAGAAGTAGCAAATTCATACAGCTGCCATGGGGTCATAATCTGCTGATCCAAAGGTCGCTGGAGACTAGCTCTTGCTGCAAGGCGTTTAACAGTTCCTCCAATTCCATCAGATGGGCCTTTCCCGTGGGAGGTTGCAAAAAAATGCCAATCTGCTGGTACACCAAAATCCTCTTCGTGATGGCACAAGTTGATGAAGTTCTTAAGGTTCTTGTACTGAGCAGCACAACCATCTGAGAAGTACAATATCTTCTTGAAACTTTCAATCTTATTAGTGAGAAATTGAAGGAGCAATTTCTGGAACAGATGCACTGCCACAGTATCATGGGTATTACAGTCTGAGATGACGACAAAGCTTAGGTGCTCATTAAGTTTGCCTTCTTGTTGGAAGTAGCACACAAAGGGGTGAATTGTAGCCTGTAGATTGTTCCAGTGGAATGACTGGGCAGCATCCTGAACTACAAAACTGTAATTTTCTGCAAAATCTGCAATGACCAAGATTTCGCCTGGTTCCATGTTGGCTTTAGTGTGTTGGAGAAAGTGACTCTGCTGTTTGGCAATGAAGTCATGACGTAGTAACTTGCGGAGAGTAGCCATGAAGGAATCCAAAAAGTCATCCACTGTCTGAATTTTGGTTTCAAGTGTTGAACGGTCGGTTGTTGTCCACTGCTTGTACTCAATCTGGTCAATCATGTTGTCCTCAAAATATGTCTCAAGCCTATCTCTAAGGTCACTTGTTCCTGGACATTCGTCACATTTATCTAGGAAACATTCAGTGCGTGGTGGGTTGCACTGAATTGCAGCAAGGCAGTCACGGTAGTGCTTCATCTCTCCATTTGTCACAGTTTCCAATTTAGCTCCACTGAACATAAGTTTACAGTTTTGATGTTTTGTACAAACACAAACAGAATGCGTTCCACTGGACACACTGTTTTGGCCGAAGTTCAGCAAACTTTGAAAATCCAATTCTGAGATCGGGGTATTTTTTCTTGAAATGTTCAAATGCTTCTTTCAGATTACAGAGTATGAGATGCTTCTGTATATGTTTTTTCTCTCCGTCTACTTTGACAGAAACAAAGTCTTTCATTCCTGGCATTTGTCTGCTGATTGCTTCTGACAAATAGAAGTCTCTCACTTTTTGCTCTGTTTCCTTTGTTAGTACTTTTCCAGATTTTGGGTTTGGAATGGCTAGTATTCCCTGTTCCTTCACCAGTTTTTTTGCTTTTCTGGCCATATAATTTGATGCCCCAAATTCCTCTGTAATTTTGTGGATGCTCCAGCTCGTAGGTAACACAGTCAAAACTTGAACTTGTTCACTTGTCCTGGTCAGTGAGTGAAACTTTTCCTTCAACTGACTTATCATCTCACACTCATCATCTTGGAACTGTTTACCTGTTGCAGTTTCAAGCCTGTTCTTGATTGTTGACTCGATTTTCTTCACTTTACTTTCAATATAGCTTCCTGTAGATTTTTTCTTGCTCTTGATCGGGGATTCACCAATTATCGTCAAAGACTGATTGACAATGTCTACATCCACATTGGGTGAAACAAAAACATCTCTATGTGTCGGTGATCTTGAAGGTCCTGGTACTTCAGAATCAGTGGTCTCACCAGAACTTCCCGATGTCAAAATTGTTAATTCTGGTGGCAACTTGGACAACTTTTTACGACATCCAGTGCAGAGAGTTTGTGCACGAGAAAGATTGAGGCTGGGGTGCTCAACTACAAACCTCTCAGACACCTCTCTCAAACCAACAGTTTTTCTCTTGCTGTGACATTTAAATGGGTCACAACATGACGTATTCTTCAAACTTTTCAATCGAGGGTGTTGCTCTTTCGCAGTAGACATGCTGTACTTCTGAGCACTCTAACCACTATACTGACTAACTGATGGACCAAACTGTGCACAAATGCACAGGTGTTAAGATTTCTCCATATACCAAACATCCATTGTTTTCTTTTCCAAGGCCATAAAGAGACATCACTGGTCCAAATGAAAGACTTAATCAGTGTTGTATTGCTCTGGTCAGTGTCAATAGTTAAAGCTTTGTGACACCAAGTAATACACTTTGGGGTTTTTGTTGAATTTGATTGAAACTTGCCCATCTAATCTTAAACTGCATAAAAGCACACAATACTGTCTAGAGGTAGGGAGATGCAGCCTATTTACATGAGTTGAGACTATACGGTTGTAAAGGGCAAACATGATGCACAGGTAAAATGTGCACATGTACATGTACACAGTACAAGTATACCTGTACATTTACATGTTATGTACATGTACATGTACATGTATATTTAATATTATGCATACTTTTTCATGGACAGGCTTTCTTCAAAAAATCATAACTTAAAAACTTTCAGAGCGCCCATCCCAATTTTTTTTTAAGATTGTTGCTGACATCATAAACTATCATTTGAAAAAAAAATTACAAAATTTGAAGCATGTTGTTTTTCGTAATTCGAGGTCAAATGTCATTTTGTTACGCATTTTCTCTGCACTTCATGCTACGATTTTGGTTTTATTTTATGAAATGGAGGCCATTCAAAGAACTTTAATATGATGTACAACTTGGCTTTGTAGGCGCAATAGCTTTTGAGATACAAGTATTTAAAGTTCGGAGGTCATGCTAATTAGTCAAAAGTTCGTTGACCCGTATCTCAAAAACTAACGAGTCAATTTACAAAAAAAAATCAGTTCTGGGGGTTTCTCATATAGGCCAATCATCACACCAAATATTGTTTCAATCTGTGAGGGTCGGGTCCAAAAGCGTGTTGATTTGACACGGAATGACCCTTTTCTGTAATGGGAAGAAAACTGGGTTACTATTTCAGAAGACGAATGAAATTTTTAACTAAGGCTAACCATTAAGTCTATTAAAACAATAATTATAATTATGTATAATGCAGAAAAATGGTATCCTGACACCACATTGGTAGAATAATGGTTTACCGTTTACCACGATTATGACTTGCTCCAGCATACAGGCACTTTTGACCAAAACTGAATGACAGGCAACAGCCCTAAAAATGCACATTGTCAAAATTTGATGCAAGCTAGTGAGGGCGCGATTTATCACAACCCATGACCTCATGCAACACGACGCTTTCGTGAACAATGGCTGCAAAAGTCGTCCGAATTCAACTCGAAATTACAAGATAACTAGACCTCTGAACTGAAGGTGCCGAATTTAAAGTTTTGTTGATATTAAGCAGTTGTAGACGGCATTGTGCGAGTATAAAGTGACAAAATAATTGGGATTTCAAATTGCTGTTCGGCTCCCTTAGCAACGGACTCTCCGTCCAAATACCACATGTGGGATTTGTGACGGTTAATAATAATAGTACACGGAGGTAGTCCAGACTGTCCAGTATTACCGTCACATTTATGGGACTAGGCCATGATTTGATGTGTGTCTCAAACACCTTGGAGAGTTGTGAGTATTTTCCCCGAATTTCTGAAGTGGGAACATTTATCATTGGGGTCAATGGAAGTTTATTTACTGGTCTGCAACCCTATGGCCTACTGCGATGTCATGGCTGTGTTTACAGCCAGGTGTGTGTGCGGTGAAGCATGGCCGAAATGACCGTCCGTAGAGTTTGTAAGTTTATTCACAGACTGTGTGATAGACCCGTTCACGGGTCTAGGGGCCTAGTTGACATAGCCCCACTAGTGTGGCCGCGGTATGCTGCGCTGAACCTCTGGCCACACACCGTGGTCCGCGCACTACTGAGGACGTTTTCATCAAAATTGCAGGAAATTTCTTACATATGGTTGTATTCTACGATGTGCCATCTATCACTTCTGGGATGCTTAGGTGACTGTAATGATGTTCAAACTTCAATTTTCCGAGATATTCTTGAATCTTTCTGGAGCCCATATGCACTCGTGAAACGTCTGGTGATGGCAGCCATTTTGAATGTGACAAGAGATGACCTCAAGCTGTGACGTCGCGTTATGCAAATTGCTTGTCGAGCGAGGGCGCAAGTTGCAAATGCGACGGCTGTTTCCTGGGGTCGCACTAAAAAGCATCAACACAGCGTCAATACAGCGTCAACACAGCGTCAACACAGCGACAACACAGCGTCAACACATCGTCAACACAGCGTCAACACATGACAGAAGCGTCAACACACCGTCAACATCCAAAACACATTCTGAATTGACAAAAATAGGTATATAATTGTAAAGCATAGAATAAAGGAGAATTTCCATTGGATTGAGTTTCCATTTTGTTGTTAAAAATATAGTATTTTCACTGGCCGTTGTCCGCCATCTTGACTTCGCACAAAGCTTGGACTACACCATTTCAAGTAGGGGTGTGTAGGTAATGACATTATCTTATCATAAACAACAGAGGGCGCCATGATGCAGAGGGATACCAGTGCATTCTGATCTGTGAGAGACTGAGGGACTGAGGTTTATTGTACAACGCTATCACCCTTTAACATAATGGAATGGTCTGCACTGCCACTGAGGCAACATGGCAGCCGATCTCGGAGCGGCACGGAGAGCCAATTTTCTTGAACTGAAAATCGCAATTTTCAGACGTTTAACCTATTGATTTTAAGCGAAAATCTTGTTTCTGTCCACACTCCATGGGTTGCATACTGCTTTTGTCACTTTTAATGCATTTTAGATGTGTTGACGCTGTGTTGACGCTTTGGAGCATGTTGACGCTGTGTTGACGCTTTTTAGTATGACAGGTTTCCTGTACCATGCATTTATCGTCTGGGGGCCACGTGCACTGATCTCTATTCAGGATCTATGGCACAGGAAACAGCCGTCGCATTTGCAACTCGCGCCCTCGCTCGACAAGCAATTTGCATAACGCGACGTCACAGCTTGAGGTCATCTCTTGTCACATTTTCTTCTTCCTTACAAGTGCAGACTTCATGGCTGCCATCACCAGACGTTTCACGAGTGCATATGGGCTCCAGAAAGATTCAAGAATATCTCGGAAAATTGAAGTTTGAACATCATTACAGTCACCTAAGCATCCCAGAAAAAGGCAGAAGTGATAGATGGGACATCGTAGAATACAACCATATGTAAGAAATTCCCTGCAATTTTTATGAAAACGTCCTCAGTAGTGCGCGGACCACGGTGTGTGGCCAGAGGTTCAGCGCAGCATACCGCGGCCACACTAGTGGGGCTAACCGCGGCCACACTAGTGCAGTGGGGCTATAGGCCTAGTTGACACGGTAACAGGTCATCTCGTACCTTGGGCAACTCGTACCTTGGACAACTCGTACCTTCAACTCGACGTCATTATACCGAGTCGTACCTTGGACAACTCGTACCTTCGGCAAGTCGTACCTTCAGTTAAGACGACTCGTACCATCACGCGTAAGACAAGTCGTACCGTCAATCAGGATAATGATCCGAGGCTGAATAAAGTGGACCGTAACTCATTGGAAGTGGACTGCTTATTAAAATAAAGGTGAATCTCTTTTTGGTATGGGGTCGCTTTCCCCGGGCCCCCAAAAAGAGGAATTTATTTAGCGCGAAGCCGGCCGCGGCAGCTTACACGCACTGTGTGCGCGGCATGCACAAGCCCACGCGGCATCCGTGCAAAGTGACACGGTTCTTGCGCCGCGCTGACCGGTCAATATGGACGTCTGTGCACGGTGACATTGATGCAGTCTGCCGTTACGTTTAGAGACTTAGGCTACGTGAAAATATTATGGAACCAGTGATGTTTTTATCCAAGATTCACGTCTTACCATCATTTCTACAATGAATGACCATCATTGAGATGATATATATATGAAGAAAAAAGTGGCCAAACCCCCGCCCCCAATTTGTAAATGTTTCGAATAAACCAGTTGATGAATAAACCAACTGTGAATTTTTTTTTTTACATTTTAGACTTTCAGACTTATAGCTAGGAAAGGACTGAATCATTTAAAAGTACTGACTGCTCTTGTATACTTTGGTTATTAGACTTCACAAGAAAACGCAGAAATTACTTTATTTAGACACATTAAATGTTTAAATTTGATTTTTATAAATTTTGTCGGTTGGTTTTAATAGAGTTTAATAAAGCTCGCTCTGGAAACAGGATGTTACGGTGGTTAGGCTGTATTGCATAATTAAACCACACCAAATCCGCATCTGAAGTTTCTCCACTATAAAATTCAATAGATGAGTGACACTTCTATAGATGAGTGACACTTCTATAGATGAGCGACGCTTCAATAGATGAGCGACACTTTGGGTGTACTTGTTAAACCGCCGGCCGCTTCCGAGTCACCGGCATCGGTACCGCGCACGACCGACCGCTGCTCGCGCCCTCGGAGGCCGGCCCGCCAGGCCCAATGCGTAAACTAATGCTGCCTGGCAAAGCCATTAGATCTTGAATGTGGTTCTGTACTGTGAGAAGGAAATTAACTTTGACTTGAAAAGAATCGTATCGTTTGGGAGTCAAGGAACCACACACTAAGTCGCGCACGTACAGTGTACATGTACTCTACTTTTTATTCTGATGGTACGAGTCGTCTTAATTGAAGGTACGAGTTGTCCAAGGTACGAGTTATCCAAGGTACGAGATGTCCAAGGTACGAGTTGTCCAACGTACGAGTTGTCCAAGGTACGAGTCGCCCAAGGTACGAGTTGACTCGAAAGCGTTGACACTGTTCACTCTGTTTTCTCCACCTCAAATGCAGCTATTTTATCACTAAATTTGACATGTTTTTACTCATTATAATTTCACAATTATTAAACATGAACCTCTGTCTACATACCTACCGAAACATTCAATGCATTAGGGCCTACAACAAGTATTCACACCACAGAAACTCCATCAGCACCGCACGACCACTGCAGGCAGCCATTACGCTTCTTGTTTCCAGGTGACGAAAAATCCCGACAAATGCCGAATGCTCGTCATCGGAAACAAAAATACATCGCACGAAGTGAAATGTCGTTGACCTTTCAGATTTGTCCATTACTTCAAGAGGGGTACAATTTAATCATTTTTAGAAATATCTATTTCGATCATTTCAGTCTAAGTATTTATCATTTATATGCAGCTAAAAGTACATTAAAAAGTCTTAAGGTAATTTAGTGAGAGAGAAAAAAAGTGTTAAATTGACAACAGTTCTTGTGTCTATGGGAAATAAAAACGTAATATTTTATTACACCCCTGTGTGTGTGTGTGGTAGATCCTTCACAAAATGGCGGAAGGTGGAGTGAGAAACTGTCCGTTGCAGAAATGTCGTTAAATATTTGTATTTTCCATCCTTCTGGAAACTGATTTTGTGGCCGATCTATGTTCTGAAGAAGCATGAAGGATAAACACAGACGTAGGAAGGGTCGGACGTGGGCTGAGGCCGCTAAAACGGTTTGTATTTTAGTGGTCCAATCGTACGTGACTTTACTTCCATGACTTCAGTTCAGCTCTTCAAATTTTCATCATGTTCACACATTGCAAAATGGGTGCAAAATGACTGCATGAAATGTGGGTAATGTTGGTTGAATGGAACTTGGAAAAAACAAAGAGAGGAATGAAGGGAAAGTCATGCCTTTTCACGCTTTTCATCACATAATTTTAAAATTGACTGGTTTTTTTTTGGGGGGGGGGGAAGTCTAAGTTTGGAGCATTTTGCATTTTGTTGTGTGAGCATTTGCATCACCAAAAATTCAGCTTTTAAATTTAATTCTAATTTTGCAGAGAGAGTTATCGAAATCCAAACGTGAGACATCACGTTGAACTTGATGTGTACCGCAATGCATTGTGAATGTTAGTTACGAAAAGACTCCTCAGCTAACATTTTCATTGTGTAGATAAAACAGCACCCTCTTGAGTCTTGCATCTTCACACTGCAGAATGTTTCATTTTTTTTTAACAGAGGGCGATATGATAGCTGTTGAAAATTGCGTTAAGGCTGCTGTAATGATAGCCTCTACGTTTGGGAATAAAGAGGCTAAGTTTGGAAAGAAACATTTAAAATTTTTGTAAGAAAATGTTAGATTTTAACAACTCCCCATAGTTTGTACACAACCTCAAAACATGTCAAAAGTATCATTCTTTACATTTGGACCCTTTTGGCAGTACCAATCTGAAGAAGAAGAAAAAAAAGAAATAAACAAATGGAATTTAAAAAACCCCAAAAACGACCCCCCCCCCCCCCCCCCGCCCAAAAGTCCTTATGAAAAATCTAATCTTCAAAAATAGACATTCATTTTGCCATAACTTGACTGTATTTGGTATAACTACAGGGTTTTGAGTTTTTTTGACAGTTAATAAGTAAAATTTTAGGTGTGACTTGATATATTTCTATGCAGATTTGTTAAATTTTAAATCTTAGACACAGATTGAAAACTTCAGGCATGCAACTTTTCCTCGGATCAGCTGATTTCCTCTTTTTTCACTTCCAATGTGTGCCATTGAAAATAGAAAAACACTGTACAAAGTCTGGGAAAAATTTGAATTTCCTCTTTTTTTGTGACTTCCCAGTTGCATGCCTGAAACTTGCTTGGTCAATGTTGCTTATTTAATCCATTGGCACATGTGTTACAATGCATTACATTGTATTACATTGTATTACATTGTATTACATTGTATTACATCGTGTTCATTCACTGAAGAATCAAAACCATAGAGTGCTTTGGACACTATAGTGAATTATAGGCAGGGTGGTTTCGGAGTTGGGGTGGTTAATGTTAATGTAGACAATAAAGGATGTTGAGTGGGGTTTTTTATACTAGGAACTCACAGTCATGACTCATGACAATGAGAAGGAATTTCCCCTTCAATGTACGTCTGACCTCAGAAGTTGACACATTTACTTTGTTCCTTTTCATTTTTTGTAGGTTTTGGAGAAGCAGCCCAATACGCCCATGAGCTGTAAGGAGATATTGAGAAATATCAAAGAGGCTAATCTTAAAGACATCAGGTAATATTGGATGGCAATCTGTCCAAATTCACGACAAGTTTATTTCTCCAAAAAAAGGCCGCTAAAAATTGTACCTAGAACAAAATCTAAGTATCAAATTTGGGAAACTTTGGATTTTTAATTCATCGTGAAGTTGAGCCCTTTTGTATGTAATTGTTGTTGGTTGAATACTTGACCAAAAAAACCCTAAATACTGGATAGAAAACTATGCTTTAAATTTTTAATTTACACGTTTTGACTTTTACCGGAAAAAGCAGGAAATTATAAAAAAACGGGTATTTTTGAATAGAGAATGAAACCCAGCAAATTTACAATCATCCCATTTTATTTGGGTTTTGACACAACAAAAATACCAAAACAAGTAAACTTATTACCACCAAAAGCAAAATCAAAAAAAAAAACCCGCCCCAAAAATTAAAAAATTCCAAAACTAAAACCAAAGCAACAATGCAACCAAGCACAACAAATGGCAAAAATCCCCCCCCCCGAAAAAAATGTTCCTTTTCCTATTATTCCATTCAAATTCCTTGAAAAATTACAACTAAATGATGCTTGCAAATCTCATACCATCTTGCGACATGACTCAGCATGTAATGATGAATCTCCTTTGTTTATATATAGGGACATTGTATTGGGAATTCACTGATAGGCAGAGCTGAACCTTATTGTGGTGACATTTTAACTTAATTTTAACCAAACGTAAATGATTATCTCCGGTTTCCTTGGCATGAAACGACTGAGAATATTTCTATTCCCCCTGGATGGGATGCCAGTCCATCGCAGGTTACTCCCCAGCTAATGCCAGTACCCATTTATACTCCTGGGCATAGAGAGGCAAGTAGGGTGAAGTGGCTTGCCCAAGGACACAACATATGACCAGCAGCTGCATTCGAACCACTGACCTCTGCTCATAGGTCACAAACTCTAACCACTAGGCCACACTTCCCCTATGTTCCAACTCTTTCCAGGAATGTTTATATCAATTTAAAATAAGAAGTGAGTAATATAAACAAAATGTTCTTGTTTTAACTTTCATGCCTAACCACAAACTACAACATGGAACTGCCTTTATGAAGAAGGTAAGAGTTAGGTTTGATGTGCTTGCATTGGTTGCTGTGAAATGGTGTGGCATGGAATTCTTTTCTTTCCTAGGATATTCCTGCTGCTGTGGGAATATTGAACTTTTTGTTACAACATGAGAAATGTGTGTATCGCCTTACAAATGCACTTGTTTCTAATGAGATAGTAAGAATGTCCAAGCATGTACTCCTTTAGAATATTACAATATCGTTTTGATGCGTGTGACACCTCAACTATAGCATTGTCCTAACTATAGTTGGGATCATCCTAGTTAGGGCCCTTGCTGTATATCTGGGGGGTCTCATGGGCATGGAATGTGTTATTGAGTGATTGCCTATTTGCCTGATATAGTATGTACTGTTTGCTGTTATATATTTTGGGATATTGCCAAATTTCTAAACCTGTGTTACAGTAGTACACACATGGGTGACAACATGTGTGCCTCGCCAACGCCACGTTGCGTTTTCTAGCAATGCACATCATATGCGTGTGCACACATGTTGGACTTTTGTATGCGCATGCTGGACATCAATCATTGCTGTGATTGGTCAAAAATATGGGATGGGGCTTATTAAAGGTAGGGTACATCATTTGCAGCTATCCAAAAAGTAACTGACAAAATTATTGTTCCAAATCATACTTGGTTTAAAGATAGTCATGGATAGTCAATGTGAAATTATTCTTTCTGGCATGCTGTTATTTTAAAGAAAATAATAAAAGGCGGCCATTTCCAAAGATGTGTCAAGTGATACATTTTTGGAAATTTCCGTTAGTTAGTTGGTTTGTAATTCGGTGAATCTGTGAACAGGTGCGCGCAAGCGTTGACATGATGTACATGCACGCACGCGGTTGCTTATATTCGTCGGTTCAGTGCGTGACATCGCGTAGCTGCAATCGGCTGAATGAGAACGTGTCCCGGATACTGATTTCGGCTGCAACTCAAAAGATGACTCGGCAACATTTGAATTGAAATTGAAACCCTAGGATATTGTTTTCTTGGAATATACAGCATTCACAGAGCTAAGACTTCTTCAGGTTGGTTGTAAAGCACCCATCTTTACATTTTGAGCACTTTTGTTGCCTCGAACGAGAAAAATGCACAAATGACAAATTATCTACCCTACCTTTAAATGGAATTCATTTGCAGTGCTTGCTGTTGGTTTATATGTTATATCTTGATTCATGAGTGTGTATGCCCAGTTTTCTCATAGTCTGAATACAGCATTTTCTTTGATGCAGTTGAATAAACTAGTCTATTCCTCTATCCATTTGCTACAGTGGCACTGTACCGTCAGCTTGCTTGAATGCTGTCCTGCATGGTGGCTGTCGTGGACCTGACGGAACTTTCTACAAAGTGGCCGATATGATGGGAGTCTATGGACTAAGGGTAAGTTTTTGACTCGTTAGCACTTGTATTTAACTCGTTAGCACTTGTATTACATGGGTAAAACATGACATTCTCTTAACCCACTAGCAACTGTACTACATTGTATTACATTGTGTTTATTCACTGCAGAATCAATAAAACCATAAAGTGCTCGGGCTGTTTCAGGTGCTACAGTGAGTAGTAGGCAGGGCGGTTTCGGGTGCTACAGTGACTAAAGGATGAAATTTTCCATTCTTTGTTTTCACAGAGTCATTTATCCGATGAGGCTCGGAGGATGCTGGAATACAAGCTTGATGACTCGGTAGATGTGTCTAGTACCCTGGATGCCTTAGAGGAACCAGATGCTGAATTAGTGGTCAACAAACAGCAGTCAGGTACCAAGAAAATGCGTGAGTGAAAAAAAATGGAGACATGCCTGACATTGTAGATATAGCATTCGTAATTTCTTTTATTTTTAGAGTTGAGACGAAGGTACTTATTGTTTATTGAATTATTGACGCGTGATTGACTCGTCCGTACTTGTGATGGACGTGTTATTGACTTGCTAGGACTTGTGATTGACTTGTAAGGACTTGTGATGGACTCTTTAAGACTTGTGATGGACTTGTTAGGACTTGTGATTGACTCTTTAAGACTTGTGATGGACTTGTTAGGACTTGTGATTGACTCGTTAGGACTCGTGAAGAACTTGTAAGAAATTGTGATTGACTTGTTAGCACTTGTGATTAACTCATTAGGACTTGTGATTGACTCGTTAGGAATTGTGATTGACTTGTTAGCACTTGTGATTGACTCATTAGGACTTGTGATTGACTCGTTAAGAATTGTGATTGACTTGTTAGCACTTGTGATTGACTCATTAGGACTTGTGATTGACTCGTTAGGAATTGTGATTGACTCGTTGGGACTTGTGATTGACTCATTAGGACTTGTGATGGACCTGTAATTGACTTGTTAGGACTTGTTACTGAGCTGTTAGGACTTGAGATTGATTAGTTACGACTTGTGAAGGATTCATTAGGACTTGTGATGGACTCATTAGGACTTGTAGTGGACTCGTGATTGACTTGTTAGGACTTGTGTAAACTAGTTAAGACTTATGATGACTAGTGATGTTAGGACTTGTGATGGACTAGTTTAGACTTGTAATGGACTTGTGATGGACTTGTAATTGACTCTTTAGGACTTGTGATTGACTCTTTAGGACTTGTGATGGACTTGTCTCCAACACTATAACTGACCTCCATGACAATGTGCACTGTTTACTCCCATGTTTGTAATTTCTCCTCCAGCTGTGTGTTATCTACCAGAGAAAGCTCATCATCTCATTCCAGCGTTGCGACGCTTCACGCTCTACCAAATCCCGACCACGTCCACGTCCTCATCAAGTAGCGCGTCGTCGCACCGGTCGCCACCGAGGGCGGTAGACTCGGAGGATCAATTCCACCATCATCACCACCACCGTGCCAAGGGCTTTAAAGCCACATCGCAGATGCACAGCCCGACGCGGATCAAATTCACGCTGCACCACAAACACCAGCGACGGAAGCAGCAGATTGTGCCCAGGATTATCTTGAAACCTGTGAAATCCCCAACGGGAAAAGAACCTAATTATGCAGGTAAGACGTCTAAGTTAACATGGAGAGGCAAGCTTAGTAAAACTAATCCTAGATCACAGATATTCCATTGAAGTGATTCAGAATGACTATTCACCGGAAGTCTTTTCATGCATCTGGTCTTCACATTGGGCCGCATTTAGCCATTCATTGGTGTTACAGGGTAATCCTATATAACAACACTGCCCGACTCGCAAGTGACAGTGAGTCAGATAGAGAGATTAGTACAAAGAGGATACTGGGCTGGCCAAAAAAAACATTTCTTGAAAACATGTACAACTGCCACTCAGTACATCTTTAATCAACCCTAACCTTCCCAAATCTTCCAAAATCCTCTTTGCAAAATGGACTTTTTTTGCAGAATTGAGGCTGTATGTCAAAAGTGTGCGGCTGATTGTGGAGGATGCACTGTGTCAAGGTCTTAGGCCGGACCTTGTGTTGTTTATGCTCAGACGTGCATAAAGTTAGGCCTAGATTATACTTGAAATCCTCCGCACTGCTCCATGATGTCACTGGCTCTGCCTCCACAAATTGACAGTGATTGCTGGAGGATTTTGCAGGATTGAGGCAGTGGTCACCCCTCCAAGGACCACATTCAAGAAACAATGGAGGATTTTGCAGGATTGAGGCTGTATGCAGTTTTTACATGGAGGCAGTTGGAGGATTTTGCAGGATTGAGGTTGCATCCTAGCAAAAATGCCTATGGAAATAGGGTTAAATTCATAAAAGCTATGGTGTATTATTGTGGCATTTGCATTTGTCCTGCAGTTTTCAAGTTGCGTTTTTGTTCAATCTGAAGTGTGCATATCATGTATAAGCAGAAGTGTGGATGCACAAATTGACTTCTGAAAACTAACCTCTGAAAACTCAAGTATCAGAGACCTCTGGAAAAATGAACAATACATTGATGCATAAGAGTTAAGTGAATGACTGCTATTTATTTCTCCCATCTTTTTTTGTTTCATGGAAACTTCAGCGGAGGTGATTGATTTAACGCCATCTCCCAGTGACAACGAGCGAGATTCTCAAGCCATGCAAGATGACGACGTCGACACGGACACCAGCAAAGACGACAACTCCGAAAATAATCTCAGAATCGCCCAAAATGTCAACAACGCACAACACCCAGCAGAGAACACCCAGAAAGATCAGTCAACCTCGTCCTCAGATCAACAAGGACAAGCCGGTAATCCATCGAGTACATCTGATAGCTCTGGGAATGTGGTTGACAATCAGGTCGAATCCTCACGAACTATGACCCGAAGCAGCCTAGGGGTCAGAGGTGATGGGAACGAGACACCTGGTGTGACGTCAGCTAAATCTGAAGCTCCTACCGCTAGTCGGGTGTCGCTACGAATCAGCATGAGACAGGCATTACCACTGCAGACACAGACGAGGTCCCAGACCATGAGCAAACTAATGGCCAATGTTCCTGGGTTCAGCGGCAAGGTGAATATTTTGTGGGTGTGTTTTTTGTTTGTTTGGGGGGGGGGGGGGGCTTTTTTTAATAGAAGTTGCCCATTACAAGCCTGACAAACTATCAAGATAAAGGAAAATACTATTATAGTGATCTGTAAGAACAGGATAAATATAGGATCCTAATGTGAAATACAAATCTAAATAAGATCAAATTCGGGAAAATAAGTTATTCTTCAATGCTTGACAAAACAATTTTGTGGTAGAAAATATTAGACAAACAATCTGAAATGTAAAGTTACTGTGATATGTCGAGCAAATACATTAAAATTGCATAGCTGAAGCTATGCCCTACACTTTGATGCTACTAAATTTAAACAAAAATCAATATTTATTATCTCCTTTATTCTCCTACAGCCAAGAAACCGAGAAAAGAAGTTTTCAGGTAAGATGATAGAAATGTTTATAAAAGTGTGAAGAAAATTAACACCATTTAGTTTCATTAACCCTAACCTTACAACTCCATCAAAATCCATACCCCTATTTTGGGGGATTTTGGCAGAGAAGCCACGTGTACCAAGTCCATCAAAATCCACCAGCACCAGTGGTGGATTTCAACGGATTTGGTCCTGAAGCATTATGTGAATCACATTCAATGATGGATTTTGACGGACATGGTCTCCTACTTAATAGTGAAACTAAGTAGGGAGTTAGAGTTGAGTGCTATTTATCTTTTGAATGTTTCTCTATTTTGTTAATACAATTTCCTTTTAATTTAATAAAATTTCATTCATTTGTAATAAAGTTATCACAGCATGAGTGTTATAGTGAGTTTATAATTGGGATGTTTTTTTGTTCATATTTTTTAGTTTTATCAAAATTGCATCCTCCTAAGAAGATGAGTCTTCATGTAGATCTTGAAACGCCGGATTCCATCTTGGCCAACGTTAACCTGAAGGTAAAATAAAATGACTTAGTGTTTCAATAAATTTATATTTTATGTTAAGTGTTTAGTCATGGTATAAACACTTGCCCAACACAACAAACACTTTCTATAGTTAGAAGCCTGCCAAGCATAACAAGATCCATCAGGTCAAATGTCTCAAGGCCCAAACTGCCTCAGAGTCTGTGGTCACCAACTGCAGCAGGATACAACTGTGGCATTGTTCTATGGGACTAGCTCTCATTGTCTCAGAACTGGCCGTTTATGCACTGGCTCAATGCAGCAAGGTCCCAAAGACTTTCACACGTCTTGCAAGGGTCAGGACTTTCACACGGGCCAGGACTTAATTTCATTATGCTAACAATTGTAATCGTTAAAATATGTTTTTAAAAATAACTTCTTTTTTTCAAGGCGTTGATCAACAAGCACACTTTCAACAGTCTCCCCGCCCACTACCAATACAAGTTGCTGACGCTCCTGCCCAAAGTTGACAGAGTGCAGACCAACGATAACTTCATCAAGTGAGTTTGAATTTGGCCAAAAAGATGCTATCCAAATTTGAGACATGTATATATTATTTTAGTTAAAGGGAATATACATCATTTGCTTTTGCTGTAATTTTCAGAAATGGATGGAATTGGGGGGTAGGAAATATAAAGCAAATATAGTTACATTGACTTTTTGGAGGTTTTGGGTTCGAAAATGCTATAAAAACCAAGAAAAACGATCATTTTCCTGTAGTCTGGTTCCCTGACTCCATATAAGAAGAAACAGAGCAGTTTACATACAATGGGGAATTGTAAGGTCAGGGAACCAGTCTAGCTGGCTCGTACCCGTTCATAGGTTTGTAATCGATTGCAAACAAGTGCAATGGTCAATTGGGGCCAGTATTTGAAAAAAAGCCGCTTGTTTCCAACGCTGATCGGCCGATCAGCGTTGGAAATTGATACAAAAATACAACTTTTCTTGAAAATGACAGTATACCAGGTGCCATGATTTTACAGGATGCTTTAGACTGTCATTTACCACCATCCTATTAAGGTATTTCGCAAAAACTTGGTAGTTTTATTTTTCAATGTTTGCAAATGTTGTATATTCCCTTTAAACAAAGAAATTGAATGGAGCTGGGTTTGAACCTGTTACCTCTGGATTGCCGTTCCAGTGCTCTACCAAATGAGCTATCCAGCCCTATGTTGGCGGTTCCCCATTTTGTCAATGTCTTTGTTCAAGGGGCGCTAGTCAGAAGCCATAAACCTGTATATGCCATGTAGCCAGGGATCACGCCCAAAGTCACGATGCTAGCAACATTAGCAATGCTGCAAACCTGGAAATAGCAAACGGGGATCACTCAGAAAGGAAATGAACAAGAAAATCAATACTAACGCAGGATTAAACCCAAATCGATTACATTTAGTGAATTGATTGTATGATGGTCATGATGGGGTTTTCTTTGGGAAAAACAACAGCTTACAATTACCGACCGTGGTTACGGTGTTTGAATCATGTAGATGGTGCGTGGGTTCAAACCCTGCCAGGAACATGGTGTTTGTGCCCTTGGGAAAGACACTTAACTACAATTGCCTCTCTCCACCCAGGAGTGCGAATGGGTACCTGTGAGGGTAGAGGACCGAATGTGGGCTGATATCGGCTGCCTAGTGTCTCGTGGCCTGATGAACGGGGGAATAATTGTAAAGCACTTTGAGATTATTGATACGATGAAAAGCGTTTTATAAGTATTACAATTTATTATTTATTATTTTTAACAAAATGTTTATTTTGTTCTTATTATCCATTTTTTTTCAGGATGAACGGTTCTGCTTTGGATAACGAGTTCTTCGCCAGAGCCTGCAGTAAATGGAGGGAGAGGTTGTCATCGGGGGAATTTACTCCGGAATCACAACTGAGGCTGAGACAGGAAATAGAGAAGGATATGATTAAGCTAGATCCGTGGAAGGTACGCAGATATTAATGGTAGAGCACTGGTGTGGCATTACAAAGGTCTTTGGTTTGAATCCTGTTAATTGAACAGTTGACGAGTTGAGTGTTAAATTGCAGACTTGCTTTTGGTGTGTTGGGCACTCCTCTGTTTGCATAACTGTAATATTTGTTTTTTCCCGACATAACTTTAACCCCAACTCCCTAGGCCTTTTTGCTAGGATGTAGCGTCAATCCTGCAAAATCCTCCAATTTGCCTCATGGAAAAATAGCATATAGCCTCAATCCTGCAAATTCCTCCATTATTTCTTGAATATGGTCTGTGGAGGGGTGACCACTTCCAAAATCCTGCGGCAGTGACTGTCAATATGTTAAGGCTTGGCCAGTGACATCCTGGAGCAGTGCGGAGGATTTCAAGCATAATCTGGGCCTAAATTTATGCATGGCTGAGCAAAAACTTGACAAGGGGCGGCTAAAGACCTTGACAAATTGCATCCTACAAAATCAGTAATGCACTTTTGCCATGTAACCTCAATCGTCCAAATTCCTCCACTTTGGCAAAGAGGATTTTGGAGGATTCAGGGCGGTTAGGGTTAATGAACAGTGTGTACTCGCTGTTGTCTGTTGGCTTGCGAGAAAAAGTTACTTTACTAGGGTGGGATGTGAATCCATGACCTCCTGCTTACTAGTGCAGAGGCAATGCAAACACCTATTGGCATAAATCAAAGTTTAATTCACATCTTCACCACGCAGAGTTACGTCATACAAATAAAGTAGTGGTAGGTGATGGTCAGTCAACATTAGCAAAAGACTGTTGATTACATTAGAAGATTTAAATACAGTCATATCATTGAAAACAAGGTTAAAGTTACGTAGAGTCAATTTGTTCCATCGTCATTGTTCTGCTGTGAGCCACTGACTTACAACGTTTGACTTTTCATTCTCTTTGTGATTTTAGGCCAAGCATTTTGAACCATCCTGGGGTCAGTCTCTACTCGCTACTGCCCCTGACATCCCAGAATCCTTTGCAAGCATGGGGGTCATCCCACCCGAGGAGAGGAAGTCGCCCGCCATGCATACCAGGAGTTCTTCCCAGAGAAAAGGCGCCGGAGGGCACTCGGTCAGCACCGTGTACCGCAACACGCGATCGGCGGCATCCAGCAGTCATCACCACCACCAGAAGCCGGGTTACGAGCCTTTGACAAGACATCACAGGAGTATGTCTTCAAGAGAGAGCAGACGACTGCATCGGATGACCCAGAAGGAGCTGAAATACTGCGCTACCGTGGAGACCAGGAGCACTCCCAAGCAAGATGCGGTTACCAAGCAACCAGAGTTCAGATCAGTTATTGGAGATATAAACATCAAACCATCATCGAGTAGTAGTTTGCCGCCGTCGTCGCAATCCAATTTTTCTTGCAGTTCACTCCTGTCCAGTATGGCAATGGAGAGCCAACGGAATCAGGCAGCAGCAACCTCAGTCGCTTCCTCAACATCCTCTCAGATGCTGCAAAAATCATCCGCAGGAAAGGAGGTAGTTTCGTTGAAGAGACCCTTGGAGAGTAGTGATGACAGTAAAGAGAAGCGTTTATGCTTGGATGATAGTAGCGTTGTGGTGCTGGATTCCCGTCAAGTGTCTCGAAGTCAGTCTGTTTCTACTCAGTCTTCCGCGACAGTTCTGACTGCCGTCTCATGCGCGAATGCTTCACGGCAACAAACCTCTGCAACAACAGCAAATCCGGACATAAAACCCAAGGTACTGCCGAGCGTGAAATCCTCAGTGAATGTTGGCAAACAGGGGACGAGAACACTCGCTCAAATCAAGGCGCAGACTCAAGCTCGGGCGCAGGCTCACGGACAGACGCGTACCCTGGCACAGATTAAAGCACAGACAACTGCGAAGCTGTTGGCGCGATCAGCGGCTCAAGCGGAAGCTCAGAATCAGGCTAAGATATCCGGTCATACGCCGACGATTCTGAACCGATCGCGGTCTCCACAGTGGAATACCGTCAAGACAGTGATTCCTGTCGCCCTGTCAACAAGCCCTGCTAATAACCCCACCCAGGCATCATTGAATCAAGTGCCCAAGCACAAGCTCGAGAACCATGTGGTGCAAGTCAACGCATCGAACCAGCAAGTGGTCCAAGCCATTCAACCGTTCATCATCAAGACCCAACCGGGTAGCGGTGTCAGCGTGGTCTACGTGACCCAGCCCAACGTGGTGACTCTGATGCCTGCCTCAGCCACGGCCATTCAGCGGATGAACAAAAGCCCCGGCCTTGCTAAACCTGCGTCCGTCGTACAAACCACGTCTAGTCCGAGGGTCGTGGTGGAAAAGATCCCACAGTTTACAACTTCAGTCTTGGCAGTCTCGAGTACAAGTGCATCTCAGAGGCCCAACTCAATCAAAACTCTTCTGAACTTGAAAAACGCATCGGGAGAATCCCCAAACAGTGCCTCACCACATGAAGAGAAGAGTGGCAACACAAACAAGACTCTTCCTAATGGGACTAGTCCTGGAACACCAATGCATGGACCGACTAAAAATGAGAATAATTCAAGGGCAAGTGAGGTTGTAATCTTGGATAATAAAACCAACACCATGCGGCAGCAGATTGTGTCAGCTAGTGTCAGTGGTACACCTGTTGTCTCCTCAGAATCAATTAAGATTGTTACAAACAGTAACGCACAGGTGGATCCGTTTTCTTGTCGGTCGACGCCCAGTCTTGTTCTCCAACCAGTCGACATAGCTAACGGAAGGGAGTGTGCAGATAGCCTGGATGCCTCGCCCGGCAAATGCTCGTGTCGGTTAGGAGCCATGGTCGTATGCAAAGGTTGCGGAGCATTCTGTCACGATGATTGCGTCAGTCCGACGAGTCTATGCATGGCCTGTGTAGTAAGATAACCATCGTAAGTTAATTGTTGAACAATTTCAGCATGTAATTAGTTTGTTACAAAAATGGTTTTTGTTACAAAAATGGTTTAGGCTCCGTGCACAAGTAGCCCGCAATGGTTACACAGGGAAATTTGGGGAGACCACTGAGAGGGATATTCAAACGCATTTACAATGCCAACACTTGTGCAAAGACGATACAGGTTCTTGGACATTAGTTGTGCGCGCTTTGTCCCATATATGCGCGTGACTCGGTACGCGCACACGGTGCGTCCCTCCAAATGGGGCTCTCGAAGTGGTCGCAAACGCCCTCTACTGTCCGTGCAAGGAGTCTATAAGTTCACTGTCAAAAGAACTGCTGAAGTTTGGCTAGTAGCAATGTATAATTACCAAGCAGGTTATTTGTACTGAACTTTAATAAGACTATACAACTTTAAATGCATGTTGAGACGTAGTAACTCGGCCTGTGAAAAAAAAAGCAAAATCTGAGGCCCGTTCTAGACGCTGTGCTATTGCTGCGCTGAACTTAATTGAAATGAGTGCGGCAATAGCTGGTCTACAACATGGCAGTTGCTCTAAATGCCGAATATAATAGTCAAACCTTAATGCATCTGGAGGAACTGGCCAGGTTAAAGCAGTTCAAGTAGTTCAAGCAGTTCAATACATTTTCAGCGCGATCTTAATATTCTCTCCAATTTCACTCTCTGTGATGCGGATGCGAAAGAGGGTATTGTCAGCATGCGCTTTCCTAAAATGTTTGCCCCAACTTCGAATTGAATCGAGTTCGTCACGGCAATGGCACAGCGTTTAGAACAGTGCTGTGTTACTGCCGTTCAGAACGACGATAGCGTGGCAGCCCTGTTGAGCCAAAGGATGGTGCCGTGCAAAACTCAATTTCTGGAGCCAAATGGTTCTAAACGCCGTGCTATCGCTGTGCCGAATTTTAAAAAGCCAAATTAAGTGAGTTTGGCACGGCAGTAGCACAGCGTCCAGAATGGGCCTTAAAGTCAAATCAAACTGCAACGGAGAACCAGTAATGGTTGGTCACCCTAACTTTCAATCCTCAGCAAATTCATGTACTTAACTGCTTTGTAATGTGTACCTCAATACAGGATAAGTCTGAGCTTACGGACATTAGGGGTACAATTTTGGAAAAAATTAATACCTCGTAGACTTACTTGCAAGGTGATTTTGATATAGGGGTGTGCATCGGAACGGGTTTCAGATTATGGGATCGGGTACCCATAAATGGATTGTGGAATTGGGTATTAACTTTACAAATTACTTAGTAACTTCTCAGACAATGAAAAAAAAAAAAGGTTTCGAATGCCATTTGTGGGCCCGGAATTTTTCAAAATGAAAACCAGGCTACATGGAAAACAGATTTCACGTTGATGTGCATTTAACTCGCAATGACACTCGCGAAAGTTTATATATTTGGCATACTATACATGCAGCAGACATTTTTCGCTATTTCAGAATAATCTCTGCATGTGTATCAATGGTATAACTGGACCAGAGCTTAACCAATTTTTATCTGAAAGAAATGCTTTCAATTGTAAAACTCCTCTATGGTTGGGCAAGCAGGATTGATTATGTGTCAAAGTTATGTAAATATGTTGTATAAAATCTGTACATGAGCTGGGCATTGCACAAGCGAGAATGAGGAATCACTACCAGTCGTGAATATTTTTCACTTTGCAGTGAATCCCGTTTGTGTCCATTTTTTGTTCACGTGAAAATACACGTATAGATTAAGGAAGGTTGCGGATAGCACATCAAAGCAATAACATAGAAAATGAATAAAAAATGAAAAACCCATTTCAGGGCCAATATTTATAAAAACGACCTGCTCGCAAAATATTTTTTCCTAAGTTTAAAGTTTGTTTTTCTGCAGTGAGTACTAAAATGTAGGCTGTTTTATTATTTTGTATTTTTGTTTTGTTGAGTTGAAAGCAATATAGAGGGAAAAATATGTAGTATACTGACGCCACTTCAGAAGTTGTGTACAAAGTCTATGGAGAGTCAAGACAATTTTCGAAGTATTTCCTACCAAAATTGGAAAGATTTCTCGGTCCCAGATTCATGTCTTTTCAACATTTTTGCAATGACTGACCTTTGTTGCGATATATGAAGAAAAAAGTGACGTCAGGTTGCAACATTCTTTCCATGTAGAGAATTGAAAAGGTATATGGAATATAACAAATTTGTGACCATTGCATACACATTCTTTTTGGCTTATTTAAATATTTTTGTTCAACTGTATTTTGATTTGATAATCTTTTACAGGTATATATTTAAGTTTGCTCTGTCTTATTTAAGAATCAAATTATTTAATGATCTATTATTTTTTTTGGCATGGCTTGCTTTGTACAGTGCACATGTTTACCTGCTCATCAATGGACCGATCTATTAGGCTCCACCCCTTGGTGTTCTGACCAATCACAGCGCATCTAGAACATGCAGTGTGGTGTTGGAGTGGCCCATGTGTGTAGTGGGCGGGGCTTAATGGATCGATCCATTGCAACTCTGAGGGGTAGATCGAAATTGAGGGGAGGGGCCTTTGCAAAAATATGTTCGCATCCTCTTGTATAGGGTGGTGCAAAAAGAAGAAAAACAACTTTTGACAGGAATTTCAACCTTACTTAACTTATTTGAACTGTTTTTTATAACGTAGTGAAGTATAGCTCTTCAATCATACGTGGTGACAAAAATGTTTTAAAAAATCGCAAGAATAGTGTTATTATATCAAAGTCACCAAAATCACTGTTGTCCACGTTTAAGTCTAATGTAGTGTTTTTTGTCTTCAAATCAAGCTACGGAGCTCAGTCAAGCGGATGGAATAAAGCTGTCCATGGACAAACAGGTTTGGCACATGAAATGTTTAAACTACCATATCTCAGAGACAAAATATGCATTTGCAATCATTTTTTCGTCACTTAATGTTTAAAGATCGATATTTTAATACCATTACATTTAATTTTTGAAATATGCTCAACAAGTAGGCGAAAATTGCTGTCAAAAGTGGGTTTCCTTCTTTTTGCACCAACCTGTATATTAATCATGCTATTTGATTTGAGTTAAATTAAGAATTAAAATTGTATTTATTCATTTTCTTTGCGGGTTAGTTGCTTGCATAAATATACATGCATGAAAATAGAGTGGAAAACGGTGCAAAAACACAACTGCTAAAAAAAATTACAAATAATCTGTGAAACTGCAAGTAAATATTCCAGGAGGCAATGTTAAAGCAAGCTTAGGGTTTCTCCGCACCACACAGAATAAATGCCTCATTGAAACCCCAATTTGTAACCTTTTTTTGTAAATAGATCGTTAAGCAGTGTACGGATTGATTGCAAGAAATGGTAGCATTGATTAACACATGTATAATTTATGTAATTTGTAATAAAGAAAGTGAAAACTCTTAATATTTGCCTCGTTCTTGAAATGTTTGAAAACGTTTGAAAACTCATGTATAAATTAGAAAACATGCAAAATCAAACATAAAAATAAACTTAAAGAAAATAAAAGATTAGTCATTATTGATTAATATTCAAGACAACATTAAAAAAACGGTGTGTGTAAACCTAAAAAATCAGTGTCCATTACAAATTAGTATAAAATAGGTATAAAGTTAAACACAAAAAATGACAATCAAAAGAAAAAGCATGCAAATTAACTCTAAGGCCGAGTAAAAATAAAATAGATAACTTCTCATCCAGGCTTTTAGAAAAAAAATGAAGGTGGACATTTGTTTCCCTTTTTTTTTTCCAAGATGGCGGCTTGATTCTTCCATTTTCTCGAACTCGTTTGCTGATACAAAATTGTGTCCGAGGGAACTGTCATCCTTCTACATACTTAATAAAATTGACAATATATTGATATTATTTATAAAATATATTTCAAATTATGATTCAAACAAAAACAATTTTTTTTAAAAGGAGGCGGGCAGGGATGACAAACGGGTTAATTTTTTTCCTTGGGCTAAGTAGTGGCCTCTTCTGACAGATATCAAAAAGCTAAAGATCTACAAATGGTAAAACTGGGAATGTTTGTTGGCATCTGAATTCTGCTTAAAGGTATTATACAACATTTGCTTTTGCTGTAATTTTCAGAAATGGATGGATTTGGGGGTTGGTATTTTAGAGCAGATATTGTTACACTGGCCTGTTTAAAGTTTTGTGTCCATAGATGCTGCAAAACCAAGACAAAAATGCTGTTCTTGTAGTCTTGTTCCCTGAACCTACTTCAGACGAAATGGAGCAATTTATATATGTCGGGAATTGTCAGGTCAGAGAACCAGACTAGCTTGCTTGCACCCGTTCACGGCTGTGTAACCAATTGCAAACAAAATGGACTAAATTTGGTAAATTGGGGGTAGCATTTGGAAAAAAAGTCGTTTTTTTCCCAACGATGGTCGACTGACCATCATTGGAAATTGATATAAACATTCCACTAATACTTGAAAATGACAGCACACCAGGTGCCATGATTTCACAGGATGCTTGAGACTATCATTCACTTACAGTTAAGTAAGGCATTTCATAATATTTGATAGTTTTGTTTTTTGATGTTTGCAAATGTTGTATATTACCTTTAAAACATGAAGCAGGAAGTCAGAAAGATAAACTTCGCGGAAAAATTTCGCAGATGATTCCTTAAGGGCAACGCTCAGCACGCTGGCTTCAAAGTGACAATAATAAACCAACAGTGTTTCATGAACAAATAAAAACAAGACAAACAACAACAAATTAGTGTTTTCGTTTTAACATTTAACGAAAAGTTCTATCAATGTTTCAAAATAATAAGCCAGTTCGGTATCTCAATGACGAAGTCCAGGTCAAAGGTCATTCAGGATAAAATCGCTGACGTGATGTTTTGGAATGTTAGGCAAATGCCCATTCTGCTCCTTATAGGTCTCATTCAAATGACGTCATTTCCTACAGACCATCCACGTGCATCGGCATTTTGAGCGTCAACTTGCATAATGGGCATCGGCTGCGTCGTATTTCGAACACATTTCGAGCAACAAGCGCGCATGTTTGGAACATTTTCAACACTACGCAATGCGTGCTTGATTGCGTAAAATACGCAGTTGCAGTTCTCCTACAGAGATGGCCGTCATTGAGCGAGCCCTATTAACACGCGAGCGTCGTGCGTTCATCTCCTTGCGTGTTCATGTGCCTTCACGATTATCCCAAATGATCCATGACCCATATCATTGTGCGCTGGCACAATTGAAATACCGAGCGGGCTTATTGTGACTGGACTGGACTTGTGGTGGGCTTGTCCTAGACTCGACAACAACGCTGAGGCTGATTCAATTCTTATCCCAATACTCAAAGAACTGCTCCCTCAACACATTATAGGTCCTGAGATGTATTGCCTGGTAGCGCTCCAGATCGGGATAGAACCTTAGACCAGTCAGAAGCTCCACGTCCTTCACTCTTGCAGTGTTAGCCTCCATGTAATCAAGTTGGCTCTGGAAAAACAAGAAAATCATTTGGGGAAAATGTGAGAAAAATTTGTAACAGATATGAAAATTGATATTCTTAACCCTCCTGCTAAATAATCAGTCACAGACAGTCAAAATGTCAATCCACTTCCCATGCTATATTTTAAACACAGGCTAGTCACCAGCAGTCAAGATGGTTCCTGAAACTGATTTTGAATTGACCCACAGAGGACTGTGATTGTAGTCCATTCCACATGGTTCTATCTTAACTCCTTGGAACATACACAGCCAATCTTAAAGGGTTCGACAATGATCTTTAGGTGCAAATGAAATAAGATAAATGTTGCTACCTGACAAGCCTGTATGCCATCCTTGTTATGAAGGATGAAGGCTAGAGGAGTGAGCGATGGACAGTCTTTACTGATGGGTTGGTCATCGGAGGAACATGTTGTGATTACGACAAAGTAGTGAGTTGGTATCATTGTGTCTCCAAGCTTTTCCCTGCAAAAAACATATAATTCTTAAGAGAAAACATTGGAGTAATTCAAATGTTGTAACTAATCACTGAATTTAACGACTTGAGTCAAGTTGGGTCATCAAGGTTGAATCAAGTTGAGTCATCAAGATTGAGTCAAGTTGAATCGAGTTACACTTTTGCTCTGTTCTATTAGAGTCATTTTGACTTGAATTGAGTTAAGTAATTCTAAGGCAAGGATGAGTCAAGTTGAGTCATCAAGGCTGAATCAAGTTGAGTTATCAAAGTCGAGTCAAGTTGAATCGAGTTTAAACACTTCTTGCTCTGTTCTATAAGAGTCACTTTGACTTGAATTCAGTCAAGTAATCCTAGGGCAATGATGAGTCAAGTTGAGTCATTAGGTTATCGGGGTCAAGTCAAGTTGAAATCGGAGTCGCATTCTTGCTCAGTTCAATTAGAGTCAGTTTGAGGTGATTCAAGTGATTTTCTCACCATGACTCTAATTGAGTCAATTTGTCAGTTGCCTGAAAATTGTGACTTGAGTCAGACCAGAGTCGAGTCATCAAGGTCGACTGAGTCAAGACGAAGCGAGTCACATTCTTGCTCAGGTCTTTTTTGGGGTACACTAATAGGTTAAAAGGGATGGGTTTGATTAGGTTACATCTAGCTGATAACATTGCATCTGTAATGATCAGACAAGACAGCATTAAATGAAAATCAAGTGAAACTGTCACCCACCCTTTCTGAGTTATAACATCCATGGAATCTCTGAGGCCGTCCAAGTCATAGTCAAATATTGGACCAGTCACTACGTTGATACCGTTGTATTTATCTGCCCATTTAGGTAAGTAGTCATCCAAGTAACCACTCCATACATCTGAAAAAGCAGCAGAATTAGTGAAACTTCTGAAAACTTGGTCTACACCTGGCGTAAAAAGAAACTAAGCAGTTTTTATAATCATCCTTGTTTGGACATTTCTCGGTGAACAAAAGATCTGAAATAAAAGTTTTGTCATGGAAACTTTCCGGTTCAATTTGATACCTCACTTGGGAACACTGTGTGAGAAATAACGAGAGCGCAAGGGCTGAAGCTCCTGAAACCCCAAACCAAAAGTTGCACAATCAAGATTTTCAATGGGCATTGCAACAGACAATTGAATGCGGGGCCTGCATCAAGTGTGTGTTACAACGGCCATTAAAAATATCCAAACGAGAGAAATGGTCAAACAAGGCTGATTATAAAAACTGCTTAGTTTCTTTTTGAGCCAGGTGTATCTTAGAATAATTATGTCCAACGAATTCCACTTCAGATTTTCAAAGTTCAACATAATCTTTTTCCAAATATAAAAGTTCTTCACAATGTTCATTCTTATATCTCAATGATCATCCATATAAACAGGTACGCATTTAAGTCTTGAATGTAACTGCTCATTAAATATACAAGCTTCTTTTCAAGTTGACTCGAGATCCTCCTTTTTGTAATTTAAAAAGGAAATGAAAAAATGTCATAAAATAGTAATTTCGTCTTCTAGTTAGCAGTTGGACTTTATTTGTGTTCTTTAATGGACCGTTGCGGATGTGATCATAGCCCCGCCCATCTTTACTTTGTGTTCATGTTTTTCACTTTATGAATGAGTTTGAATGAGCTGCCATGGTCATCTGACCAAAAGTCGTGATCTAATTGGTCATAAAAATCCAGATTTGATCATAAGCCCCGCCCACCTTTACTTTGTGTTCATGATATTTTTCACTTTATGAATGAGTTTGACTGAGCTGCCATGATTACCTGAACAAAAGTCGTGATCTAATTGGTCATAAATATCCAGATTTGATCATAAGCCCCGCCCACTTTGACTTTGTGTTAACATTTTTCACAAAATTATGAATGAGTTTGACTGAGCTGCCACGGTCACCTGACCAAAAGCCTTGATCTAATTGGTCAATGCCCACGGTTTGATTGACAAGCAGGAAGGGTCCTGACCTCGTATAAATCCAGTGAATTGTGGCACCAAGTTGGATGTGATGAGTGCATCCATCTCAGCATCCAATGTTTCAGTCAAGCCTGAGGGAAAAAAATATAAACCATTATGGCTAACCTCATTGCCTTTCATTTGGTATTTAATTTTCAGTGTGAAAAGTCCAGAAAAAAAATCACAGATGCCATCATAAAAAAATAATAAAGTCAGATAAGATTCAGGATTTACAGAAAATTATAAAAATTATATAGATATAAAGAGCAGTAGGACACCCACAATACAATAAATCAGACGAAACAAAGCGGAACCCCTTAGGAATTGCAAAAGAAATTAACTTATAAACTGTCAGGTTGCTATTCCTACACTTCCGATGGAAAAAAATATGTATGTAAATTCATCCAAAACCATAGCACAAGAAAAGATGAAACTTGCATAAAGAACACAATATACTGATGACAATACAGAAATTAATAACAAAGAATAATAGAGGATACAAATACAACAAATCATCAAGCAAACAAAGAGACAGGGTAACTTCAACCACATACAGCAAACATTCCCCGGCCCAATCCTCCCCCAACTTTATTCACTTCTGGTATGAATTCATGTGAAATTTCAAACAGCAACTTATAAAAAAAATTTTTTTTTACCGCTACAGTGAATACTAGCTTTGGTTTCGACCAATTACCTTTGCTTGGTAAATGTCTCCCTGTGTGAAACATCGTCACATGCATGGTTCAGTTTTCTTCAGTGAGCTGCAATTACAAAGTTTTCCTAACTTCAGGATTTCAACATTGTTCCTGATTTTGTTTTCTTTCTTACCTGGTGAATAGGAGAAACCCATGACGATATTCGTCGGGTCAAAGTCTGCATCACCATTGGGTGACTGGATGTTGTTATAGTCAGTGCAGTTTGGAGTTACATCTGCTCCAACACGAACATCAGTTCTGGCACAGGTCAAATTTGGAGCACTACCATGTGACTAAAAAAGAAAGAAAACCATTTGACTAAATTTCATTTCAGTTAATGAGGGTGGTACCCACTGCTATATCAGATTCGAACTGGCCAGTTGACCACGGTAAGCTCAGTGGTCAAGTGGTAAGATGCCTGCTCTAGTAAGCAGGAGATCGTGGGTTCGAGTCCCACCCAATCATCCAGACAGCACCGAGTATGCAATTATGTTGGTGAACGACACAACCAAATTATTTCTGGAGAGGATCGTCAAAAACAGTTTTATTTTTTTAAAGTTTGGTCATCCCTCCCTATTATTCAGGGTTCTCGGCACTAACTTTACAAAAACAAAATAAGTTTTACCTGATATTTCCCTGAAAAATTTCCGAACTTCAATGAGAAATGTTTTCACTTTAACGAGGTTGCTGGGAAGTCACGAGGTGACGCAGCACAGCCAATTGTTACTGTCTGAAGATGTGTGTATATATTCACACTGCATAAACACTAAAAACCCACCACAGCCAGTCAGTCAATGGACACAACATGGCTCAAGATGGACACACACCAAACTGGCAAAACGCTTTTCCTTCCGGGTCACTTTTAAATTCCCAGAGTTTTCGACCCAATTTTTTAAAATGTTTTTACCCACATTTTCTGAGTTTTCCCTGAATTGAAAAATGGAAACTCATTTTATTTTTGAGGTTTCCCTGATTTTAAGAGGGAACCTGTTAACAAAAATTATCGGAAAATCTCAGTTTTATCTCTTAAGGCCGGTTCATACCCAGCGCGGAAGCGAATTTGAAAGCGAATTTGTGATGTCAGGGCAACTTTTGCTGTGAATTCGCGAAAGTTGAACACATTTTAACTTGGGCGAGTTTCGCAGCGAATGCCTCATGACGTCAAATTTGATTCGCATTCGCATGGAGTATGAACCGGGTAAGATATGTTCGGATGTCACTATAATTTACATCTTTCTTGTTGAGAGTGAAGGACGTGTAGAGAGGCATCTTCAGTTCGTGGCTGTATGCTGTGATGTAGTTGGTCTGGACCAACTCACAGTAATCAGTCCTAAATGTCACCTTGGGAACTCCAAACAAAGCATGCATGGTCCTTGCCGCTGTTTCTATATTCAAGAAGAAAAAATAATGGGAAGTTGAAACTTTCTTAGGCCTTTTGACACTATTGTCTTGCCTGTACCCGTGCTGAAACAAACACGGGTCTACCATAAGCAGAACTAGGTCCCATCAAACCCAGGTAGGCAAGGCAAACTGTTCACACTAACACTAATTGTGGATTTTCTACCTGGGTAGAGGCTCTCAACCCTGGCCCTGACCAGGGTCGGATTTTACCCCGTGTAGAACGCTGGACCCGTATAGAAGCCGTGTTGGATTCTGCTAGTGTGAAAGGGGTTTCTGAAATATCTGCGTTCAACCAGGGTTCAACACGGAGATTTTAGATAGTGTGAATAGACCATTATCATGTTGTGGCCATCTTGATTTTTTCCCGTTCAAATCAATATTACCAAAGCGAGGCTGGAAGGAAAAATAGTCTGGTTCCTTTTTGCACAACAAAAATTATCATTCAGTACTGTGATTGGATACAGGGAACATGACTGAAATGGTGGCAGTATGGTAAAGATCTTTTGGGCCTAAGGTATTGGCAATATGATAAAGAGATTTCAATCAATGATCAAATATTTACTTACTTTCGCTGTCAGATAAATTCAGCTGCTCGTCAAATTCTTGGATTGTTTTGTTGGTCATAGTCTGCAGGGAAAAAAGAGAAAATATGTGTTTTCTAACATAAAATAGATCTGAAAAACAATTCAGTCTTCAGTCTTGACTGAAAGTTAAATATGTTTTTGATTTTTTTTTCTCGACCTTTTTTTTATGTTTTAGTTTTTTTTAATTTCATCATCATCTGCCTCAGACAGTACCACACGTCTAGACATAAGTTACAGGGAATAATTAATAACAAAAATTCGTCATTGCCTTTGTCTTTGTTCATTTGTACTTATCTTGGGACTTGGGACTAACCGTTATGTAATTAAGTTCTGATGGACTTGTACTGGACTTTTGAAGACTTGTGAGGAATTCAAATAAAATGCTACATTTCTGTGGTGTTGCTCCTCATTGAAAACTGGCAATTTCCATCTTATCTCAAAGATTCTTAGCTTTATTAGGAAAGAATGTTGCAACCTGCTGCTGCTTTTTTTCTTCATATATCATCTCAATGAAGGTCAGTCATTGCAAAAACGATGATAAGACATGAATCTGGGACTGAGAAACATTTCCAAGTTTTCATAAGATGGAATTTTGCGTCGGGGTGATGTAAATGAAATTAGGTTTTGCCCTTCACCGACGTATAAACACTGTATACTCGGTGTGTTACGAGTCCCACCTGAGTCCCACCCGAGCGATTTTTTCCAACTTTCACTCGGGAGGTAACACACTGAGTATACAGTGTTTATACGTCGGTGAAGGGCAAAACCTATTTTGATTTCCAAGTTTGTAAGGAAATACTTAGAACATTTTCTTGACTTTCCATAGACTTTGTACACAACCGCTGAAGTAGCGTCAGGTTGCAACATTACATCTTTGCTTAAACAAAACTTCCAAATAAAGACACTCACAGCCACTTCGTCAGTGCAAGTGCACATGGAATCATCGACACTCAGTCGGTCCGAGTAACTCTGATCGGTCGCGGGGTAAGGACAAGACAACGAGGAGGAATAAGACGATTCATTGAAGGGTGGAAGAGAAGGAGGATTCTGCAGGATTTCATGAAGACGTCCGTTCTCCCCATCATTGGCTGGGGCTGGTATACCGAGCACATCTGTACACAAAATAATTCAAAATGAAAAAAAAAATTGTCAAAACTTGTTGACAGTTCTAAACCGATGCATAAACCTGCAGAAATAGGCTCCGCGCACAAGTACCCCCTCAACGGTAAGAATTGGAGAGTCCACTGGGAGAGACATTTGAACGCATTGTGGAATACGGCTGCCGCTCACGCGAAGACTCTATAGATTTGTGCACATTTAGAATAAAATTAGTTGTGCGTATGAACAAGTACGCACATACAATGAGTCCGGTCTATGTGGCTCTCAAAAGTGGTAAAATGCATCCTCTCTCGTAATTTTATTGTTTGTTTGACCTCAACGAAAAAACTACGGACAGTAATAGGAAAACAAGAAATTTGTAATCTTGTTCAGTTGAGTGAGTCCTCATATTCTCTGAGATCATCTTGCCAGCTGAAGTTACAGGTCTCCCCTTGTACTTCTAATAAACTCAGGGAGAGAGCATTTATGGTAGCTGGTGTCCTCAGCTTTGGAACCAGTTACCTGGTCACATTAGATGCCAAGAAACACTGGGGACTTTTAAACGTGAGGTGAAAACCTTTTTATTTCAGAAGGCTTTTTATGTGTAATTGTGCACGTGGTGATTTTTAATGGTTCATTTGAAATTTAGATGTTTAGCCTGTAAAATTTGATTGTATAATGGTTTTACTCAATAATGGTATAGTATTGTAGTTTTGATTAAAATATAGTACGGTTTTATCCTTCATGTAATTTTTATTGTATTGCACATTAGAACATATGTTTATACATTTTGCGCAATATAAATGCCATTATTATTATTATTAAATACCATAACAAATTCAGCCCCCTAAAAAAGCACATAACAAAACAAACGGAATGTAAAATGAGGATAGAGAAAAAAGTAAATCTTGTAATTTAGAGGCATGCACTTAATGTGACAGCCCCCTAGTAGGTGAACAATTATAAAAACTATAAAATAAAAAAAAGACTAGTAAATCATGAAGAACAAGTATTTTTTGAGAATTGGAAGAAAGTACTTACCACACATTATGTTGAAAAGTTCAATATTTTGAAAATGTTCTATCTTTAAATTCTTCTTAAAAGCTGGGCCGTATGCAAGAAACAGGGACTGTAAAAAAAAACACAAATACAACAAAATATGATGCTCTGTCATTTGTTATTGAAAAGCATTGCTGACAATCTCACTGAAAACAAAAAGAGTTTGAAGAATAAAATGTCTACATACTTGCATCTGTCTGGCTAAGTTGTCGTATCCGTGGCCGCCCCCGTCACAATTACTTGGAAGATTCACACTGTAAGATTGATCATTTGAAAGCTGCATTAAAAATGCCATTGTTCAGAGTATAAACATTTATAGACCCTAGTGAAGAATTCTGATGTTGAATGTTTTTTTCAATTTCAACGTTAAATTGCTCCTATTATTTCCTTCACATTTCACCTTTTGGGTCGTTCTGCGTCAATTCACCCAAAAAATTTGAAACTTTAAACCCCACCTCCTTAAAATCAGTTCATATTAAGTGTATGGGGTAGTTTAGGCAGAAAAAAGTGAAATGTGAAGTTATAGCGCCATTGAACCAACAGTTTTTATGCTACTGCCCAACATTTTTTGGAGAATTTGGCCAATTGGGCGTGGTCACCAATTTTCAAATGACCATATCCCCATAACCAGTGGGCCAAATTTTTTTGATCTTGGTTTTTTTGGAAAGGTTACATCATAAGTAAGATGACCTCTTGAACTTTACTTTGACATTGTTGATCATGTGATCTTGAGAAGAACTTTGATGAAAATTATAACCCAACATGTTTTCTAGAAAATGTCCAAAAATTATGGGTATAATTATGTTTGTTTGGTTTCTAGCTCATCTCGAAGTTGGCATACTTGTTGCAAAATGTGATATTCCTATGCAATGTACTAGTGGATTTAAAAACGTCATTTTTTTTTGTCCCTAATATTTGTACAAATGGAACAAACATGAATATGTCACCTACAAATAAATACAAGCCAAATGTTTTGCTAATATTCTCCTTTCGATTAACAGTTGGTAGTTTTAGAATCATTTTTAGAGGAGGTAAAGTCATACTTTTTTACCTTCAGAAAGTGACTTTATTAAACTTATTAACCTATTACAATCACCTATTTAAAGAATTTGCCTCGATTAAACTGATTTAAAGTATATTGTGATTACTACAAAATGAATGAACTTACTTTGTGATGGCGAAATCCTCTTTGACGGGTATCAGAACATCTTCAATACGTTTGCTGTTCATGTAGTGCCATCTCTTAGGCATGTCTTTCTTGACGTACGGGATGACATTGGGATCTCGACACTGTTCAATATACAGACAAAATTACTGGCTAAATTCACAAAACTCCACAGTGCTCCTGTGATGAACAAACTCTAAAGGTGAACACTCACGACAACACTTGAGTAAACAGGTTTTATAAAGTGGAGCACTTTGGTCCAATGGATGATGGTGTTTGACCCATGTGCCATGGTACATGGCTTTGAACCCCGACAGGGAACATGGTGCTTGTGTTCTTGGGCAAGACACTTTATTACAATTGCCTCTCTCCACCCAGGAGTATAAATGGGTACCTGTGAGGGTAGAGACCAGATTGCACTGATGCTTGTGTTTGTGGGCAAGACACTTTACTACAATTGCCTCTCTCCACCCAGGATTATATGAATGGGTACCTGTGAGGGTAGAGACCAGATTGCACTGATGCTTGTGTTCTTGGGCAAGACACTTTACTACAATTGCCTCTCTCCACCCAGGAGTATAAATGGGTACCTGTGAAGGTAGAGACAAGAATGCACTGATGCTTGTGTTCTTGGGAAAGACACTATACTACAATTGCCTCTCTCCACCCAGGAGTATAAATGGGTACCTGTGAAGGTAGAGACCAGATTGCGCTGATGCTTGTTTTCTCGGGCAAGACACTTTACTACAATTGCCTCTCTCCACCCAGGAGTATAAATGGGTACCTGTGAGGATAGAGGCCAGATTGCGCTGATGCTTGTGTTCTTGGGCAAGACACTTTACTACAATTACCTCTCTCCACCCAGGAGTATAAATGGGTACCTGTGAGGGTAGAGACCAGATTGCACTGGTGCTTGTGTTCTTGGGCAAGACACTTTACTACAATTGCCTCTCTCCAACCAGGAGTATAAATGGGTACCTGTGAGGGTAGAGACCAGATTGCACTGGTGCTTGTGTTCTTGGGCAAGACACTTTACTACAATTGCCTGTCTCAACCCAGGAGTATAAATGGGTACCTGTGAGGGTAGAGACCAGATTGCACTGATGCTTGTGTCTTGGGCAAGACACTTACTACAATTGCCTCTCTCCACCCAGGAGTGTAAATGGGTACCTGTGAGGGTAGAGGCCAGATTGCGCTGATGCTTGTGTCTTGGGCAAGACACTTTACTACAATTGCCTCTCTCCAACCAGGAGTATAAATGGGTACCAGTGAGGGTAGAGACCAGATTGCACTGATGCTTGTGTTCTTGGGCAAGACACTTTACTACAATTGCCTGTCTCAACCCAGGAGTATAAATGGGTACCTGTGAGGGTAGAGACCAGATTGCACTGATGCTTGTGTTCTTGGGCAAGACACTTTACTACAATTGCCTCTCTCCACCCAGGAGTATAAATGGGTACCTGTGAAGGTAGAGACAAGAATGCACTGATGCTTGTGTTCTTGGGAAAGACACTATACTACAATTGCCTCTCTCCACCCAGGAGTATAAATGGGTACCTGTGAAGGTAGAGACCAGATTGCGCTGATGCTTGTTTTCTCGGGCAAGACACTTTACTACAATTGCCTCTCTCCACCCAGGAGTATAAATGGGTACCTGTGAGGATAGAGGCCAGATTGCGCTGATGCTTGTGTTCTTGGGCAAGACACTTTACTACAATTACCTCTCTCCACCCAGGAGTATAAATGGGTACCTGTGAGGGTAGAGACCAGATTGCACTGGTGCTTGTGTTCTTGGGCAAGACACTTTACTACAATTGCCTCTCTCCAACCAGGAGTATAAATGGGTACCTGTGAGGGTAGAGACCAGATTGCACTGGTGCTTGTGTTCTTGGGCAAGACACTTTACTACAATTGCCTGTCTCAACCCAGGAGTATAAATGGGTACCTGTGAGGGTAGAGACCAGATTGCACTGATGCTTGTGTCTTGGGCAAGACACTTACTACAATTGCCTCTCTCCACCCAGGAGTGTAAATGGGTACCTGTGAGGGTAGAGGCCAGATTGCGCTGATGCTTGTGTCTTGGGCAAGACACTTTACTACAATTGCCTCTCTCCAACCAGGAGTATAAATGGGTACCAGTGAGGGTAGAGACCAGATTGCACTGATGCTTGTGTTCTTGGGCAAGACACTTTACTACAATTGCCTGTCTCAACCCAGGAGTATAAATGGGTACCTGTGAGGGTAGAGACCAGATTGCACTGATCTCGAGCTGCTGCAAAAACTTGTTTCATAGCCTGATGAACAGGGGCAATAACTGTGAAACGCTTTGACACCTAGCTTTGGTGGAAAGCGCTAAGGAAGCGACACACATTATCACACAAAAATATGTTGGTAAAGGGCAAAACCCAATATTACAAAAAGTATTTTTAATTAAAAAGACATTATAAAAAAGGGAGAAATGTCTTACCTTCAACCTATCGACGATATCTCTTGGATCTTTAAGCACAGCTGAAATGTAGCAATTAGCAAAACGAAAAGCTAAGTTTTTTGTTTGTTCACTAATGTTGTTATTAAAAGCAATCAACAAATACTTCTCATTTTTCTCTACACCCATTGTTTGAAAATTATGGGTTTTTGTTTTGATACAAATTTTGGAAACCTGGAACACAACTCACTATCGGGTTTATTGCTGTATCGCATCATGCAGCCTGCCGTGGATCGACTGTAGTAATCACTTGTTGTGAAGTTGATGCCATCTTTCTGAAAATTCCATCAACAATGTGAAAGAAGCTTGTTTCGTACTTCCAAACAAATTTAAATACTCAAATACGCCACAAAAGGAAACTGACTAGGTGAATTATATTTATTTTTTTTTAAAATTTGAACAAAGAAATTGACTGGAGTATGGCTTGAACCTGCGACCTCCGGATTGCCGTTCCAACCGACAACTCTAGCAACTGAGCTATCCACTGCCTATGTTGGCAGTTCGCTAACTTATCAATAGCCTTGTTCACAGATAGTAAAAAGCTGTATCCTCTCTGAGTGATCCCTGTTTGCTATTTCTTGGGTCTGCAGCATTGCTAATGTTGCTAGCATCGTGACTTTGCCTGGCTACATGGCATATACAGGCTTCTGAATAGCGCCCCTTGAACAAAGACATTGACAAAATGGGGAACCGCCGATATTGGGCTGGAAAGCTCATTTGGTTGAGCACTGGAACAGCAATCCCCAGGTTGCAGTTCAAACCCAACTCCGGTCAATTTCTCTGTTCAACTTAAAAAACTTAAATATTCTTTGAACCAAAGACTTTGTTTGTAATTCAGTTATGAACAAAAGTTAAAGTTAGTTTTTCACTTGCGATTGCAGCCAACTAAATAAACTTATGACTGTTTTATGACGGCAGAATGTGTTCAGAAAGAGAAAATAAATACTGTGTAGGATAGCTATGCTTTCCGTAAAACAAAAAGGTCCCAAAATTTGGTTGTTTGGAGAAAAACTCCATTTCTGTAGAGAACTTTGAAACTAAAGAGGAAAAAAGGTAAAAGATTTTCTTCACAATAACCACAGTTAAATTATGCTTCTTTCCCATTTTAGTCCATTTTTAAATTGAATTGCAAGTAATGACAACTATTTATGTCAGTAACAAAATAAAGTATTTGAATGAATGAAGAAAGAAACAGAAATAAGTTCAATTTAGTAGAAACAGCAAATAGAATTCATGTTAATGTATCCTAATGGAGATAGTTATATCTTAGGGGAGACACCGGACATTAAGGAGACATTTCAATGTCTCCCTAATGTCACAACTCCTATTTAGAGGCAAAATTTTATGTCACAAATATGCTAGATCGCTTGCTCATGGTACAAAACATGAATATACCTAAATTCATGAGGGTAGGATAAGGGAAAATTGTGGTTAGGGGTCATTAAACTAGTCCAACAAGTTTTCTTCATGTTTTTTAAACACCCTCTGGCTATGTTATGGTATTTGCCTCTCATGAGTTGTCGTAAACAACTCCTTATACGGAGACTTGCACAACCCTATGGAAACGTCTCTCTGAGGTGCCATTTTCTACAATTTTCCAAAGTTATTACTTACAGCACCCAATTTGATGTAATTTTCACAGCTTCTGTTTGCCATGCCGTGATCAGCAAGAATCATGACATTTGCACACTTATGCATGTTGGTTACAAGTAATGCATCCATGAGATCAGCGATGTACTTGTCGACGACTTCAAGTTTGTCGTTTACCTGTTGGAATAAAAGGTGATGAATGATGGGACGAATGAGCCAATTGATATTTCTGAAATATTAAAACTCAAATAGGATTTAACAATATATTGGGGTGTCGGGCAGGCACAATGGTACACAACTAATGAATGCTTATGAGTGCAATGGTAAGAATAATTTCATGAGGTGCCAGATGGAATGTTCCATTCCATGAGGCGAATGGAACATTCCATGTGTCACCGAATGATATTATTCTTTCCATTGCACAAATTTGAAACATTCATCAGGCCTATTTGTTTTATGCAACACCTGAATAAATCCTTGTCATCTGATTGGTCATAGCCATCAATAGTGTGACCGTGCAATGAAAGTTCTATGCACCGTAGAATAGAACTTCTATTATAACGGTGCAGCTGGGCCGTGGGTTGGATCAATTAATTTAATGACATGTGATCAACGACCTACCAATGAGATGACGAGGATTTATTCAGACCTGGTATAATACCTTTTGTTTTGCTGCCCAAGGACCGGGGAACTGTTAACAACGGACACAAATGCCGTTGAAGATAAAATAGCACGTGCTGGCTTCAATTGACAAGTTTTACACAGGACTTGTAAGTTCTACAAAGTAGCACGATCAATCACTGAGCTCAGAAACCGGAGCAAGTTTTCCAAACAGACGTGCTATGAATATTTATTCTGATAAATAAATGCCTTGGTGGTTATTGTCATGAAGTCGCCTTGTGAACCTTTTCAATAATTTGCATAAATTTACATAAATTTGCATAAATTAACATTTGCATAAATTAACATAATATGGTTTTCTGCCCATGTTTAAACGTAAACTACTGCTAAATATGCAAATATCAATTTCCATTTACCATCGTAATTTTTTTCTTATTAAATTTACTTTCTTAAATCTACCATACCTCGTCAGAGTAAGGTCCAAAGTCGTGCCCTTCATGATCTGGCTCATCGTAATACAGAGTAATAAAATCAGGCCTGAAAAAAATGACAAACAGAAAAGTTTTTTTTTTTATTCAAAATTTATTTAACGAAATGGAGGTTTGCAGTAACACCACGTGAATGAAATCTCTTTGTGAGTTGTGTGGCTTTGAGAACCAGTTGGTTTAACTCGACGTTTGGAACAACATGCTATGTTTGTCGGCATCGAAGCATCCTGTTGCAGAATCTCCCGCCTCAATTGTCCACTGATTTAGCATCCACTACTACAACTACTACACCAGCAAGAGTCCGGGAGTCTCCTGATGACGAGCAGAGCATACTGTTTGAAACGTCGAGTTAAACCAACTGGTTCTCAAAACCACACAACTCACAAAGAGATATCATTCACATGGTGTTACTGCTAACCTCCCTTTCAATGATCATGTTTACCTTGTAAACCTTTAAGTCTCAATCAAAATTTATTTGTATACTTTTGAGAAACACAAGAATAACACTAAAAATTATTTGGAATTACAGAAGTATACACTTCATGATTAGTCCAGGATTTCTTTTATATTATAATACATACCTTGCCATGCTTTTGTATACAGACTAGTAAAAAAAACCCAATCAGATCACATTCATTTAACACTGCGACTAGTCAAATTCTATCAACAGTCAAAAGAAGTAGCTGGTAGGTATAGCTGCTAAGTCAATCACCTCCAGTCAAAGCATGGCTATCTGACATTAAGAAGGGAATTTGCCAGCCAGAGAGAGAGGGCAGTTTAGCATTACCTCTTTCCAGTTGGAAGCTCCAACCAGCCACGAATGATGTCTGTTTTCTGCTCCGGGTTGATATTACTAGGAAGATAAAAATAAATTAATCAATCATACAATAAATAATTTCATTTTTTGATTCCACCATTCTACCATTACAAGCTCTTGATTGTTTCAATCAATATATCGACGGTGTTTTCATGAAGCAATAAAAGCCTCTGTATCCTGCAAAAAGGTCATCCTGAGATAATCACATTTGGAGTTAATCCTTTTTTCAAAACACAGTTTCGACCAGTTTGTCTATAGATTTGGAAAATGTTTTTACTGTGAAACATAGTACCAAAGTGAATACATCACATGCACGATTATGTGTGTAAAAGACATTAGCGCCGGTGAACCAACACGTACGCGTACTCCATTTGTTTGCACTACGCTTCTCAGTTCTAAATGACGTCACACTGAAGTACTCCATAATGGATGCTTTGTTTTTTGCTAATTTGCTAATTAAAAGTTGTTTGTTAAAAGTCTCTCTTAATTAAACAGTATTAAACTCATTAATAAAAACTCTTTTACACTTTGTGAAAACAGAAATACACGGATGCCTCTATTTTTTTCCCCCATTTCTCAGTACACAGTCTTTGTCACTTCGTGAAAACATGAAAACATTGTGAGATATTGTTACTTTTACGCATCATATGACACTGGAGCGCACGGACGTTCGCGGGCACGCGTCCCATCTTGACGCGTTTAAAGCAATGCATGATCCCTCTGGCCCTGCTGAAGGTGACTTTTTGCCACTTCGTGAAAACAAAAAACAGTTCAAGCTTTTTGTCAAATCTTGGTTTACGATAATTAAGAAAGTAAACAATTGAAACTTGGTCAAATTGCTCTTTGCATCAAATGTAATAAAATGGCCAGCAAAACTCAGGGTCCCAAAAATATCAATTTTCCAGGGTTTTGTCACTTCGTGAAAACACTGACAATATTTGATGTGTATACTTTTCAATGCTCTACTTACCCATCATAGAGGAAAAAATAGTCAGGCCTCATATCTGTGAATAAAAAGACAAAAAAGAAGAAGTAAAAAAACCCGCAAAAGGTCAATACAAAATTGCCTGTGAAATTTTAATGCAAGAAATGCTTTGTTTGAATGATACTGAAGTAATTTAGCTACACCTCTTTTATCTACACCTCTTTTTGGATCTGTTCTAGATTTTGCTAAGGCAAATTAATTTGAGGATTTAAAGGGCCATGCAATGTAATTTATTTAATGCAATCCTCAGTGGAAAATGCACCTTTGTGTCCTACATATCTCTATTTTCAATTTTCGTTTTGCCATTTGCTCGTGCAAATTTCTATATTTGTAAGCAAAAGTGTGATGTCATTGTCAGGCAGAAACCCCAAAACTAGTTTCAGCACTAAAAGTTGCCAGAATTTTGGATGTTGCTGTTGAAAATTTTCTTTTCTTGTAATGTTTCGTTGTTGTGTCAGTATACATGGCAGTAAGCCAATGAGCAAACCTTTCTCACAAATTTTTCAATGAACAAACTTTGGGGTTCACAATTTGAACAAAAAACCCCCCTAAACTGAACAGTGTCTTCCTGAAATGACACCACAGCAACAGCGCCAACAGTTGTCCAAAAACAATGGACAATTTTGAATGTTTGAAGAAGTACACTTTTCAATAACATTAACAGAAAAAGGATGTCAAATATGTTTCATACATTTACAAGGAGTAGAAAGTTGCACAAAATGTGTTCCTAAGAAATATTCATTTCATGGACCCGTTGAATTAAGATCAGAAACAATGGAGAACTACAGAACATGTAAAACACAGACTGCTTCAGATATTTGGAATGATTTCAGTTTCAAGCCAATTTCCATATGTCAAACATTCCTGTCTGAAACTAAACTTGGTTCAACTTGATTAAATCATTTGGTTCAAGGTGGGTAATAAAAATTAATTTAAATGCAAAGTCTGTCATTTTTAAAACTATTTTTACAAGAGAAGTTGCTTGGGGTAGCACCATGTGGTAAATCTCTTGTGAGTATGTGTGGTTCTGAAAAGAACTAGAGGGTACTCAACGTTTCGGCTCTGCCTGTCGTCAGGAGAAACTATTCTTATCCAAGTTTTTAATAGTTCTCACTGCGGAAACATTTCTATTTTCTACTCAAAGTTTGTTCGGGCATAGAAGTGAACTTTTATGAAGTACTTGCAGAGTAGGGATTTCCAAGTGCTCACTCACCCTGTATGTCAACATCAGATGCCACCCAGTAATAACAACCAGTCCGTAAACCGTTCTTCTTGGCTGTGTTCCAAATCTGACCAAAACAAGACAAGGCACGCCTAATAAAACTGCTCCTAACTGGTCTACATTTAAGTCAGAGCAGACAAAAAATGATCTTCAATTGATTGAGAATGGTTATTCACTGGAAGTCTTTTCATGCATCTGGTCTACACAATGGACCGGATTTAGCCCATTCATTGGTGTTACGGTGTAATCCTATACAACAGCACCGCCCGGCTCACGAGTGACGGGGAGTCAGTCAGTCGGGGAGTCAGTCAGTCGGTCTGTGAGGTAGGTACAGAGAGACGCTAGGTTGGCCCTCTTGTGTCAGCAAAATTACAAATATTACAATAACTGGCTTAAAGGTAGAGTACATCATTTGCAGCTATCCAAAAAGTAACTGTCAAAATTATTGTTGAAAAGCATGCTTGGTTTAAAGATAGTAATGGCACTAAACTCCCTGTGAAATGATTCTTTCTGGCATGCTGTCATTGTGAAGAAAACAAAGAAAGGTCATTTCCAAAGATGCGTCTTTACTTTGGAAATTTGTGTTAATATTTCATTTTTAATTTGGCGAAGCCATGAGCGTTGACACGACGCACACACGTGCAGTTGCTATAATTCATTGGTTCAATGCGTGACATCACGTAGCTGCAATAAGCTGAATCAGAACGTGTCCCGGATGCTGATTTGGGTGCAATTCAACGAAGACTTGGCAACTTTTGAATTGAAAATCGAGATCCTAGAAAATTAGTTTCTCGGAACATACAGCATTCACTGAGCTGAAAATGTATCAGGTTAGTTGTTAAGCACCCGTCTTTAGATTTTGAGCCTTTTTTGTTGCTTCAAATGAAACATGCACTAATGACAAATGATGTACTCTACCTTTAATTAAATACAATTAAGCGTTAGACTTATAGCGAAATTCCAAAATAATTCAGAAGAGATGGATTCAGCTACGTACAAAACAAACAATACTATGAGTCATTCAAGAGATCATATCTTACAGAATAAAAAAAACGGAGAAATATGGCTTGGTTTTATGACTGCTCTCAGATTTTGTTTCATTTCAGTAAACATTTTGTCAAGCTGTCATTTATTTCAAGTCATTTCTTGTTGGTATGATGTCGTTTAGATAAATATTGATTAAAATCAATGATAAATCACTTACTGGTTCTCCAAAGTACCATGCCTTATTCCGTGTCTGAGAGCCTCCAATATAATACGATGCTTTTATATCAGGATCATACATTGAATTGGCAATCAGGCCGTTGTGTTCTGGGTACAGACCCTACAAACAAATTGAATAATCAAACATAGAAAACTTACGACCAGTTAAGACTGGCATCCCAGAGTTTTACAAGCCATGGATAGTACATTTCCACATCATAACAATCAGTGGTGAATTATATAAAAAGTCTAGTTAATACACATAATTTAGATCGGATTTTGAGAGAAAATGCTTCCTGGAAAATTATGATCATTTATTTTTTGCAGTCTTGAAGTTGATAAATACCACAGGGTGTCAAGTTAAAATAATTCCCAAGGGCCAAGAAACTTGCAGTAAGGTATTTTCATTCTGCTTTGAGGAACTTGATTTTGACTTGTCAACATTTAACAAACGATGTGGCTGGTTATGCGTACCCCCCTTAACATTTATGCTGTAAAATATTACATTTTTGTGATCTTTAGCTCCTAAATTTGACAAGAAATGCACAAAATGACAATATTTTGCTATTATCTTGTCTTCAGACATACAAAATATCTTTTTAAAGTTCCCTCTATACATGTTTAATTAGTTATTGGCTTTTTATAATGCAAAATCTACTCACCGTTGCAATGGTGTAGTGATTAGAAAAGGTGACCGTAGGAAAAGATGGAAGCATGTATGGTGCGTGAGTCCCACAATCACCTGCAGTTAACAACACAACAAAGGTAACAGTCAATGAGAAGAGACGCAGATTATTATTGAGGTAAAATATCCTGCTCACATAATGAAAAGTAGCGCGCATCTGCTCAACCGGAAATGTCCACACAAGCTTTAACGTGGGGGAAATGACCACAAAGATTTTTACACTAAATTCCTTGTATCTTCAGAACGGACGGTCGCACAAATCTGGGGGTTGCAGATTATGAAAATTCATTCTTCTTGCTTTAAGTCTATCTATGTCTGGCTTGGAAAGGCAGAAAAACCACTGATCATTTTTTTATTGAAAATGAGGGGTATGAGGCAATTGCCTATGGAGCGGAACAGAAAATGACCGTTTGTGACAGACCTTTGGTTGTTTATCTCAACATATCTCAAGAACCCAATGTCAAAGCACACTGGGGGTAGCGGTTTTGTAAAGAGGATGAAGTTTTCTTTCCATTCATATAAGACTCGATTTCATTGGTTAAGAAACCGCTGATCATTTTTTCCCCAAATGGCTGGATTTCTTGCAGAGGTCAGTTGTGTGAGTGCACGTGGCCAGCGTGTTGCATGTGGTATGCAAATTGCAAGGTCAATTGGGCAAGCTGTGGAGCTGTCTCACACACGCATTGATCTTTTGCGCGTTTGGGCCCCAAACTTTTCATTATGGGACAAGCAAGAGATGACTTACTGAGTTTCTGGATGTGCTTGGTGAGTTTCCTGCCGAGGTAGTCCGCTCGGAAGCCATCTAAGGAGACTAGAATCAGCGGAGGTCTGTCGACACTGAAAAGGAAAAACAAATCCACATGGATCAATCCTTAAATTGGCTTTCTTCTCCAAGGGAAGAGTACACAGTGAGTCCTCCCAAAAAAAGGAAATCCAAATGCTGTCCAAAAGAAGCTCTGCATGCAGCACTTTCCGAATCTAGGATATAAAAGCCCAATTAATAAGCTTTCTTTTAGTGAAAGAATCATTCAAATGGCTCATGTTCTTTTCCAGTTATGGAATTTTGAACACAAACGCCGATTCTCTTTTTTTTTTACCTTGTCCACGGATAACAATAAAGGTAGGGGATATTTTCAAGCAAAACGAAAACTAATATAAAAAAACGCATCAGAACACTCTCATAACCATGATAACTGGTACTTATCATTACCTTTATTTAAACATCTTCTGCTTCCAATGTTAAAATAACATGCTTTATAATGTCAAGAGTTTCTAGTCTTGCCCTGCCTTCTACGAGGCTACCCCAGCGACTTATGGGATTATTCTGATATCATTTTCAGGATACGACATGGTTTCAGTTTCACTGAAATATCACTTACCTTAAATGTGATTCGTGGACAAGGTCAAAAAACGGTGTTTGTGTTCAAAACTTTATAACTGGAAAAGTACATGAGTGATTTCAATGATTCTTTCACTAAATGAAAGCTTTGTCATATTCTAGATCTGGAAAACACTACATGCAGAACTTCTTTATAAAAATAATAGGGGGCACCATTTGGGTTTCCTTTTTTTGACTCACCCTACATTTCAATATTTTGCTTTCTTTTGACTTTGCCCTTTGAGATGTGCATACTTCAAACCTAGATACTAGGATGTTTTTGTCATATTAAGAGAGATTTTGTTTTTCTACTTTTTATTGTGAGAATTAAAGATGAAGACTTACCCAGGGGGGCAAATTGGATCCGATCCAGTCACACATGGTGTGTCAATCCAATGCTCCGCTGGGTACAAACAATAGAACATTCTGAGCCTTATTGAATTAATCAATTTTTATCAAAACGTGAATGGCTAGAACACACTGCTGTTCGGGTGGTGCAGGGAGTAACAGATTAATAAACTACATCACGTCGGTACCTGGTTTTTCAGTAGTCCCTGGTTTTGCAGTAGTCCTTGGTTGTGCAGTAGTCCTTGGTTTTGCAGTTGTCCCTGGTTTGCCTGTAGGTTTGAGAACCGTTGACATTTTCGGTGGTGTGGTAGGCATCGGGGATGACTGGTCTTGAGGGGCTGGTTTTGGGACTGTGTTTTCACTCCAGATGCCATACCCAACACCTATTCCTATCCCTAAACCACAGAGTATGATAATCAACACCTGTATACAGAAAAGAAGAAAAATAGAGTCTTTATAAGTAGGGCTAATGAGGAGGGGGGATAGGGCTTATGAGGAGAGGGGGTGGGGGAGGGGGAAGAAAGGAAGGGAAAACAGAGGGCAGCACTTAGGCCCGTTCTAGACGCTGTGCTTCTGCCGTGCCAAACTCAACAAACTTGACTTTTTGTAATTTGGCACGGTGATAGCATGGCATTTAGCATGGGCGTCAATCAGTGGGGGAAAAACTCGTAGACAAAACTGTACCTACCACTGCTCCAAAGATGATGTAGGTCTTGGTTGCATCTTTCTGAAATTAAAGGGAAATATTATTTTAATTAACTTCATAACATGGGGAACACCACATAATTCTTTTCTTTCTTCTTTTTTATTCTTAAAACTTGGACAAAGAAATTGACTGGAGTGGGGTTTGAACCTGCGACCTCCGGATTGCCGTTCCAGTGCTCTACCAACTGAGCTATCCAGCCATATGTTGGCAGTTGTCCATTTTTTTGCATTCTCTATGACAAATTTAATCATGATTTCAAAAGGATCCAACTTTATGTCATGTCAATATTTTTAAATTAAATTAAAATTAACATATCAATTTAAAGATATAGTCCATCATTTGTAATTTGTGCATTTTGTTCGTTTGAAGCAACAAAAGTGTTCAAAATCTAATGAAAGATACTGAACAACTAACCTGATGAAGTTTCAGCGCAGCTTCAGCTGTATATTCTGAGAAAAACAGCATTCTAGGATCTCAATTTCAAATCAAAAGTTGCTGAATCATGTTTTGAATTGTTCTGAATTGCAGCTATATGCGATGTCGCGCACTGATCCGACGAATTAAAGCAACCGCGCACACGTGTGCGTCATGCCAATGCTTGCGCGCACTTCGCCGAATAACAAAACGAACTACTAATTTAAATTTTCCTACAGTGCGTCTTAAGACGCACCGTTGGAAAGGCCTTCTTTCGTTGATTACTTCAAAATGACAGCTTCCCAGAAAGAATAATTTCACAGGGAGTTTACTCCACTTAGTATCTTTCAACCAAGTATGTTTTTCAACAATAATACGCCAGTTACTTTTTCGGATGGCTGCAAATGATGGACTTTAGCTTTAAGTAATTGAATTTCTTTATTTGTCTACACCAAGGCAACTCCAAATGATTCTTTTTCTGTTTTGCCAGTTGCTAATTCATTACATCAAACAGTCTCCAGTTTTGAATTCAATTTATTTTAATTTGTTTATTTTTTAAATACCTTGAACATAGTCCTTTCCTCCGTTTCGGCATAGTCAAACTGAAGCTGCATTTCGGTCGACATGGTGGTATGCTTAAGACAGAAAAAAGGTAACAGCCAGATGAAACTAATCCTGATCATTTACAAAAGATCAAAAAGTTATTCAGTTCAAGAAGGTACATGGATAGTAAATGAAAAGAACAAATGGAAATGGTTGGCAATCATAATAAAGTTGATTTTGTGTACATGACACTCACAGGCTTGATATTTTTGCCATATACTTTGACTTCTTTCCAAAAAATCAACTTACTTTTTCCAGTTCTTTTCCATGCACTTCCGGCTCATCCTTTCAAAAAATAAATTACAGGTTGGTCGGGTTACCGTAAACACACCATTTTTTTTGTTTGGCCTAACAAATTTAATCATGATATCAAAAAGATCCCAGTTTATATCATTTTAATTTATTAAATTAAATTAAAATTATCATATCAATTTAAGTAATTGAATTTCTTTATTTGTCTACACCAAGGCAACTCCAAATGATTCTTTTTCTTTTTGCCAGTTGCTAATTCATTACAACATCAAACAGTCTCCAGGTTTGAATTCAATTTATTTTAATTTGTTTATTTTTAAATACCTTGTACATAGTCTTTTCCTCCGGTTCATCAAAGTCAAACTGAAGCTTCCTTTCGGTCGACATGGTGATATGCTTAAGACAGAAAAAAAGTAACGGCCAGTTGAATCTACTCCTGATCATTTACAAAAGATCAAACAAGTTCTCAAGTTTTCAAGTTCAAGAAGGCAGATGGATAGTAAGTGAAATGAACAAATGAGAATGTTTGACCATCATAAGTTAATTTACTGTGTAAATGACACTCGTGGGCCTGATATTTTTGCCATATACTTTGACTTCTTTCCAAAAATCAACTTAGTTTTCCCAGTTCTTTTCTTTACACTCCCACTCATCATTTCAAGGAATGTTTCCATGAAATATCTTATCTGTCCTTCAAGGTAGAGTATATCATTGTAATCTGTGCATTATGTTAATTTGAAGCAACAAACGCGCTCAAAATCTAACAAAGGGTGCTTAACAACTAACCTGATGAAGTTTTAGCTAAGTGAATGCTGTATATTCCGAGAAAACAATATTCTGGGATCTTGATTTCAAAACATATAAGTTGCCCAGTCATGTTTTGAATTGGACCCAAAATCAGAGTCCGGGAGACATTCTCATTCAGTTGATTGCAGCTACACGATGTCACACACTCAACCGACAAATTATAGCAACCGCGCGTGAGTGTACGCCGTGTCAATGCTTACGCATACCCATTTAAAGAAAAATTAAGAACGAACTACTAACTGAAATCTCCAAACATGCAAATTTAGACACATTGTAGGAAATGGCCTTCTTTCATTGTTTTTCTTCAAAATGACAGCTTGCCAGAAAGAATCATTTCACAGGGAATTTTAGTCCCATTACTATCTTTAAACCTGGTATGCTTTTCAACAATAATTTCATCAGTTACTTTTTGGATAGCTGCAAATGATGGACTGTAAGTGTTGTCTTGGTTATTTCTTTGATGGCTGGGTTTGGTTTTGTTTTGGTTGTTTTTTTTAACACAGACTTGTTCAGTTTTTTTTTATTCAACTGTATTTATCGCTGATGAATTTACAAAAAGTTCACACAGTGCTGGGCAGTTTTGGGTGGTGATATAAACATGACCTTAATTGACTGAAGGGTCAATACTCCAAGCTAAATAAATACAGGCATGGTTTAGCTATCTTGTGGACATGTCATGGTACAAGACGGTACAAATAACTTAATCTGTGAACCCTATCGATCTGGTCTGTTATTATCAGAACTTCTTTGCATTACAAAGTCTGATTATGACTTACTACACAAAGAGATAATACTGCATAAAAACAAAACGAGTGCCATTACATGTGGTATCTGAAAAATACTTGTTATTGGAATATCCAAAGGGAGAACAGTTTTTACAAATTCTGTTTTCAAAACGGAAAGGAGAAGTTTACATTCGTTTTGTTTATTAAATATGAACTTATTTGATTTGAAAACAGGGGAAAAACAATATATGCTAGTTGCTTACCTGCGGTTTAACGCCTGATGCAAATTAATGGCATATATAACTATGTTCTCATTACGAAAAACATTTTACAATGTTTTTTTACCTGCTAATGGAAAACCAAAAGCAAGAACAGTACAACTTCAATGTACTTTTTTAATGCAATCCTTAAAAACATACCTTTGTGTCCCATTCAACCTTATTTTCATTTATCATTTTGCCATTTTTAAGGGTATTTTAGTGCCTTTTTTGGTTTTTATGCTCATGCAAATTTCCTTATTCGTGAGCAAAGGTGTGATGTCATTTCAGGCAGAAACCTCCATGTTACAGCTATTTGAGCACAAAAAGTTGCCAGAAGTTTGGATATTTGAAAGACATAATTTTTCTTTTCTTTGGTGATTCATTGTTTTGTCAGTACATGGCAGTAAGCCAATGATCAAACTTTTCTCACAAATGTTTTTAATGAGCTAATTTCTAGGTTCACAATTTGAACAGGAAACCCCTAAACTGAACAGTGTCTTCCTAAAATTACATCACAGCAAAAGCGCCTTAGTTGTCTGAAAAAGAATGGAACATTTTAAATGTTTAAAGAAGTGCACCTTTCAATAAAATTAACCAAAAAGGGATGTCCAATAGTTTTTATACATTTAAGAGGAGTAGAGAGTTGCACAAAATGTGTTCCTAAGAAAAATTCTCCTCATGGTCCCTTTAAATGTGCACTCATACTCTGAGAAAAACAAATTCATTTAGATATTATCACATCATATTTGCACAAAAACGATATTTCTCATGTTCCTCTAAAAAGATGGATGATCACAAACAAACTAACTGAAGCTAAATGAGGATAACACTGATTTTTTCATTGCCGCATATTCTCATCATCAGAAATGCTTAACCGACATAACTCTACAGATAGGTAACACAACAATCAAAGCATCTCAGACAGTCCGAAACTTGGGTGCTGTTTTCGACAGTTCCATGACAATGAGAAAACACGTAGCAAACATATCGTCACCGACACCACGAAGTAACACTCCACGTGTTAAACCATATTTTTTTCAATTTTCAGTTTTTTACATTTTAAACATTATCCATCAAGGCCTACCATTGCACGAAGTTTCAAAGCTTCAAGAGCTTTACTTTAATAATTACGCTAATAATCCATGGCAACTTTTGCGCAAAAGTGACAATTTTCGTTTTCACGAAGTAACACTCAAGTTCCATTTACCATTGCAATGCATGGCGCGCACTCTGCTCAAATGCGAGCAAAAACGTTTTCATGAAGAAACACTCTCCTTGTTTGAGCGCGCGCGCGCTGACCTGAAGGAGCACTCACCTAGTGTTGTAATACATTGAAGCGTACTACTTCGTGAAATCAAAAATTAATAGTTTTGCAGCTTTTTCGGTTTCACGAACTAACACTCACCTTATTTCTTGTTGATTTAATATACAAATGGGTGAAAAACAGCAGATTTAATAAATTCAATACATCAAGTGTCCACAACGAGAAACCCAACTGAAAACACTCTGCAGTTTCGATGCAAAGTGTTGTTTTAGAATGCGCTCAACTTTAGATGGCGTTTTCTGCGATTGCTAGTTTTTACTGGTATGTACATGAGTGTTACTTTGTGGTGTCACTGGTGTCTATCAATTACCACAACAGGTATATATCCAAGATTCATAAATACATAGACACAAACACATGCCACGCCGCTGTCCAAGCACTTGCACTTTCCAGACTTGATTATTGCAACTCTCTCCTCAATGGCTTTACAAAATATGATGCTGATCGACTCCAACAAAATGCCGCTTATATCACAATGTCACAAGTTCACGACCCAATACTGCCTCTCCACTCCTTCAACAATTACATTTTCAATTTTCATGCACAAAGAATTTCATAACATAATAGGATAAAATCACTCAACCTTAATGCACCCAGCCAATATTGGCCTCCACTCCAGTGACAACAGAGTTCAACATGTACATTCAAAAGGGCAGGGAACTGGGCCATTTCAATGTCTGGTTCCCGATGCTGGAATACCTTATCACACAGCATCAGTTCTCTTGACAACTTTAAGGGTAGATTAAAAACTGATCTGTTCTCTCCATGAATTCTGGGGTGCGTTTTGGCGGTCATAACCAAGAATTGGTTCGGTGGTTTCTCTTTGGTTAATTGTTTTGGGGATTTGAGTACTACATGATCATGTGTAATTCTAACCCAATCAAAATTGCCGAAGAAATTCACAGACAAGAAACCACCGAACCAATTCTTGGTTATGACCGCCAAAACGCACCCCTGTAAACTTATTCTTCTGAAGTCATCCAAAGTCGCGCATTGTATCTTGTAAAAACGTGCTCTATAAATCGTGTTATTATTATTATTATTATTTCTATCACAAATGATACCATTTGGGAGACACTTTAGCGTCAAAGTTATACCTTTGGGAGACATGTGGAATTAGGAAGACATTTCAATGTCTCCTTGATGCCTCAGCTCCTATTAAGAGGCAACATGTTATCGTCGCAAAATAGGCTAGATCGATTGCTCGTGGTCCAATTAGTAAAAATAACAAAATTTATGGGGGCAGCATATTAAATTGGGGTTCGGGTCAGGAAATTCAGAAAAAAGTCTAATGGTCTAAGTTTTTAGTTATGGATTTGAACCTGCGACCTCTGGATTACCGTTCCAGTGCTCTACCAACTGAGCTATCCAGCCCCATGTTGGCCGTTGTCCATTTTTTTTTTGCATTCTCTAACCAATTTAATCATGATATCAAAAGGATCCAACTTTATATCATGTCAATTTTTATATTACATTAAAATTAACAGCTTGCCAGAAAAAATAATTTCACAGGGAATTTTAGTCCATTACTATCTTTAAACCTGGTATGCTTTTCAACAATAATAGCATCAGTTACTTTTTCGATAGCTGCAAATGATGGACTGTAAGTGTTGTCTTGGTTATTTCTTTCAAGGCTGTGTTTTGGGGTCTTGGAACTTGTTCGTTTTTTTATTAACCCCTTAAGGACGGGGTGTAATGGGGACATTCCTCCACACATAGATCAAGTGGTCCGCATGACTGCACAGCCTTTGTGTGGTAGCGGGACTGCACAAAAGCAGCAGCTGTGGAACTACCCACTAGATGTGTGCCACGGCATACCACAGCTGGCAACTGCATTCCAATGAGGATTAGCGGCCGCGGCCATGACCGCTTCCGGTACACATGGGGTTAAACTGTATTTATCGCTGATGAATTTACGAAAAATTCAAACAGAGCAGGGCAGTTTTAGGTGGTGATATAAACATGACCTTAATAGACTGAAGGGTATACTCCAAGCTAAATAAATACAGGCATGGTTTAGCTATCTTGTCGACATGTCATGGTACAAGACGGTACAAATAACTTAATCTGTGAACCCTGTCGATCTGGTCTGCTTTTATCAGATCTTCTTTGGCATTACAAAGTCTGATTGTTAATTACTAAGCAGGTAGGCAATATTGAGTAAATACCTTTTAAGCAAAGCGTCAACTTCGGTTTAAAGTTCAAATAAATTGTTGACTGTGCGGGACTGTGTATAACCCTCAGCACAGAGTGCTCCTCTGAAAATCATCATGGTATTACATGTGGTAACGTAGAATACTTCCAAAAAACGAGAACAGTTTGCAACTTGCTCATTTCAAAAGTTGGTGGGAAAAGTTTGCGTTAAGTTTGTTGAATATTAATTGATTTGTTTAGTAAGAGAGGAAGAAAATTTATAAGGGAATAACTATTTTCAAAATGAAGTCAGTCAATCTTTTCAACCCCACTTCTTACGACCAATGGAAAGGATATTTTTTTTTACGATGAAAAGATACTTTATTCTGAACACTTCTTTTCCAGTTGGAAAAAAACCACTGTTTTGATTACGCACATATCAAAATACATACCCACATAGTTAAAGTTTTGAAATTCATCATTTGAAACAATAGTTTGGATCCATTTTTTCCTCACTGCAAAAGTCATAATTTTGATATTTTTGATTAGCGATTTAAGTTTTTTAAAATACTTTTTGCGTCCAAAACATGGAGAGTACACCTTTTAAACACTCTGGCCGGTTTTAAACACTCTGTTTAAGACCGGTTGGAGTCTGGATGCTGATATTCAGTGATGGTAATTATCAGCACTCCAGACTCCAACCAGTCTTAAACAGAGTGTTTAATACCAACCAAGCGCATAGTTATTCCCATTCATAAAAACCTTTTCGGTAAAAAACAAAATCGAAATTTTTCGGTACAAAAGTCAAAACAAGTCAAAACTTTAAAATTTCCCACAATTTTGTTCAACAATTTCACTTCAAGTTTTTCAAAACACCCTTCTAGCTATATAAAGGAATGTCCAGCTCGTGAGTTAGGAAGTAAATAACTACCTTACGGAGACTGGCGCGCGCGTCGCACGTACTGCACGATGACGCCCAAATGGCAGCTGTGGTGAGTGTGTTTTAAGCCTGCTGTACCTGGGGGTGCGGCACTTTGGTATTAGGAGACCAGCAGTGGTGGTAATTCTCAGATTCCTACTGCAAACACTGACCCTGGCAGGTGGGAGCATGACCCTGAATCTACTGGACCCTAGTTATTTGTCGACCAACTTAATGTTGGCAGATCTACTTTGCAGAGTGCAAAAGTGTAAGAATCATACCTATGACCTATAATGATTCAAACAGCACGCTATCACTTAAAAGAGCTGTGCCACACTGGGCTAGTGCACTCCAAAATGGGACGAATATAACATGTGTACACAGCAATTAGGTCAAAATGTGACACTTCAGTGTTTAAGACCAGCCAGCCAGTCCTTATCAACCGTTTAAGACCAGCCATGTGACAGGCTCTCGACCAATAGGAATGGGTAAACTGTCTTAGGTATTTATGGATGTGCAATAATACTCGAAGTAATATTAATGTTATTTGAATACCATAATTGCATATTTACACAACATTTGTATTGTGTAAAGCCATGGATAAAAAGAGGTATACAAAATGTAATATTAGGTTTTCCCCTTCACCGAGGTGTAAACGCTGTATATATTCAGTGTGTAACGTCGGTGAAGGGCAAAACCCAATTTTAAATTTACATCACCCCGACGCACATTCCATCTTATGAATAGGTATACACAAACTCCACCGAAAGTCTGTTATAGTTCCAACTATATTCATGTAAATTTCTATGAGATCATATTCACAATTGTGATGATTTTCCTACAGTAAGGTATACACCTACCTCAGCTGATCTAGTGCTGTTTTCCAAAGTGACGATTACTTCCCCTATGTCAATGCCTATATAATGCAGTTCAAGTTTGTATTGTGAAAAGGGCGTTGAAATGCATGTAAATAGACACTGGGACAAGGTGGAAAGATATCGCCACGGTCAAAGTGTACCGCACTGCCGGCCAGGGACAACACTTCATGATATTGTTTGGTTTATCTGAAATATCTAGTAAATCAACAAAGTTCTTGGTATAAACCTACACCCTGTTAAAAACTCTCAAGTAACACTTAATGATCAAGTGTAGTTATAATCTGTGCCTATATGAAGTTGCACACACTTGAAAGGTGGATGCATGGAATTTAGACCTTTAATGCCAAGTCATAACGTTAGGTGAATTTTCTGGTTGGAAAAGTGAGGTGAAACTTCTGGTTGGATACTTATATAAAACTTCTGTGTGGAAAGTCAGGTAAAATTCTGGTCGGAAAGTTAGGTAAAACGTCTGGTTGGAAAGTTAGGTAAAACAAAACTTTTGGGTTGGAAAGTTAGGTAAAATTTCCGGTTGGAAAGTTAGGTAAAACTTCTGGTTGGAAAATTAGGTAAAACTTCTGGTTGGAAAGTTGGGTAAAACTTCTGGTAGGGAAGTTAGGTAAGACTTCTGGTTGGAAAGTTAGGTAACATTTCCGATTTGAAATTTAGGTAAAAGTTCTAATTGGAAAGTTAAAATAGCCTTCCAGTTAGAAAGTAAGGTAAAAATTCTAGTAAGAAAATAGAGCAAAACGTCTGGTCAGAGAGTTAGGTTAAACTAGTCAGAAAGACAGGTAAAACGTCTAGTCAGAATGTTAGGTAAAACGTCTAGTCAGAAAGTCAGGTTTAACGTCTCGTCAAAAGTTAGGTAAAACTGCTGGTCAGAAACGTTAGGTAAAACTTCTGGTCAGAGAGTTAGGGTAAGCTTCTGTTCAAAAAGTTAGGTAAAATTTCTGGTCAAAAAGTTGGGTAAATCTTCTAGTAAAAAAGATAAGTTAAACTCTAAATCATGAAGTTAGGTAACACTTCTAGTTAGAAAGTCCATGTCCGAATTACTTGGATATGGCTAACAATTACGTTTGCGGCTATGGAAGCGGCTGAAGACACTTCCCATAGACATGCGTGTGTCTACTAGCCATAGCCATACTTTGAACGTAGCCATTGTTTTTGGACATAAAAAGCAAACACTGTACTACAACAAAAGAGGTGTTTTAATTGGAACACATATAATTTATTACACACAATCACATCCTGTTTTTGATAAATAAACTTAGTCAAAATAAAATCAATATCTCTCTCTTTGAATCCAGTCAGGACAAGAAAACTGAACTTGGAATATTTTTTTAATACTGATAGGTGAACGCTTCAATGGATTTATATAAAAATTTGAAATCAAGTCATAGACACTCATGCATTATAAAAAAATTTAACGTGATTTACATTAGGCCCCCCCAAAAAGTCTCCGGTGTCTGGTATGCGCGCGTGTCGCCGTAGCCATATGCGTCGGCAAAATGAAAAAAGTTGTTTTTTTTAATGAAAGATGATGTCTCAAAACCGCCAAACTCACTGGTTTGACTGGAATCCTGCTGTTGCACAAGTTTAACGTGTTTTTTAGATGGGGTTATGATCCAGAATAAGCTTTATTTGGCCTCGATCTGGACTCCCATATATTTGCACTAAGTTTAGTCAGGCACCATTTGCAGTCATCAGCCGACATTCGAAGAAAAAAAATGGTAAAAACAAAAAAAAGCCGCGTCGCCGCACCACTTTTTGGACAAGCTCCATACCAGAAACCGGAGACTTATTTTTTTGGCCTTAGCAGGTGAACTTCAATTAAATCAATTAAAAACATGCAAACAGACTTTAAAAACAAAACACTGTTAAAGGCTGTATTTATAACTAGTTAGTAAATCAACCAATCAAAAAAAGTAACAAAATTATGAACTGAAAAGGTATTGAATGTGCAAAGGAACAGAAACATGCAATTTAACCAAATATGATTCACAGCAGTGTTAGGCCAACAACAAAAAATAATCGGTCTCTGGTCAGACCGAAGTTCCGGAATTGATGCGGCGACGCGGGTTTTTTTTTTTTTTTTGGTGGCTTTTTTTTTTTTTCAAGCTTCAATTGTACAGACAAGGTGGGTACTATTTTGCTTTTTTGTGTCCTCATTATACATTGGTGTCCTCCATCATTTGCCTTGGTGCCCTTTATCATTTGCCTTGGTGCAATTTCCCCATTCCTTGGTGCTCCTTGGTACAAAAATTTGAGGAGGTGCGGCAATAGGGGGCGCTGTTGTAGCTTCCGTGTTAATTTGAAGAAAAAAAAAGGTTGACGCGCATGATTAAAATCGACGCACGCGCTGACCAGAGACCAAGTATTTTTTTTTGGCCTTAACTTAGGTCTGGAGATGGTTATAAAAATATCGTAACAAATTAATCATTCTTTGACACATATTTTGTGCAAAAATACAATTAATAAAAAGTGCAAGAAAACAAAACAGACATGCACGTCCCTAATAAAAATAATACATGCACAAAGAAAAAGAGTACACAAAAGAAATAATTTTACAAATTTGAATGATTTAACCTTGCAACCCCTTTGCCACTGAAGGAATTGGGATAGTATACAATTATTGAGTGGCTCAGAGTGGAATGGGAGGAATATTATCGCAAGGTAAAATCTGGACTTTTCTTTTTCACGAGGCGAAGCTGAGTGAAATGGAAAAGTCCAGATTTTACCGAGGGATAATATTCCTCCCATTTCCCAATTTTAAGCCACTCAATATTTGTGTTATATAACTAACATACAGATCCTTGTCATTTGATTTCCTGTTAAAATGAACTTCTATTTCAATACAAAATTGGCAGGAAATGTATTTCTCTCTTCCAAACCACCCCTTCATGAAATGTTTGAACCCAACTCTGTAGCTACTGGCTCTTTGGAACAATACGCCCAACGCTCAACACGAACGCCAGCATGCATTTGCACACAATCACCGTGCTTTGGAACAAGGATGATCCTAACTGTTAAACAGTAAATCCCATTCACCATGGGCGAATGGGACTTTTTGAGCCCCGGCGTGAATGGGAGTGAATAATGAGTGTCAAGTAATGTGAGTTCCACCAATCAAATGACAAGGATCTGTAGGTATTATATAAAAGTTGATAGTCCCACAACTATAGAGTCTGTAGACCAATCCACTGAGACGTGATCACTGCACACACACGAGGCCCCCATCAATGGCGAAAGCATTGTGCTAGCTATTGTTCAGATAATCCCTCATGGGGCAGTTGCTTTGCACAATAGCAAGCACACTGATTTCGCCATTGAAGGGGGCCACCATGAATATACAGTGATTGGTCCATGGCCGAAGTCAAACGACATCAAAGTATCGACTTCAAGGATGCATAGTAAGACAATTGTAACCATTACTCCTCATTTACATACTGTTTTGAAGCCTCCAATCAGAGAAGAGCTGGTTTGCAGCAATGTTGAATGTTCTTAGACGTATCGACTCGTAACGATCCAGGTCAGGGTAGAAACGTAAACCGGTCAAGAGTTCGACGTCCTTTACTGAGGCAACGTGAGTCTCCATGAAATCAGGGGTCATCTGCAAAAAGATCAAAATCAAAATGGGTGAAATTAGTTAGTTAATTCTGATGGGCCACATTGGCTCTCGACAGACTTACTATTACTATAATATTTTAATGGATCAAAAGCTTTATCAAATTATCCAAATTGTATCATATTAAATCGTCTCGTACCTGACACGTGTGAACGCCATCCTTGTTCTGTAGAATGAATGAGAGCGGTTCTAGCTTGTTACAAGCGGCATCGTCAACGGCCTTGCCACCATCCACACACCGATTGATTACAATGAAGAAGTGAGTTGGGACAAAGGTGTCGTTGAGTCTTGCACTGCAAGAAAGGAAAGAAAACGGGAACCGTTGATGACTTTTAACATAGAAATCTTTACTTAGTGTTGAAAGATACAGTCCATCATTTGTAGTTTGTGCATTTTGTTCGTTTGAAGTAACAAATGTGCTCAAAATCTAAAGAAGGGTGCTAACAACTAACTTAATGAAGTTTCAGCTCAGCTTCAGCTGTACATTTCGAGAAAATAACATTCTCGGATCTCAATTTCAAATCAAAAGTTGCTGAATCATGTTTTGAATTGGGCCTGAATTCAGCGTCCGAGACACGTTCTCATTGAGCCGATTGCAGCTACGCGGTGTCGTGCACTGATGCGACGAATTATAGCAACCGCACACGCGTGTGCATTGTGTCAACGATTGCGATCCCTTTTCCAAATAAAAAAAAAGAACTACAAACTGAAATTTCCAACGATGCGTCTTTAGAAAGGCCTTCTTTTGTTGATTTTTTCAAAATGACAGCATGCCAGAAAGAATAATTTCACAGGGAGTTTAGTCCCCTTACTATTTTTCAACCAAGTATGTTTTTCAACAATAATTACGTCAGTTACTTTTTGGATAGCTGTAAATGATGGACTGTAGCTTTAAGTGTAGTGATGATGATTAAAAAGATTGAAAACCTAACGGGAAAACTTTCTTGCCAAAAATAATTCCTTCAAAAATTACCATTTGCCTTAGAGACAATAAACAACTCATTTAATACTTAAAGGCAGAGTGGACCATTTGTGCATTTTTTTTTGAAGCAACAAAAGTGCTCAAAATCTAAAGAAGGGTGCTTAACAACTAACCTGATGAAGTTTAAGCTCTGTGAATGCTGTATATTCCAAAAAAACAATGTCATTTTCTAGGATCTCGATTTCAATTCAGGAAGAGTAACTTTAAAGGGAATAATGATACAACATTTGCTTTTGCTGTAATTTTCAGAAATCGATGGATTTGGGGATTAGTATTTTATAACAAATATTGTTACACTGATGACTTGTTTGAAGTTTTGTGTTTGTAGATGCTGGAACAACCAAGAAAAACAATCATGTTCCTGTACTCTGGTTCCCTGACCCAACTTTAATTGAAATGGAGCAATTTATAGACGTAAGGGAATTGTAAGGTCAGGGAACCAGTCTAGAAGGCTAGTACCTGTTCATAGATGTGTAATCGATTGCAAACAAAATGCAGACTAAGTCGTTGGCAACTGATACAAAAATACCACTTTCCGTGAAAATGTCAGCACACCAGGTGCCATGATTTTACAGGATGCTTTAGACTGCCATTACTTATACAGCCCAGTAACGTATTTCATAATAATTTGGTAGTTCTGTTTTTTAGTTCTGTAGTTCTGTTGTATATTCCCTTTAATAGTCCTACTTTTGTTGAAGCCATTTAAAACAAAAAAAATTTGAAGTTGTGCATACCTGGATGTTTGTGATAAGAATTCCACAGAATCTCTGAGGCCGTCAAAGTTATAATCAAAGATAGGACCAGTCACAATGTTGACACCGTTGTATTCATCAGCCCAGAGTGGAAGATGAACATCCAAAAATCCACTCCATAGATCTGTGGATAGTCAACAAATCAGTTCAAAAATTAGTTGACTATAGTCTAACAACAATGACAGAACTTTGTTAGACTATAATCAACTAATTATATACGAGTGGAACATAAACATGACAGAATTCACCGCAAAGATCTGTGGACAGTCAAGAATCAGTTGAAAATTGGTTGACAGCACAGATTTCATTCCAAGGGTTTTTGTATATCGAATGATCAACTGCCAAATCAGTTGACAACTGCCTTTGCCTATTAGTGGAGAATGAATATCAAAGAACCATTCCATACATAAGATAAACAATGGAAGTATATGAATAGATTGAAACTTACAAATATATGTTGCTTATAAATAACTAAAGGTTAAGCAGAATAATTCTGCAACAAGAACCCAGCAGAATACAAAGCTATTAAAAAGAGCTGTGAACAGAAAGAGAATCCCACCATTTACCTTTAATGAAACCAGTATATTGTGGAACCATGTTGGAACTGATGAGCGAATCCATCTTGGCATTGATTGTCTCTGTCAGTCCTAGATTAAAGAAAATAGGAAAAATCAAAAAATTAATGTACAACTTCAATACTTACAAAGATGATATGCTTGTATTTATGTAATATGGATAAATGAATAGCTTTAACTATTTGATCATATGTGATGTCATCACGAAATGAGCTTAAAGTTGGAAAGTGCCATTTTGCAGTACAGTGGGACAAAGTTGCAAGTTTGAAGAGGTGGTCATCTTTGTTTTCAGGTGAACCTAAATCTGTAAGTCCTGCCTGTGCTACCTTTTCCCAATGTTTTTGTTCTTTCAAACATCTTTAAAACCTATTTTCATCCCATTTTTATTAGTTGACTGTTCATTCACCGTAACACAACTGCAAGATTTTAAGAGCCGTTTTCTTAAGAATCGGTTTTACCACTTCCAGTAAATTGATTGTCTATATTTCCGTTAGTGAACCAAGTACCCCTTCATGTTGTATACCATTGGAAAGCTCTTGTTCTGAAAAATCCAGATATATCCAGAAATATCTCAATTCTTAAAAAAGTCAAATTTTAGGTCCCATATCTAAGGACTCCTGCCTACCCGGCGAGTACAGGAAGCCTTTGGTGATGTTGGCCCAGTCTCCAGCGGCATTGTCGTAGTCTGAGCAGTCAGGAGACATGACAGTAGGTATGCGTACATCAGGTCTGGTGCAGTTGGAAAACACTGGTGCTGGGTTTCTGGTCTGAGAAATAAAAATAATAATAAAAAACATTTTCATATCAATGATTCAAGTTAAGGGCAACAAGTTTTATATTTTCCCATTGTTTAATCAATCCCTTTCAATTAAGTTTTCAATTAATAACTTCACGCCAGGATTATTTTTGCTAAAAATTCGCAAAAGGCAAAATTTTTCAGCCAAATTCTGATATACAGCCAAACGCCACAAATACTGAGTCGCAAGAGTCATTTCAATAGTGTTGTATGATATTTCTTGCCGAAACGTCATAATGGTCATATGTTTCAAAACTTCGAGGCGTGCACTGGAGCGTAAATTGTACAACAATCGGCCAGGCACAACGGCCAACTGAAGATCAACACACGGTCCGCCTCCACAGACTTCACAGACTTTGTGTGTGTGTACAAAAGACATGAGGAATTAGCATGTTTAGACGTCACCCGGAGGTGAGTCAAGGAAATTTCGACATTTTAACCCGTCTTGACGTTTTAACCCTGTGTATAAAACCAGCCAGTGCGTGTTATCACATCCTCCGACGCGAACTGGTTAATAAAATGCTGGAATTTTCTTCCTTGATTTTTTAAACACTAATTTCCAAAATCCATATTTTATGTAATTATAAAGACACTCCCCCCAATTATTGATCTCAGTCTGCAAATTAACTCACTGTCTTTTTGTCGATGGTAAAGGTGGCATAGAGAGGCATCTTCATTTCGTGACTGTAAGCCGTGATGTACTCAGTTTGTGTCAACTCGCAGAAATCAGTCAAGAAATTAACCTCAGGCATACCAAAGGGTGCATGCTTGGTTTTCGATGCAAGTTCTGTTTTAACAAAACGAGAAATAAATATTCGATATAAGAATCAAGTTATTATGAAAATGCAGTTCAAAGATTGGCACAAATTTTAAGGGAATTAAGTTAAGCAATACAAGATCTGGGAGATTTAGTACTCACTAAAAATGTTATAAAAAAATGCTGTCAATCAAACAGTGCACATTGATTAATGAGAGAAAAAAAATTATAATATTTTACATGAAAATAGTCTTACGAAAAACGCAGTTATATGGTCAACACAAGTTTGAAAGGAATAATGTTGTGAAATCAATACTAGATCTGGGAGATTTGCGTCTCATAGGAACTCTGAACATAATGAATCCTGTCAATTAGTCAGTGCACTGACCAATCAGATCAGGACTTTTGGTCAGGTGACCACGTTAGCTTGATCAGACTCAGTCACAAGCCGAGTGAAAAATGCCCCCACCCAAGTGGTCCGGTTTATGGCCAAATCTGAACTCTCCAAAAAAATGTGTGATTTCTTGTAAAAATGCTGTCAAATTGAGGCAATAACAGTGTGTCCTCAGCGAATCTCTTTCAAAAAATGAGCACTCTCGCAATAAAATTGATGACTTACTTTGACTTTCAGTTAAATTCAGCTGCTTATCAAAATCTTCAATTGTTTCTGATGTTCCATCCTACAGATTGGAAGAAAATAAGGTCAGTTAGGAGAAATACAATTTTTGTTCAACATGTTGCTGGAACTGAAGAGTCAGCCAATGGTCCTCTGTGGGTGCAGAACTGTAAATCGACTCCCATAGACCTCGGTGATAATTACGCATACTTCCAAATATTATTTACAATACTCACAACTCTCCAAGGTGTTTGAGACACCCATCAAATTAAAGCTTATTTCATCATCTTTATTTTCTGTTAAATTTTCGGGTGGCAATTTGATGACTTTTGGGAAAAAATCCCATCTCAAGATGATCACCCCTAAAAGAAGTCCTGTGGCCCATCGCCATTTTGAAAAATGATGCCTGTACTCCATTGCAAAATAGAGCAATTTTAAGGCCCAATTTAATCCGAATTTCACAGAAATATGAGCCCACACCCCTGTACACGGCTTTCACTCATTTTTTTTCTCCAAACCTTCAAGTTCACGGTCCACAAAATGCTCTAATAGCAAAGAAATTGAGGGTGCACAAATTGTGATTTGGCCCGCGTTGGCAATTCTGGGCCTATTTACTGGTTTGCACTCTTTATGCACTGACTGAGTCACTGAGTGTAAATAATATCCTCAACTGAGTTTTTTTGGGTCTTGCTGGATTAGGCAAGCGTGGTCTTGTTTTATACAGAAATTACACCCTCCCCAACAAAAAAACTAAACAATCTATTTGTTTCAAGATGATTCCCTTATCAATCTACATAAACAGATAATATATCTCTTATTACCTTATCTTTACTCACCAATGTTTAATGATTTTTTAAATAAACCACAAAGGGAAACTGACTTGGTGTTTCATAATAATTTTTAAAAGTTGAACAAAGAAATTGACTGGAGCGAGGTTTGAACCTGCGTCCTCTTGAGTGCCGTTCCGGTGCTCTACCAACTGTGCTATCCACCCTGATGTTGGCGGTTCCCCATTTTCTCAATGTTTTGTTCGAGGGCGCTAGTCAGAAGCCATAAACCTGCAAATGACATAAAGCTAGGGATAATGCCGAAGGTCGCAGGTTCAAATCCCGCTCCAGTCATTTTCTTTGTTTTAAAAATGTGTAATACTCTTTTTTGAATAACTTACTGGCAGTGTTTCACACATGCACATTGACATGTCTTCACTGAGCCTGTTCACGTAGTCTTGATCGGATGCAGGGAATGGACACATGAGTGGAGAGGACAGACTTGAATCATTCTTGGGGGAAGGCTGGGCGGGTTAAAGAGCATATGATGTAGGCTACCTGCCTCGCCGTCGTTAGGGGGAGGGTTGATGCCTAAGACATCTAAAGAATTTGGAGAAAAATGAAAAGTTAAAAGTGGTTAGGATGCATTTTTTGGGGGGGGGGGGCAAGTTAGAAGCATGGTAGTGATTGCTTCTCCATCGCTTCATTGAGGGATGTTGCCTAAGACATCTGGAGAATTAGAGAGGAATAATGTGAGGCGTTCTAGCAAATAAGACACAACTGGGCAGAGATCGAAATGAGGGTTTGCAGGTATTAGGAAAGAGAATAAAGTTCTGCTAACAATACTGTTTGTTGCACTTCAATCGGTCATTCCGTTGACAAGTTATGGCTGTTAAAAGTTCGCACTCATCGACATGTCAAAAAGTAAAACACTGAGAAAAAGACCATAAAAGTTGCGAGTTTTGTAATCATTCAAATGAAAGATGTCAATTGGTTTTACTTTAAAACTATTTTATTCACGATTTTTATACTATTTCTTTAAAATATGAGTGGTAGATATATCAAGGGTTATAAATATAAATAAATTTGAAAATCAAAAAAAAAAATCACCCCCATTCAGTTTTTTGCATAGTTGATGCCGGAGATATTTTACTATGTTTTAAAGAGAGAGGCAATTGAAGTTTTTAAAGTCAATCTATTTCAATTTTACCACAATTTTGTTTGGATTTGGCAGTTCTACTTGACTTTCCAACAATATAATTCAATACATAAGTCACAATTAACTTATGAGGTCTAAATGAATGCTTTCGTGAAGCAGCATAAAACAAAAATAATACCAAATATTCAGAACACGTTTAGGTGTGGAACTAATATTAGTACAGCATTCATAAAAAGAATGGAATGAGACTCACCACACATGGCATTCATTAGTTCTAGGTTACTGAAAGGTTCGATCTCAAGATTGGCTTTGAAAGATGGACCGTATGCAAGAAACAGGGCCTGTGTAGCGAGGAAGAAAAGAGATTTATAACAAATTAGAAGGTCCTAGGTCAGCAGCACATGAGTAAAGTTTGAGTAGGAAAATGGAAGTAAATATATGCCACAAGATACAAGATTAGCCATAGGGATATCTTGTTTTACAGGTGACCCCAAAAAAGGAACTCTGAATTTGCTTCTTTTTTTTTTTTTTAAGTGATCAGTGAATTTTTATGTTTTGGATAGGCCTATCAGATTAAAGCTGAGATTTTTTTTCTTTCAAATACTGAAAAAAAATCATGAAAACAGCACATTGGGTTGCTGAGAAAATGCCAATTATGTAACACAACTCCTTTTTGGTCCATTCCAATGGCATTACCACAGTTAAGTAACCTTCGTTTTAATACGTCTGTCATTTGTGCAATTTCTTTAATTTTTGACATATTTATGATGCTGAAACAGTTTAAATTAGGATTAAAAAGGATAATATACCTGTTCAGGTGGAAAATAAAAGGTATTTCCATCAAATTCATCTGTACTCTTGTCATTTATGTGCCGTATTATTTGTAAGGATTAGGACACAATGCACTACAAGCAATTTTATGCACTAAATAGGTAGAGTGTAAATCCCTCTAATTTTGAAGGTCTTCCTCCCAGATTCTGACTTAGGATGAGGACAAAGTGAAAAACAAACGAAGACTCACCCTCATTTGGTCTGCTTTCAGATTATCATAGCCATGCCCCCCACCAGCACAACCACCTGAAGGACCACTGGAATTACAAATTTACATTGATAAAAAATGTTGATATTTTATCAAAAATGTCATTTTTTGTTCTTCTCATGAATTTTGAGCTTTGGATGTATTTAAGCCAATTTTTGACCCTCTGTAATCCTCTAAAAAAAGTTTTTTTGGTACGCCTTTACAAACAGTTCCATTATGCTTTCGCACAGATCCACCTGCAAGTAGTCTGGTTCCTAGATTATTGATCTTATAGGGGGCCGGAGCCAGTCCACCCAAGGAATTGAATTTGTGTCAGGCTGTGAATAATTCTAAAATTTGTAAACTTGGGCAGATTTGTTTTTCCTGAAATGTCACTCCAAAGGGAATAATTTTTGCATTGCTGGAAAAATGGCAATTCAAAAATGAGCACAAGATCCAAACTATAGTCAGCCATGTAGAAAAACGTAATTTGAAATATGACTAACGAACGAAAGTTAAAGGTAGAGTACATCATTTGCAGCTATTGAGTAACCGACAAATTATTGTTGAAAAGCTTACATGGTTTAAAGATAGTAATGGCACTAAACTTCCTTGTGAAATTAATCTTTCTGGCATGCTGTCATTTTGAAGAACACACTAAAAGAAGGTCATTTCCAAAGATGCGTCTAAAGACGCATTTTTGGAAATTTCCTTTAGTTATTCATTTTTAATTCAGCGAACGTTTACAAGACGCACACACGTGCGGTTGCTATAATTCATTGGTTTAATAGTGTGTCACATCGCGTAGCTGCAATTGGCTAAATAAGAACATGTCCCAACCACTGATTTCAGGCGCAATTCAAAACATGACTCGGCAACTCTTAAATTGAAATCGAGATCCTAGAATATTTTCTCGGAATAACAGCATAATTCACTGAGCTAAATTTCATCAGGTTAGTTGTTAATCCCTTAATGCTGGCTGATGGCTCTAGACGCAGCTCAATAATAGCTGATAAGCCAGGGACTGTTATTGCCGGATTCATGCTGCATAGCCCATCCATTCATAGACAACAGCTGAATGCCTGCACGTACACATTCCACCCAATGTGCTGCTGTTCGCGGCCGAACAATACCGGCATCAAGGGGTTAATTACCCTTCTTTCAATTTTCAGCACTTGCTTCAAATGAAAAATGCACAAATGACAAGTGATGTACTCTACCTTAACATAATTATGTAATGTTCAATGTCTCCTTACTTTGATATAGTGTAGCCTTGCTCGACAGCAATCAATGTATCTTCAATGCGTACATTGTTGATGTAATGCCATCGTTTCGGAGTATCGGTCTTGACATATGCAACTGAGCCGGGGCTAATGCACTATAAATATACATATACAAATAATACACATGCTTCATATAAATCAAACAGGGTAAAAAACAAGGAATGTCCTCAATTCAGTAGACTTGATCTCTCTTTAAAGGGAATATACATTTGCACACATCAAAAAACAAAACTACCAAATTATTATAAAAATACCCGTTTACTGGACTGTTAGTGAATGACAGTCTAAAGCATCCTGTGAAATCATGGCACCTGGCAAGCTGACATTTTCAAGAAAAGTGGTATTTTTGTATCAATTAATTTCTAACGCTGGCAACCCACCAGCTTTGGAAAACTGACACTGTTCAAACACTGCCCCCAATTTACCATATTTAGTTAGTCTGAATTACGATTTGCAATCGATTACACACTGGCACAAGCCAGCTAGACTTGTTCCCTGAACTTACAATTCCCCGGCGTCTATACATTGCTCCATTTCAATGTAAGTGGGGTCAGAGACCAGACTACAAGAACATGATTGTTTTTCTTGGTTTTTCCAGCATCTACGAACACAAAACTTCAAACGATATTTCCTATAAAATACTAAGCCCCCAAACTCATCTATTTCTGAAAGTTACAGCAAAAGCAAATGTTGTATATTGCCTTTAGGTTAATTTTCAAAACTGCAAAATGATTTTTTTTTGGCTAGTTACTGACCTTCAAATGTTCGACAATATCTGCAGGCTCACTTATCTCAGCTGCAACAAAATAAACCAAAAACAAAATTAATATCTTCCTATTTCGCAAACATAAAAGTTACCAAAAGTTACCAGAATTTTGGATATTTTGCTGTTGTAAATTTTAGAGGGGTGGGTGATTTGTTGTGTCAGCACATGGCAGTAAGCCAATGGGCAAGTTTTTCTCACAAATGTTTTCAATGAGCATGATTTTCTTGGGTTCACAATTTGAACAGAAAAACCCTGAACTGAAGAGTGTCTAATTCCTGAAATGACATCACAACAATAGCGCCATCAGTTGTCACAATTTTTTTAATGTTTAAAAATGCACAATTTTCAATACCATTTACCAAAAAAGGATGTTAAATGGTTTGTATACATTTATTTCAAAGAGGAGAAAAAAATTCGTTCTAAGAAATATTAATCTCATAGATCCTTTTAGTACTTTCAACACACAAACTAATATTATTTAGCATTTACAATCAAATGATTTATGCTTACCATTCGATTTAGGATCGTATCTCATCATCGTGCCTCCTGAACTTCTTGAGTAGTATTGACCAGTCGTGATATACTGGAAATATTTTTAAAAACAGTGCATAAAATCAATCCAAACAAAATATTTATATAAAGTCAGCGAGGGGGGCTCTATCTTATCCAAAAAAATCTTGGTCAACACCGCCACCCCCATTCCCAAAATAGTTAACCTTTTGTTTAAAAAAAAAAGTCTTCTGCAAAAATTCCAAAACAAAAAATAATGTTTACATTTTGTCATCATTTGTTAGACAAATTCAGAAAATCTGCTTTGAAAAAAAAAACCCCAAAAACTTGAAATTCAGTACCCCCTTTAAAAAACAATTCTTGTCCAACTTTGAAACTTGGCCAAATTTGCCGACAAATCAGCTGAAACATCTGAAAGTTTATCATTCGAGTCATTTGTTAAAAATCTCTGAAAATCTTCAAGGATGGATCCGGTGGGGGGGGGGGGGGAATTGGGGCCATGCCCCCCCCCCCCCAAAGAAAACTAACTCTTTTTTTTTAGTGACGTCACTATAAAGGCAGGCACAGCATGTACCACCATCTTTTCCTCATAAAAAAATTGGTCAAGGTGGTCAGAAATTGCCTCAGATCACACCACAGAGCATTTAGAATCCAACAAAAATTTCGGGGCTCACTAGGGCCCCGAACCCCACGCCGTAATATTTTTTTTTGGCCCCCCAAATAAATTGTGTTTTGGATCCGCCCTTCAAAATCTGGTGGGACCAAAATATGAGATTTCCAAATTTAGGATGTGAATTTACGTCTTGAAGTTTGATGTTGAGATCGCAAGAGCGATTCGCCATTCCGTGATCGGCGAGGATGATGATGTTAGTACAGTTCTCCATGTTGACTTCAGTGATCGCATTCATCAGATCGCCGATGTAAGAATCCACCTCTGTCACCATTGCATCTTGCTGTCGTCACAGAAAGAACGAAACAATGCATCAATATGGTCATCACGATTTACAATTTCAATTGGAAATCTATTGACACAATTTGAAGAACGACTCACTGTAATATAAAAATACTGCAAGTAAAACTTGAGCGATCTCCATGGAAAACTTTCTGTGCATGTTACATGCATAGCACTGAGAGTATAAATATCTTGTCAAATTTGCCTGGAAAGTCTTCAATTCTTTAAAATCACAATCCTAAACAATGGGGTGGGAATGTACAAGTGGAAAATAGGACAAACAACTTGATATTATTATCCTGCTTCATTTCCCAATCCCATGTTACACCTTTGTACCACTTTAGCGTGGAAAGGCCCACATGTTAGAGTCATTTGTAATACTGAGCTGAGCTCTCCAGAGAACTCGTAAATATCCATATTGGAAAGGACTATATGAAAAGTCATATTTTGACGTCGGCATTCTCTCCACAGACCAACTTTGAGGTTTGGTTGAGATCGATGACTGAACTTCAGTGATCCTAACCAAAATGGCACACATGGACACACGGAAGGAATACACGATCACAATATCCCCCTGTCTGGCTTGCAAGCCAGGGGGATTAAAATCTTGTGATCAATTGAGCTTGGATTTTAACAGTCCATCTCCTGCCTTGCACATCACTTTGTCACAATGCATCCCTGAAGCAACTTTTGGCAGAAGAGTTGATTTTGTTGGTGTTTAATTCATCTGAGCAAAAAGAATGAGCAAAAATGGACAAACCTCATCTGAATTTGGCCCAAAGTCGTGCCCGGTGTGATCAGGCTCGTCAAAATACAAGGTGATGAAGTCAGGACTGGAAAAAAAAGGACAAAAATTAAATAATAATTCTCCTCAATTACTAGTACTGTTGATGTGCCCCGACATATACATGTAATAATAATAATAATAATTTAGGAGGCTAATCATCCTTACTCGCAGCAAGGGCGGATCCAGGGGGGGGGGCCAAAGGGGGCCATGGCCCCCCCCAAAACGAAACCAATTTTTTTTTTTTTATGTGACATCGCAATAAAGGCAGGCAATGAGTACACCACCATCTTTTCCTCCAAAAAAAATTGGTTAAAGTGGTCAGAAATTGCCTCAGATCGCACCACAGAGCATCTAGAATCCAAAAATTTTTCGGGGCCCTCGCGGGCCCCGAACCCCACGCCGTAATTTTTTAGACCCACTTTTTTGGGGGACCAAAATTTTTTTTGGCCCCCCCCAAAATTGTGTTCTGGATCCGCCCTTGACTCGCAGCTGAGAAGCGGAATTGCGAAGGACGCGGCTACAACGTGTTCAAGCAGCTGGCATGCAAAGGCGCCTTTGGCAGCCAGCCACAGCGACCCATATATGACCACGGAGCACAGCCTGAGATCGAAAGTGTTTGATTTTTCCGAAGGAAGGAAAACCAGAGGGCCGAAGAAAAAAACATCACGGCACAGCAGAGAACCAACGCACAACTCTACTCACATATGGCATGTATGGTCCGCGGCCTGGATTTGAACCAGGGCCACAGTGGTAAGAGGTGAGTGCTTTACGCACAGGCCTCCCATGCCACCCATGGTGAAATGGTAACATGGCACGGCCCCTAACGTAGCACACTTTGATTTTTGCCTCTAGTGCCTTGCTAGAGCAAAATTTTTACCTCAAATTTCAGAGTTGGTGAATTTTTATCAAGCTCTTAACATTCCCGTGCATAAATCTTGAGTTTATTACCTACCCGCTACAAAGTTCCAGAGAAATTCTATTTTTGGGTGATTTTCTGATTTTATTGAAGTGATTTTCTGAAGTGCACAATGAACTCTTTTCAAATGCGCCCCAAAATAAGAAAACAAGTTTCTGACAAACTTGTAAAGTGGATATGTGAGTGGAGATAATAATTTATCCAGATTTATCAACTTTAAAGACATTCTTAAATGTTAATGTGGGATTGTGGGATTTTCCAAAATTTGTTCAAGTGTGCCACGATTGGTAACACTCGGCTGGATTTGTGCCCAACTTTTCAGGCACCACCGTTTTTGAATTGCGGACTTAATATCATGCCACTGAAATTGTTCACAAAGATTCCACACCAAGCATTATTAAGGTAAAAGTACCAGCATATTTTACTAATGATTTGAAGTATGTCAACAAAGAGGTTTGGCAACACTGAAGGAGGCAATTGAGGGAAATTATGTCAAAGTGCGCCACATTAGGGGCTCCAATATTTTTTTATATAAGAATCATTATTCTACCGCAAAAATAGTCCTGGGGATATGATTCCAAGGCACTCACCGGCTATCATTTGGAAGTTGCAGCCATTCCTTGATCTTGTTGATCTTTGTCTGTGGTGTGGTGCTCCTGTATAGAGAAACGTGTGACAAAGTTGATATTTAATGGGCTCCGTTTACAAGTACCCCCTCAATGTAGCCCAGGTTGGACGAAGTCTTCATTGCATTACGACTAACATCCAGGACGAGAATTCTCTACATAAGACCACCCAAAATTTGGACCAGATTTTTGTTACGTTTTACCTCGTTACAGAAGCTTATTTCACGCCTACATTCTCTATGTGTCCTTACCTATTGGGCCGCTGGGTTCAGAAATTCCATATGTGATGCTGACCGACATTAATCAGGAAAATAAACTCTAAAGCAACGTTAAACTTGTACGTGTTTGTAGTCTCTTTTCATCAGTTTATTCCCAGAGTCGTACGTCATGTACAATGTACGTGCGTACGAAAGCGCGCACGCACGCTAGCGCCCTCATTTGTTTAGCTATGGTTGGAACCGTGACGTCACTCCAGCCAACCGATGTCACGAAAACGCTCAACCAATGACCAAAGCCGAAACGTGTTTCTGGTAACTGGTGCGAAAACACGCTCGGTCATTGGATTAGCGACCGCGCCTTCAAGTAAGTGCGCGTGCGTATGAGGGTGGTTACTAAGCAAATCGCGCGTGCGCACTGCATATTCATGCTGCATAGTCTGGCCCCCGGACCAGACGTGATACGAGCGTCGAGAATAATTGTCCGGTCTAGGGAACCAGACTACACGCTGCACAGACGTACATCATGTACAACTAGAATAGACTCGGCGGTGAGAAACTGATGAAAAGAGTCTACAAACACGTACAAGTTTAACGTTGCTTTCGAGTTTATTTTCCAGATTAAGGTCGGTCAGCATCGCATATGGAATTTCTGAACCCAGCGGCCCAATAGATAAGGCTACATAGAATACTACGACGTAAAAATTAGCTTCTCCAACAAGGTAAAAATATTGAAAATACTGGTCATAAATTTTTTCGCCCGGTTTTGAGCACTTTATACCCTGGACTCCCTCCGTTACGTAGGGAGGAAAGGGAGTCCACCTGGGCTACCCCTCAATGGTAAGAAAGGGAGAGTTGGGGAGACCACTGGGAGAGACATTTGAACGCATTGCCGACGACGCCTTATGCTAACGCGAAGACGCTGCGTACTTATACATGAACAAACCATGTACCAGTAAACGCATGTGGTGTGTCCTGTCCACTATGGTCCAATGGGCTCTCGAAAGTGTTACAAAGCGCCCTCACTTGTTCATGCACAGAGCCATTTGCATATCGATACTTTTATAAAAACCACATGATTACAAGAGCTAATTTCATTCTTATGCTTAAAGAGCAAATGCAATGTCATTTTATCAATGTAATCCTTGAAAATTGTAAATTTTCGTTTTGCCATTTTCAAGGGTTTTTTTGTGCCTTTTTTTAGGTTTTTATGCTAATGCAAATTTCCTTAATCGTGAGCAAAAGTGAGATGTCATTTCAGGCAGAAACCTCTATATTGCAGCTGTTTCAGCACAAAAAGTTACCAGAATTGTGGGTATTTTGCTGTTGTAATTTCCTTATCTTTGATGATTCATTGTTGTGTCAGTACATGGCAGTAAGCCAATGAGCAAACTTTTTTCATGAATGTTTTAAATGAGCACAATTTGGGTTCACATTTGAACAGAAAATCATTAACTCTTTCAGTGCCAAACTCGTACATGTACGAGGTATTTTTGTTAGTCCAAAAGCGCCAACCTCGTACATGTACGAGGTAATGTTCGTGCTTAAAATCGCCAAACCTCGTACATGTACGAGGTAGAGTAACATGTTATCAAAAGGGGGCGCTCTCGCTCTTTCTAATGGTACCAATTATATGCATGTACGACCTGTATTTATTTTTATATTCGAGTTCTTGTGAGAGGGCGTCACACTGAGTTTCGATTTGTTGACAAAATGGCGGCGCCCATAAACCGAGCTCGCGTGTTATCTCCAGAGAAAATCAGTGTATTTTTTCGCCGATTTGGACAGGGTAAGGGATTACTTTTCTGATTCAGAATAATCCATGGATATTTCAGAACTGGATGGTGAGTCAGAAGACGAACTTTGGGATACCGATACAAATGATAATGATGGTGCTAAAAGTGACAATCATGGCAATATTTATGATAATGAACAGAGTTTGTACGAGGAGGGGTATCAGACGCGACACACGTATATTCTGCAAAAGTGCGGAATTCCCCTGTGTTCAGGAGAGTGTTTCAGGGTTTATTACTAGGTGCATGACTAATATTGACTTTTGAAGGTAACAAGAATATACCAGAGAGTAAGATACAACAAGTTTGGTGATTACAACTTATTTACTTTTTTTTTTATAGAATTTTGAATAATTAACACAAAAGCTCGAAGTTGGGCGCTTTAGGGTTAAACTTTTGAAATGTCGCGGGCACTGAAAGAGTTAAACTGAACAATGTTTTTCTGAAATGACATCACAGCAACAGTGCCCTCAGTTGTCCAGAAAAGCAAGGAAATTTTGAAAATGTTGAAAGAAGTGCACTTTTGGAGAAAATAAACCAAAAAGGGATGTCAAATAGTTTTCATACATTTATAAGAGGCGTAGAAAGTTGCACAAAATGTGTTCCTAATTACAAAAACTAATTTCACGGATGCTAAAATCTACAAAAGATTGACCACCAAAAAAATCCCATGTTTTAATTGACTGCAACTCACCCATCATATGGAAACCAGTAATCCGGCCTCATTCCTAAGTTGAAAAAAAAGAAAAAGAAAATAAGGATTTAATACCGAAAAGCGTAATTATAACCGCCGTAATTTTGTTGAAGAAATTACAATTTTTAGATGAAGATATTCCAATTAAGGGTAACGATTTTAAGATTTTTGAAAATGTACAAGGGAGTAAAAAAAAAGAAACCCAAATGGCAGGACATTTTCTTCACAAACTTCTCCATGTAGCACTCTCAAAATCTAGGAGATGAAAGCCCAATTAATAATCTTTTTTTTAGTACAAGAATCATTCAAATAACTTACGTACTTTTCAAGTTACGGAAACACAATCACTGTTTTAAACTTCGGTCCACAGATCACAAAAAAGGTATGTTCTTTCAGCAAAATGAAAACAATTCATGCACAACCCTATGTGAATTGTTTTCGTTTTGCTGAAAGAACACTTCCTTTTTTTGTGATCCTTGGACGGAACTTTAAAACAGTGGTTGTGTTTAAAATTTGGTAACTTAAAAAAGGACATAAGTGATTTAAATGATTCTTGCACTAAAAGAAAGCTTATTAATTGGGCTTTCATATCCTAGATTTTGATAGTGCTACATGCAGAACTTCATTAAAAAATTGGTCCTGCCATTTGGGTTTCCTTTTTTTTTGACTCACCCTGTATTAGATTTCGTGAGATAAAATTACCTTGAATGTCAACTTCCGAGCCGACCCAGAAATAACAGCCTGCAGTCAAACCTTGCTTCATGGCTGTATTCCATATCTACGAGGAATTTGAACACAAAAAAAAAAAATCATATAAATTCCAAGATGCCATAACTCTCCCTAAAGTAACCTAAAAGAATTACATGAAGAACTGAATTCTTATATAAAGAATGAATCAATATGTAAATCTCAAAGAATCTTCCTCACTGGTTCGCCTCCCCACCAGTAGTTGTTGTTTTTCTCGTCTCCATTCAGCGAGAAGGATTTTTTGAGTACGGGGTCGTACATGTTGTTTCCAATAATCCCGTGATGCTCTGGTAAAAGACCCTGTCAAAAAAAAAAAAAATAAATAAATAAACAGATGCAGACCATTCATAAAGGTTTTTATTCAAGGAATATTTTATTTTCTTACAACAGTGAAAATTTAATTAAGGTAGTTGAAAGGCTTTAGGGAGGGGGCATACTTCCGGTTGAATATGAAGACTTCTATTTCCAAAGCGCAATATATCCATTTGGAAAAGGTGAAAAATGCCCACAATTGTAAAACTTTAAAGAATAAGCACAGTATGACAGCTGTATCTAAACTTCACTTTTTGCTTAATTGATTTACAAAGTTATGTGTTACGACATAAAACCTGTCGAACCCAACTTTATGCGGCCAGGAGAGGGTGGCATTCTAAAAGGTGGTCATCACGTTTTGGAAATAAATTCTTCATATTGTTTTTAGTAAGACACATAATAAAGAAAGATTGTATTATGTGTCTTATATACAAAGAAATACTCGTATTCAATATCTGAATTGATCAAATAGGCAGTTTTATAGATGAACCCTGTTAAGCATACACACACCCACAAAGACAAATATGAGTCCTATCAGTCTGATCTGTCCTTTATTGACTCATTAAAGCCACACACACACCCTAATGTCCTCTACTGTTCAACGTCCCCTATTGAATGCAGAAACAAACTCATACACACAGGTTTGTTTATGGTGTAAATCTAGGATTTTCTATTGTTCCTCTTTCCTTTTCCTTTGTTTATACTCTGTGTATTTCCTTATATTTAACTTTTTTGCAACAGCTCTCATTAGTTTTGTACACGTTTTCTAATCAAGGTTGTTCTCGATTCGGTTCTCATCCTGAATTCATCGATGATGTTGCACGTGTGTGTCCTCGATTTACACCATAAACACGCATCAAGGTTTGTTTATGGTGTACATCGAGGATTTCCTATTGTTCCTCATGCATCATCGACCACTTGTTCATATTCTTTCATGCAACAGTTCCCATTGGTTTTGTATGCATTTCTAATCGAGGTCATCCCTGATATGGCTACTGTGTGTTCTCGAATTTCACCATCAAATATGCACAAGCTCTAGCAACCTGATCTGCATGACTGATATTTTATTGAAGGTCTATAGATTATTTGCATTTATCTAAAAAAACATAACCTACCAAATTATTATCAAAAAGCCTACTTGAATTAAAGATTGTGCTGGTACCAAATTAAACACCCCGTGAAATTATTCTTTATAGAAATGTATTCTAATCAAGAAATGTGGGTAATTTCCAATGATCAGTAAACTGATCGACTTTTAAAAATACACAGTGCTATGACAAGATCTTGTTAATGTGATCGAAAGGTTGGGCATGGTTTCTCACTGTTTTCTCAACAAGTGTAATCTGAACTGAAACTTCAACAGGTTAGGTTTTGAACATTCTTCTTTGGATTTTGAGTGGTGTTATTATTGGAAATGAACGCGTGAAAAGTAAATGATCCTATATGCCTTTAAGACATACAACAACAAAAACCCGGATAAAAAAAGCCACTTCATAGTGAAGCAGTGACATACATAATCAGGCACAATTGATCTGCAACTAGAAATTACCGTGACTATGCTGTAATGATTCGGGAACGTCAACGTTGGAAAGGTCGGGTACATATAGGGTGGGTGAGTTCCGCAGTCACCTGATAACAAAGAAAAACAACAAAATATCCAAATCATGTCAAAAACAATAATAATCGTATTTTAACATTTTGTAGTTTGTCCCTTTGATCATTTCCTTTGTTTTGACTTGTAATTTGTATGTAATGAATTTACAAGTGTCATATATTTTAACTGTCATGTATAATGCCTAAAATATTATCTAATAAAAAAAAGCATCAACTGAAACAGGTAACTGACTTTGGTAAATTGGGGACAGTATTCAAAAAAAGGCTGACCATCGTTGGAAATTGATACAAAAATGCCACTTTTCTTGAAAATGATAGCATTACCAGGTGCCATGATGTCACAAGAGACAATTATTCACTTACAGACGGTATTTCGGTAGTAAGGTATTTCATAATAATTTGTACTTCTGGTTTTTTTTATGTTTACAAATGTTGTATATTAGTCAGAAACCAATTTCCTATTTGGGATGACCTGATGAGGTGCCCAAATACTTTTTGTTTGGCCTTTAATACTCTAAAACACAAGTCCAAAATGGGTGCAAGTACAGTTGACGCACACAAGAAAGCTACATTTTAAAGCTAAGAGGATGGTTGGATCTCTAAAGAGCAGGCTTGATAAAGTCAACCAGTAAAGCATGTCCGGAGGAAACAAACTTTAAATGACATATTTGCCATCAAGAATACTTACTCAGTCTCTTGAGGTTGGGGGTGATGCCTCGTTGAAGAAAGTCATACCGGAATCCGTCTAGAGACACCAGGATCAGTGGTGGTCTGTCGACACTACGATACAACAAGAAAACAATCACTTGAAATCATAACATTCTACAAACAATCAGGTGTAAGAACTGATGAAAACCCAGCCAAATCAATATCAATATCACAATCAAATGAGATCAGATCTAAGAGATCAATAAAAAAGTATCATACCCATTGGCAACAATATGTCCAAAATGGTTCCGGGGGACGATTATGTAGTGTAGGGCCCCCGTTTTAGTTTTGGTCAAATTAGAGTCAAGGGTGTTTTATCATTCCGAAATGATATTTTTTTTTAACCTTAAGCACTTGAAAGTAGACTTCTATCATTTTTTGGGTGAAATTTGAACAGTTTCTTTTGGTAGAAATTGCAAGTTTTGTACTCATTTTACGGTTGGTGCCATACGAATCAGAGCGGTACATCACGGTTATCGCCACCTTTATTTTTGTGTTGCGTTTTGTCATCGTCATCGTCATTCCTACCCCAAATTTCCCAAAAAAATTCAAAACCCTGCCCTTTAATCTACGACATACCCATTTGTTCTTAAAGTCGCCCACTAGTTTGGTAAACTTCAAAGTGGATTTTGTTCTCAGATTATAAGGAACGGGGCCCTACAATACACAATCGCCTCTGAGTGGGACTGTTAAACCCAACTACACCACAGTCCCAAGTGAAGCTCAGGGGACCATTCCAACACAGGTATTCCAGTTGGAACACTTTAGTTGGTCTCAGCTTAAGTTGGTACCATCTCAACTATATTTGGGACCAATTGCCAAGTTGGGGCATAACATGTTCATATGATAAATCCAAAATGAACACAGCTAACTATTTAAAGTCCTTAAAGTTCATTAATTAATTATATTTACCCATTGGGACACTGAGGGGGTTGTTCAGTAAAACACGGTGTATCAAGCCAAGGTTTTTCTGTGAATTAACAAGAAATTAATAAATGACAAGTTAGAAAATATTTACTAAAAGAGCGTAGACAAATTGAACAAGTTTGATAAAAGCTAGTGTTGCCATTAAAATTTCAAGTTTCTGTGCCATGTTTCACAAAGACAATTTAAGGCTTAGGACATAATAAACAACATAATTTGTTCTAGGCAGTCTACACCCCCAGACCAAGAAATATAAGAAAATCATGGAGAAAAACACAGCACATGCCTGCCACCCCCCCCCCCCCCACCTCCTCCCTTGTGCCAAAGCAGGATCTGGATCTGACCTATCTTGGCCCAAGACGCTAGTGTTCGATAGTGGACGGTGCATAGTGCGCCCTCTAATGGCACAATTAGACCAGCGGGCTTACTCACACTAACATCTTGACCATTTCGTTTCCGCGGTTTAACTTATTCTTTATTTTCTCCCTAGGTTTTCCAAGGGAACCAATCAATGATCGAGAAAAGGTTCAGTGACTCGCCCAACGGTTATAAACATACGTGCTATGTGCAGTATACGTGATCAAGCATCATCTCTTTCCTAGGGAACCAATCAGCTACCGCGAAAAGGTTCAATGGCTCACCCGACTGTTGTAAACATCACGCTACGTGCGGTGATCAAGCATGGAGCTATAAAAAGGAACAGTGTTTGTTTGAATTTATATATTGGGCCAAGACTGCCCTATACATTCAACATTCTTACTAGAAAACTGGAAGAGTACATACCTGGTGGTGACTTTGTTGTGGGTGCCGAACTCACGGTTCCTTGCAGTGTGGACTGTTGAGGTGTGGGTGGTCGAGGCGTGGACGGTTTAGGTGTGGACGGTTTAGGTGTGGACTGTTTAGGCGTGGACTGTTGAGGTTTGATAGTCGTGAACTTTGGTGAAGCTGTAGTCTTATCGCCTGGCCCCTGAGGTGCTTTGATAGGTCCGCTACCATACCAAATGCCATAGCCAATCCCTATACCAACACCCACACCACATAGAACCGCCACCACCTACATGATAACAAAAATATATGCTTGTGATATAAGGCCAAGTAAAAAAATAAACCAGTTTCTTGTCCACGTCCGCTTCATTTTTCCCAGGCCGTCTCCAAGTTTTTTTTAATTCATATATTTTGCACATGGTATTCTATATTGTTTTTCTATTTGTTTCCAACAAAATTGTAGCTATGTAGAAAAGGTTACGGCTCATTTGGGCACAATTCTCAGCAGTATTCCAAAAATATATAAAAGTGTCTTTTCGTCTTTTCGAGGATGAATCTGTGTTCACAGTAACGGAGTGCCCATCTCTCTTTCGAAGCGATTGGGCCAGACTCATGCTGCTGTGGGGGGATCACCACACCTCCTCCACAGCGAGTCTGTCACCTTCCCAGCATTTAACACCTGGGTTGAGAGGAGTAATTGAGGTAAAGCGCCTTACTCAAGGGCACAACATGCATGGCCATGGCGGGGCTCGAACCCACAATCTCACGATCATGAATCCTGTGCTCCAATGATAGACCACACGTGCCCCTCTTATATGGAACAGGGTCCTTAACTACACAAACACCGTAATAAGATAAAGAGAGGTTTGAGTTAAGTTTGTGAACTGTTGTGTCATCATGAAAAAATACAAATTTGAAGAAAAAAAATTGAGTGTGAAATTTTAGCGGGATAAATTTGGAAACTTGGATGTATTCCACCGATCATTCAACGTGTCAACTTCAATAAAAACTCTCCAAAGAAGATACATTTCCAAATTCTGATGCAGTAAAGCTACAGGGAGCCAGTTAATCAAAATGGTTCCACACCATGCAGAGTGGTGCTTAAAACAATGTTCACACCAGCCTGTATAACTACAGATATTAACTCACCACTAGAAAGGCATACAATGCGATTTTATTCTTCTGTGGAAAAAAATGGAGAAAAAATAACCTTGTGAAAGTGTGTTAAATAAACAGTCTTTATTCATTATTAGGCTTAACCAATATTTTGCCGATATTTCTTAAAAGTTATATTTTTTAAGGATAAAGGGCCTAACCTCTTAGTCTTAACAGTTAAAGGGAATATACATCATTTGCTTTTGCTGTAATTTTCAGAAATGGGTGGAATTGGGGGGTTGGAAATATATAGCAAATATAGTTACACTGACTTTTTAGAGGTTTTGGGTTAGAAAATGCTATAAAAACCAAGAAAAACAATCAATTTCCTGTAGTCTGGTTCCCTGACTCCATTTAAGAAGAAACAGAGCAGTTTACATACATTGGGGAATAGTAAGGTCAGGGAACCAGTCTAGCTGGCTTGTACCCGTTCATAGGTGTGTAATCGATTGCAAGCAAGTGCGATGGTCAACTGGGGCCAGTATTTGAAAAAAAGCCAGTTTTTTCCAACGCTGATCGGCCGATCAGCGTTGGAAATTGATACAAAAATACCACTTTTCTTGAAAACGACAGTATACAGGTGCCATGATTTTACAGGATGCGTTCACTAACAGTCCAGCAAGGTATTTCAAAATGATTTGGTAGTTTTATTTTTTGATGTTTGCAAATGTTGTATTTTCCCTTTAAGTCACGGGGCTAAGAAGTCGAGGGGAGCCTAGGGATTAGTTAGACTTTTTTTGTCTCTCACAAGTAAACAAAAAAAATGTAGTTTAGGAAAGCCCTATTTTTATACAAGTTCCGTTCAATGAAAATGAATTCCTCAAGTGACTGCCAATTCCAAAATACCCATCCCCCCCCCTAACGTCACTACTGCCATAGCAGGCCTATTATCTCAATGAAGGTCAGTCATTTCAAAAACGCTGAAAAGACATGAATCTGGGGCAAGATTACCATATGCGAAGTTCACTATTTTCCTCTGTATTGACTTACAAGCCCCCAGATAGCAATTTCATGTCATCAAAGTCAATTTGAGCAGTGAGAAAATACAAGCATTTTCTTAGAAAACACTTAGAATTTTTCACAGTGTTGAGTGAACTTCGTATATGGAAATCTTTCCGAATCTGGGACTGAGAAACATTTCCTTTATTATTAGAAAATACTTTGAAAAGAAAGAGTGAAGTATCATGACGCCACTTCTGTGGTTATATAATTGTGTACAAAGTCTATGGTCAGAGTTGAGTGCATTTTCAAAATATTTTCTAACACTAGACAGAATTGAAAATGTTTCTCAGTCCCAAATTCATGTCTTTTCAATATTTTTGCAATGACTGACCTTCATTGAATATAAAGATGAAAAAAAGTATCACACTATTCCTCCAAATCCATTCATGTCGGAAAATTGCAGCCACGGCAAATGTTGTACATTCCCTTTACAAAAGTGGATATTGTTCCCTTTAATAGGAACCGGGCCCGTAAATACACGATCGCCCAAGACAGTAGGGGCCTACAGTTAATTTCTAATTCTATACACTTTTAAGTTTTACTTAAGTTGTACATTATTGCACTCCTTACCTTTCCGCTTTTCTCGAAGCTTAGGATCACTTCGTCACTCTTGTATTTTACCGACGACTGAAGGTCCAACCCAAAACAAAAAGAAGTTTTATCATGTTAGAAGATGTAAAAAAAAAAGACGAAAGATTTCCGCGTGCAGACTCGCCGCCTCTCACCTCCAGAAACATTCATCATAGTTCCCAGACCACTACATGCGTGTTAATTCACGTGTGCTTGAGTAAGAGTGGATGCATCAGACTAAACGTCTGCAGGTTGCCCACAACTTGCGCATTTACAGCCATATTGCGCATGACGTAAGAAACTTTCGGCCAATGAAAATCAGCTAGCAAAAAATACACATTCTGATTGGCTATCCAGCTGGTTGTAAGGCGAATTGTGCCCGAATTAGGTCAAATACAGGGTGTCCCTCCCCCCCCAAAAAAAAACCCGAAGACCGAAAGCCATCCTCTTTTTTTCACAGATTTTAGCAAAATGCATCACAAATCTTGATACATATTTGACAAGTTTATTTCATTTAGCTTTTCAACAAAAACAAAATCCTTCCAATAGATATTTCTTTTTCTCTTGGGGCATTGGAGGTTACCAAATGTTTATGAAAAAGTAAACAAATCATAGGCGTAACCGGGGGGGGGGGGGATAAGGGGGGTATTTATCCAACCCCCTCCCCAATATTTTGTAAAGACTGCCCTTTTCCATTCAAATGCCCTTTTTCACCAGCGTTTACACCCCCACCCCAAAATTTGTAAAGAGTGCCCTTCTTTGTTAAAAAGTGCCTTTTTTTCTGAACAAGTGCCCTTTTAAAAAAGAAGTCAAGCCCTATTTGCCATCGGCCGTTACGGGTGCCTTTTTTTATTTCGCAAATTTATCGCCTTGAAAAGCACCATATATTGTCAATTAGAGTGCATAATCGTCAGTTTTGATCAGCACTTTCAAGAAGTTTTTACGGCCTCCCCCAGTAAAAATGACCTTGCTACGCCCTGAAACAAATAGAAAGCCGGTCAAGTTGGTACCGACAATCGTTCATAATAGTTCTATTTTTAAGTGGTTCTCGATTTGAAGGGCTGTTGGATCCAACTGGACCCATTGAACAGATAATGGAGCATACATTGACTTAAAATCCACACTAGTGATCAACTTAAGCATAAAATCAAACACGGGTTGGACGTTGTGCTGTCATAATTTGGGTACGTGAGCAAACATGGGTTATCACGTGAATGTCACCTGGCGTATAATAATTTCACAAAATAAGCGACCAACCAAACTCACATTTTCTGTCCACAAACTTAGTCCAGGTTTACAACAAGCTCCCCTTCTTTGGACAAAACTTGACTGGCCAAACTTTGTGTTAATCTATTGTTCTTTTTTGAGCCACACATCTTTTAAGAGTTCTCTAAAGTTGTGGGCCTACTGTTCGCAATGCAAAACCTCAAATTAAATCTGCAAGCATTCAACTATCAATCAATAGAATATAACCTACGGTTATCAGATACCACGGCATACAGAATCACTGCAGCCAGGCCTTCCTGCAAAATCTGCCAAATTATAAGTATCTGTCTATCAAATTATAAGCATCGACCTATCTTTTAATAGTTAGATTAAACATTATGTTATAATTACCGACATAGTTGGCCCAGATTTTGCCTGTATGTCTTCCCGTCTTTAGCTGATCCAAGTACTTTTCTCACCGATCCACTCGGTAAAATCTACCTCTTCATTAAAAAAGCGATAAATAAAGAGAAAAAAATCCAAACGACATTTGAATTCTGAATGGCTGGATTTGAGGACATTTTCGGGATGACTGTTCACAAGTACTGCATAAGGTGGAAACAGATAACCAAAAAAGAAGATAAATTTGAACTTCGTGCACTTCATTTTGTAATTTTGACTACTATGCCTGTTGGAATCATTTCAAAAGCGGTAATACAACATGGGAGTTTACAAAAACAAGAACGACTAAAAGGCCACTTCATACTCGGTACGCGCACGGTAGCACTCGTCAACTATCAGGGTGAGTTTTTGTGCTGCGAATTCGCCCAAGTCGAACCATAGAGGAATAACTCCGGCCTATTTCGCAGCGAAACGTTCACATGAAGTATAAACCGGCCTTAATGCCTAATGCAAGATATTTCCACGCTTTGAAGATAGTAGCAATTACTAGTTGCAAATTACCTGAGGTCTACTTCTTTCAAATTCGAGTGAATTAGAAATGGAGCATCGTCATACATTAGCCCGCTCAGGTATTACATTCAGCAGCAGATCTATAGCTGGTTTACAATGGTATACTGCTGGCGTTCACACAGCGAGGTTTACCATACAAAGTTATTCAGTTGTCATTCTCCGTAAAGCTAATTTAATTTAGTTCCATGGCCTTCAATCACTTACCTGAAATAGCGTTCAGTTTTCCGTCCAGTCAATTTCGAATGACCAGCTTGCAGTGCCAGGACTATGGGTGGTACATTGGGTGGAGCCTATAAAACTACGATTTCACCCAAGATTAGAGGCTAAATGCAGCAGTTGCTGGTGGCAAAGACAAACTTCAGATTTATCTCCATAATCGTTTAAGTAAATCCAAGTTATTGGTTAATTTGACCATTAAATCGATAAGATCAGTAATGCTAATATCAGGATTCCATTCTCTTATCGTTGGATTATGGTGTTGAAGGTCAATAAAAATTATATTACTTTGGTATAGTTGTGGACGTCAGGATGTTGAGCTGGGAAAAAACACTGAGGCTCACTTTTTCTTCGTGTCCCTGTTACATCTGACATCTATGATTGTATAATTCTGATGCACTCCTTAATGCAGTCATCCTCCAAAAGTGATTATGAATAGCAAACTACCCAAACATATAAGCACAATCCTTGAAGTCATTCTTAATTACTCTACTTGAATGGCAAATTACAAAGTACCAAGGTAACAGGGACTGGGAAAATGTCAAACTTTGGACCCAAAACGTATACATGTACACCATTTGGCATTATTTTGTTTACACAATTGATATTGTGGTGAAGTTATGTCAACTTTCTGCAAACGGTTCTTTCTGCACTGGCACTGCATATACCTCTTGAAAATATCAATGGTTTACAAGTGTTGACGCATACGCTTTAATATGGGCCCAAAAAAAAAACAGGCAAAGGATGTTTGAAGGTAATATACAACATTTGCAAACATAAAAAAACAAAACTACCAAATTATTATGAAATACCTTACTTGATTGTACGTGAATAACAGTCTCAAGCATCCTGTGAAATCATGGCACCTTTTCAAGAAAAGTTGAATTTTTGCATCAATTTCCAGTGGACAGCCAACCACCGTTGGGGAAAAAATGACTTTTTCCAAATACTGCCCCCAATTAACCAAATTTATTTAGTCCACAGTTTGTTTGCAATCGATTACACATCCTTGACCAGGTGCAAGCCTGCTAGTCTGGTTCCCTGACCCAGCAATTCACCGATGTCTATAAATTGCTCCGTTTCGTATGGAGTAGGGTCAGGGAACCAGACTGCAACATCCTTTTTTTCTTGGTTTGTCCAGCATTTATGAACACAAAACTTTAAACAGGTCAGTGTAACAATACTTGCTATAAAATACTAACCCCCAAATCCATCAATTTCTGAAAATAACAGCAAAAGCAAATGACGTATTTCAAATACATGTACCTTTAAATGTTGGGGTTGCTAGGCAGTTGCCTGTGGGCAGACGTCACAGGGCACAATAATGCTAAACATGAATATTCAGGTTGTAAATATGGTGTTAATGGTATATCTTTTATTTGTACAAAATCTAACATTCTCTTCAATAATTTTCTATATTTTATAATAATCTCTAGCATGGTTATCAGCGTAAGTTTCCTCACTAACCATTTCAAATGGCCTTCGCTGTACATACATTCTTTTTATTCAGTCACAAGTTATGGGCCAGCATTATTTTTATTCAGGAGCTGACGAAGAATGGATTTTGAGCTCCGTCTATTTCATGGACAGGGATAATAACCTGCGTACATAGGTTGTCATCCACTCAATTATGATATACAGATTGAATCTCTTTATCTAAATCACAGCATGCATTTCCATTGAGTCTCCAATAACCATACGCTGATTTATAGTACACATGCAGCCTTCATTGCATGCAGTCCAAAGTAAAAAAGAAAAAAAAAGAATACTACTAATCTTCTTTTGCATCTAGCGGTCTGATTGGCTGAGAGTTTAAGCAGAGATCTTTTGATTGGTCGATAGATCAACAACAGGTGCTGATACTGGTTACAAGGTAGCTTTTTGATTGGATTTACCCTCCTGCTATTTTTAAGAGGTCACAAACGGTCAAAATTTCCTTCCACTCCCCCTGGCATACTTTTAACAAATCAATGGGGGTCTTGACCAATATTGACCCAAGTAATAACATGGCTCACAATGCTTGTTTTGCCTAAATACTGGTCCCAGTTTACAGCAAGTGTGGTAGGATTAAAAATTTTGATCATGATTCATAGCACAAGAAACAAAGTTTTGCATTGACAAATAAAAAAGTTGGTAAAAGGAGAAGCAAAAAAAATTAACAGAGATTATCTTTAGAATACAACTATGATAACGGCTGTAAAATTAAAGAAACAAAATCCAGTATTAAAATGTAAAAAACATTTTTTTATAAAAATGGGTTGATAAATGGTTAAGATATAATTCGTCACCGACACTTCGTTGCGTGTGAGTGCCTGTCGCGCGTACTTTACAGAACTGCGTTGTTTTGGTTTTCACAAACTGACACCCGGTACTACATGGGCGCACTCCCTACATTTTCGTTTTCACGAACTAAAACCAGTCTTAATTTCACCAGTAACAGGTTTTAAATACACTTCTGTGTAACCCCACAGGCGCAATTGCAGAATACCCCGCCACTCAATCTATCCACCTCGTAGCCGGCTACGGAGTCACGGTTGATTGCCCTCAACAAACCTTCTCAGTGCTACTTGTATGTACATGTACTATGCATCATGCTCCACTGCATATCCAAGAGGACTCCCACTCCATATCCGCGTAGCCGCCAACAGGGTGGTTGGTTTGGACTTTTTTTTCAGCCACTCCCATTCCTTTTGTGTTGCTTCCTTCTCAAATAATGGACCCCCATTTAGTATCCACGTAGGTAATGGACTTGAATTGTTTCTTTTCCAGTGATTCCAACCTCGTAGCCAGAGATTTTAGGAATGTATTTCCAAGTGGCGGGGTATTCTGCAATTACTCCAACCCACAAGTATACAAATGAACTAAATTTGTGTCAAACCTTTCAAAGCATTTTTCTCTGAATCATATTGCCGCAACATGCTTGCGTTTCAGTTTGTGAGAACCAAAACTATTCTATTATGCGTCAGTGTACAAAGTGCACATGCACACCCGCATGTCAGTTCGTGAAACCGAAATGATTGATTACGCGGGTTTCACAAACTGACAGCACACCAAGGCATGTATGTCAGTTCGGGAAAACGGTGACGAATTGTAAGCACGTTTCTGTTCTAATTTTCTGAATATTTGATGAATATTTCATCAAATACTGAATAGTGTTTCAGAAGTATTTCTCATTGACGTTGTTTCTTTCCATGACTTCCGTAATTAATTTGAGACAAAAAACCTACCCAAGTTATAACCACTGACCATATTCAAGATCAACAAATCACAGTTATTATTTTGCATGTGTTGTCTGTTTTCAGAGCCTTCAATATCATCTATGAATCCCTCATCTGTGATATAACTTATATACATCTCTCTACGGGACATTTCTTGTCAGCTTGGCCGGTGCTCAAGGTCAAAGGTCACGGGTCACAGGTCACCTACTGGCACGTGCTCTTGAACTCATCAAAGATGTAAGCTGGGATATGCGTCTCTACAGTCTGTGAACACAACATCATGAAGACAGTAATTAATCACTACAGAAGGAAGTTACAACACACACACAGTCTTGTTTTGTTTTACTTTACTCTCGAGTACAAGGCTTTGTTTTTTCTTTGTCCCTAAAATATAACACGCATTCATAAGCACACACTCTCACAATCAAGGACCATTTTTAACAAAAGATGAATTACAACAAAAAATCTGTTGTTCTCCCTTTGTCTGTCTGTCCTCGGGTGTATGTATAAGTACAAACACACACAAACACACCCAACATTTTTCAGCAAGATTTAAATCAATTTAAATGATCTTGCCAAAATTATTTGTTTTTAACTTTAAAGTTGAATAAAGAAATTGACTGGAGCGGGGTTTGAAACTGCGACCTCTGGATTGCCATTCCGGTGCTCTACCAACTGAGCTATCCAGCCCTATGTTGGTGGTCACCCATTTTGTAAAAGTCTTTGTTCAAAGGGCGCTAGTCAGAAGCCATTAACCTGTATATGCCATGTAGCCAGGGATCACGCTCAGAGTCACGCTGTTAGCAACATTACCAATGATTAATTGTGTGTACTTTACGCTGTATACTTGCAACCAGTGTGATCTGGTACACGGTACCCTGTGGAGACATGCGCACAATAGGGGACAAAAGAATGTATGCTTCTCCACAGAGCAATTTCTATAGGTGAAAACGTCTCCACAAGGTTATCATGAAATAGATATATGGATTTTACTCAAAAACTAGGAATTTCCAAGTTGTGTTGATCTGTCGCAAATTGAAGTATTTTATGCAAGGGATATTAAGTCCGAATTTCAGCCCAGGAAATTAATTCTGGTTAAAATAGGAGCATTTTGAAAGTACACTTTTAAACACAAAAACTTTAGTACTTAAAAACAAAGAAATGACTCCACAGGGATACAAATTTCCGTATGTCTGCACGCGCAATGCATTCCTCCCATTGAGGTCGTACAAGTTGTAACAAATCATTATGCACTGTTCTTTCAGTGTTCATAACCCAGTGTTCCATGTCCGAGGTTGTGTAATGAATACATACAAAATACAATGTTAACAAATTGTGTGTTGGCCACCTACCTGTCTGGACAGGCCAGCGTAGTATGTGAAATCGTCTAGGAATGCCAGGACGTTGATGACTTCAGGTGTCAACTCTGAGGCTTTACCACTGAAAATTACAGGAATAAGAACCAATATGAAATGTTTTGTATTACATTGTGTTACATTGTATTACATTGTATTACATTGAACTACATTGTATTACATTGCATTACAGTGTATTACATTCGTTTCTAATACAAGTCATACCCTGCTGCAGTGCTTTCTACTGACGACCTGACGTACTGTCCGAGCAACGCCAGGAACTGGTCTGTCGTCTCTGAGTGGAATTGCCTCAGGAGTGTCAGGGTACCGACCACAAGCGGGGGACCGTCCAGGGGATCTTTGGGCAGCTTGCCGATCATACTTCCTAAAGTAAAAAAGAATGATACATCGTTTAGCTGACGATCAAAACATTGACTAAAACTTTAAAAAGTTTGAATGAATGGACAGACAAAACCTACCTGGTTTTCCAAATGGATTGACTCGTGATGGACTTGTGATGGACCTGTGATGGACTTGAGATGACTTGCGATTGACTTGCGATGACTTGTGATGGACTTGTGATGGATTTGTAATAGACTTGTGATCGATTTGTGATGGACTTGTGATGGAATAGCGATTGACTTGTGATTGACTTGCAATTGACTTGTGATGGACTTGTGATGGACTTGTGATGGACTTGTGATTGACTTGTGATGGACTTGAGATTGACTTGTGATTGATTTGTGATTGACTTGTGATTGACTTGTGATGGACTTGCGATTGACTTGCAATTGACCTGTGATGGACTTGTGATTGACTTGTGATTGACTCGTGATGACTTGTGATTGACTTGTGACCAACTTGTGATTGACTTAGTGTGCTTGACTTGTGGTTGACTTGTGGTTGACTTGTGATTGACTTGTGATTGACTTGTGATGGACTTGTGATGGACTTATGACAGACTTGTGATTGACTTGTGATAGACTTGTGATTGACTTGTGATAGACTTGTGATTGACTTGTGATTGACTTGGGATAGACTTGTGATTGACTTGTGATAGACTTGTGGTTGACTTGTGATGGACTCGTGATTGACTTGGGATTGACTTGTGATGACTTGTGATGGACTTATGATTGACTTGTGATGCATCACAAGTACTGTGACTGCATCAATGTGACTTACCAACGGTCTTGAGGTACTGAAACTTTGGCAGCTGAGAGACAACGAAGAGGAAGGTGAAGAGGGAGAAATATGGAAGCCTCTTGGTTGTCACGTAGATCTGAAGACAAGAAACAAAGAAAAGAAATGACTTGAGACAATTACAAATAATATAAAATAGTTATTTGGAAAAATTGTTATGATAAAACTAATGACGATAGATTAAAAATGCACATGATAATTTTTCTTTTGTTTTTTTCTTTGAGAGTCAGAAGTGTAAAACAGCCATCTTTATGCCAGATGGGGGCAAATTCTAACCCCTTATCTCAGAAATTCTGTGACCCATTTTAAAAAAAATTGGGTTTGCCAGTAGAGACTTTTAGTAAAATATGCAAAGTTTTAGTTAAATTGACCCACAAAATTGTTGTGTGCAATTATGGTCATAAATATTCCATGCTTTTGCCCATGAATGAACACATTTTCCTATATACTCCCGATGAAGAACAAATATTTTTGTTTTGTGCACTACATGGAAATTTAGACATTTCGCTTGAATGCTCATCCAATTAATCTATTGCGGTAAATTCGCGTCAACGCAGCTTATGAACTATTGTCCAATTACATGATACACAAATGAACATGGAACTCGCAAAATCTTGGACAAACAAAACTGAACGTACAAAATTCCATTGGGTTGTTTGAGGGGCGTGGCTAACTCACAAACAGCAATAGGTCAATTTCCATGAAAAGGGTGTCAAAATGTGTGACTCCATAAGTCCAAAACCTCACATTGGCTTGACACGAAAAATCAAAATCTGCCGACAATGAGACCTGAAATGTCCTGTTTGTAGCTGTACCTTGGAGAGAGGGTTGCTGATTCCAGCTGATTCCAGGTATGATGCCAGCTCAAACATGAGAGGATTGTCATCCTTAGGGTAGGGTCTGGACGGATCGTGGTAGTGAGCCTCAACGTCAGCTAGCAAACCACTGTAGAAAATGAAAAGAATTGAATGTTACACTACTTATAGATTTCTTTTACTTAGATAGTCATTTTTGCTTGACCTAAAGGCATATTGTCCTCCGTCTGTCTGACTCCCCGAGTCACAGACTGACTGACTCCCCGACTGAGTCACTGACAGACTGAAAGAGTCATGTTCTTAAAAAATGTTTTAAACAGCGACTTACGGGTCCAGCTCAACAAGGCAAGCCTAATTTAATAAGGGAATAAATGTGTGCTCCGGAGGTTTTTATCACTCTGTTTAAGACCACTTAGAGTCTGGGTGCTGATAATTACCCGAGCCGGACCCATTCATAAATACCTTTTCGGTAAAAAAAAATCATATAATTCGTTCAAAACATCCCGATTTTGTTCAACAAATTCACTTTATGCTTTTTGAAACATCCCTCTTGCAAAATAATGGAGTGTTCAGCTGGCGAGTAAGATGTAAACAACCCTTTTATGGAGATTGACGTACGCGTATCATGTTCTGCGCGATGTCGCGCAGAACGCACCTGGCGCGTTGCGTTTTGAATTTAGAACTATAAAATTCTGACTTACTGGTAGTGTTGCGCATGCCTACGTGAGGATTGTGAACGTTCAACCAATGAAACGGTAAGAGGCACTGGATTTTTAGGAGTCCACATTTTATGTGACACTGGAAAAGTGTTTAAGACCAGCTAGCCATGTCTTTATCATACGTTTAAGACCGGCCACGTGACGGGCTCTCGACCAATAGGAATGGCTAAACTGTCTGAGGTATTTATGAATGTTATTTCACAAAGACTGATATTCATGTTATTCTTATAAATCTTCATTTTCACTCCAACATTTGAAATAAATATATATCAGGAAACACATATACTGTCTGGAGAATAGAGGGGGCTATTTTCGAGATTTTCAGGGTTGGGATACTTTTAGACTACTGTTTACAACTTAAAAGATTTAGGAACTCACATGTTCATGGTCTCCAAAGCGCTGGCAAGAAACTTGGACTCAAACTTGCAAGAGAAGTTGAGTTCGTTGGCGATCTGCCTGCGAAGAAGTTGCATCTGTCCAAGCTGTAAAGTAAACAATTGAAATATATCAGTCTTTGTTCTTTCTCAGGTGAAACAATTTTTTTGTTAATTAATTGTTCCCTTTTCAGTTTCGGCTGATTTATTTTCCCCATCAATTGATTTAAATGGAAGTTTTAAAATCAGTAAATCAGTCAATTTTTCAGAAAATTGGCCTATGAATGGGAATAATAGTTTGTTTGTTTGTTTTAATTTCGATTCATATAAAATAAAGAAAAAAAATACACAAAATGATACAATAACACAATTAATTAATCAAATACTGTATCTGGAGCAAAATAGTTATGGGCAATTCCACGGTTACTCACGTTACATTTTCGTAACGTGTGTAAACGATTTTGTGCGTCTTGTTTATCATACATAACACATTTTTCTGGATGTCATCTTTGGTGCTTAGGTAGGTCTAGGTCTACTCTATCTACCATGGGGATAACAGTTATTAAACCTTCTCAGTAAGGCAATTAGCCCAAGGAAACTCAAAAGTACATCAAAAATGTAACGTGAGTAACCGTGGAATTGCCCTTATATGGATGGGGGTGACATCCGAGAGAAGGACAAAGCCTTCTGTCCAGGAGCACCCTAGACTGCTGTCAAATTACACAAATATATGCATGTAATTATCGGTTGCATAACTTAAATTGAGATGATGTTCATTTCCAGGTTTAATAAATACAAAGTAGCGGATAACAAATAACAAACACTGCCTTGCTCATTATGGACAGGAAAAACAGTTATGATTGGCACAAATAAAATCCCTGTACGTGTCTAAATAAAATTCTTTTAAGTGCTTAATAAACACCTTTTTTGACAAGTTTACTGAATCGTTTCTTAAAAAGGGTGGTAAAGAATTAACAATGGTTGGCAAAACGTCTATAATTAGCAGAAGCAATGTCTAGCCTACAGGTGGTTTGCAAATGGATGAGATTGGCTTGACAAGTAGTATACGAGTGAACATCTTGGTTCAAGGGAAAAAAAGCATCACAACTTAAATTTTTTTGGAAGCAATTTATGAAAATAATCATAATAGTGTGAAGCAATCTGAAAATTATAAACTTCTTCAAACTTACAGAATTTTGAACTTAAAACAGAGATGTGAAGTATGGGCATTATATTTGGCATGGCAGGCCTTCCTAATGCATTTCTGTTGTAAAGAAACAATCCTATAATAAACAGATGGATAAATTCTAATCAAACCACCCCATGCCAAGACTCCATAATTTAAATACGAATTAACCAATACATTGTAAATAGGAATACTCCTAGCGGACTCATACGCACCACACATCCTCACGCACTGACCACCATAATTGAAGGTGAAACAGTTATAGACATCTGTTTTAAAACAGGAGCCTGGTCGCGGATAATTGCCCTTGCTTTTGGCTCGGCCATTTTCCGCAACCCGGGCCCTTACCGGTATCAAACAAGATGTTTAAAACTGTTCCACCACACTATTATTCTCTTACACATATCTGACCTTGAGAACGAGGTTGACGAATGGTGCCCACATCTTGTTTGCCCTGGTCACATAGTGGCTGTACACCTTGCCAGGGTTGCCTGTTTAGAACACACGGGAAGGAGGAAGACAGAATACAATAGTTAGGGAAGGTAGCTAGCTATCTTAACGGCGGTGTGGGCCTTTGTGTGGGCCGTTGTGTATGGCCTGTTGTACAATTTACTCTCCAGTGCACGCCCCGGAGTATTGAAACATATGAGGTTTCGGCAAGAAATATCGTACAAATACTGTTGAAATGACTCTTGTGAATCAGTATTTGTGGCGTTTGGCTGTATATCAGAAGTTGGCTGCGAAATTTTGCCTTCTGAAAATTTCGAAATTTTCGGCAAAAATAATTCTGGCGCGAAGTGGTGAACAGAAAAAAAAAATTGAATCTGTTAGAGAGCACGGGGACGCAACTTTAAACAAAACAAAAACTCAAAAAAGTTGATTAATAATTCACAATAGTTAACATTTCCCATTGAAGGTCAGAGCAATAGATAAAGCAGAACTCAGAACATGTCTAATAAAATTGTCTATACTTGTTTTAAATGGAATCCCAAACAACAAGGCCAAATGCCATTCAAGGTGTGGCTACAAGCAACAACAAAAAAGAAGGACGTAGGCAATCAAAGAAAGAGAAGGTACACATTACAAAATACGGTGAGTGTCTTGAGTTTCTGAACTACTCACTAATGAGTCCCCTGACTGGGTTGAGTGTCTTCATGAGCGTGCCGAACATCTCCAGCCAGGATTTCTCACGGAGAACGCCGTGCTCCATGTATCGCAGGAACTGTTGGAGCTCCCGGACCATCATGAAGCACATCAGGCGATCCAGGCCGGTCAGGCCGCATGTACCGATACTTTGCTGGAAAAAGAAAAGACACGATCATGACAGCGTTCTTGTAAAATATGAAGAGTTATGTGCTTCAGTTATTCCCCCAATTAAATTTTGGTTACTTGTTGACTTGTTGATGACGGTGGCCATTGGAGCATTGAATTTGTGGTCTGCGGGTAATTCTGCAGGTTGTGGGTTCGAGTCCAGCCTGGGGTCATGGTGTGTGTGCCCTTGAGCAAGGCACTTTGTCACTCATTGCTTCTCCCCACCCAGGAGTAAATGGGTACCTGTGAGGGCAGAGATGGTTAATGTGATTGATTTCAGCTGCTTAACGCTGAAATGTCAGTATTGAGCAGTATTCTCCCCAGGGAGCTGAGATGGTATTTGGAATGTTTAGATAATCAACACATATTATTACATTGTTAGTTATCCCATGAGTGTGAGTGGAACACGGAATGATGTAGTGTGTCTGTGTCAGCCTTGTGGCATATGGAACACAGACGCACTACATTTTCAGTGTTGGATGAGCACGAGTGAGATAACAAAATTATCTTCAAGCAAACTTGACACACGGCAAAGAGGAACATGCATGAAGGTTTCAGCGGATATCCTATTACACGTGTGTGCAGACGGAATAGCGCACGCATCTTAGAATAGCGCAAGTACGATATGGACCGTGGTACAATGAAAAGCTGCTGTACCGAACATCGTGGGATCCACAGAAATTGTTCGTAATAGCGATCATTCGGTATAGCGATTTTAAGCTACCGGTGCTCCGGTACTCACTTTTCAATACATAGCACCCTTCAGAACTTTACCTGCACTCCTTGGTAGTTCTAGTTACTGAAAGACGACTTTGAACACGTGCTGACTATTGAATTATGTAATTATACAGTTTTTAAGCTTGCTACCTACAGCAATGGGTGGTTTTCCCTTCTATTCCTTGGGGAAATAATAGCCACTTGTCGCTCTTTTGTTGACATTTTTCAACTACAATGTTTGGTACGTTTTGTACACAAAAATCGATGCCAAGGACGATGTTCAGTATAGCCAAATGTTCGGTATAGCGGTGTTCGGTTAACGACGTTCCACTATATACGGAATAATACCACACTGTTGTTGCCATGGATCGACCAATCAGGATTGAGGATTCAAGTTTGCCTGAAGACAAGCACTGATATACTTACCCTGACTTTGGAGAAGACTTTGATGTCTAGCACTTCCTGTTTGGTCTTGACATCATACCAAGTCTTCATCTGGTCAATGTAGGAGGTGGACCTGAATTTATGAGGATAATCAGAGGGAAAAAAATTACATCTGTTCATTATTCATGGATCTTAAAGGCGTATAGGATCATTTGCATTTATCCCAAAAGTAACTTACTTGATTATCCATGTCCGGAAGTGTATTTGAGGGGGCATCGTATACTTGACACACTGCCTAACGTCTTGGATGAATATACTTCAAATGCCTGCAGTCAGTGCGGTGTACGCACAAAATCATATGAGTATCGTATAGATCGATTTGTGATCTAAAACTATTTTACTTACGAAGACCAGACTTTGTAATTCGGGCGATTCACAATGCAGAGCGCCACCAATAGTTTGCCACGGAGAGTTCATTTTTCCCAGTGCATTGTGGGAGATGGTCGACAAATTCGCAGGGCGGGACATTTGAAATTGTTCGTTTTTTCCGGTCAGTAGTTTCGTAAGTGTATGATTCGAGTATATGTTTGCCCTTTTCTTTTCTTTGTATCAATATGGTGAGTTTTGGTAAGGCGGCAGAACGCTATGCCCCGATCTATAACAAATTAGCTCAAGTGTCTACTGACACTCATTCAAATGGGCCATATTTTGTCGACCGTAAACTTTAAAAGTTGACTCTCCATGGCAAACTCTTGGTGGTGCACTGCATTGTGAATCTACCGAATTGCTGTACATTCTCATTTCATGGTGTCGCTATCCCCGCCACTACTGGTCAAAGTTTTAGTTTATACATGTAGTATGTTGCCGAAGGAGTATTTTTGAGGTGAAATTGTACCATCTTAATCCGAAAAGTTTCATGTGCACATCTCATGTAGGTTGTTGCTCTATAACTGTTTCATGTTGGGTTCATGTAACGACTTCTACATGTTTTACACTTGCGTTTCAATCTTTGCTTCATAAACTGTACTTTATCAGGTGCATTCTGGAAGTCGTGTTTGGGGAACTTTACTTTATAAACTTAGAACGTTTGGTATTTTAAACCCTGTAGGAACTTTGCATTTTGTTTGCAATCGATTACACACCTATGAACGGGGACAAGCCAGCCAGACTGCTTCCCTGACCGTACAATTCCCAACGTCTATCAATTGCTCCGTTTCATCTACAGGAACATGAATGTGTTTCATGTTTTTTTTTCAACACGTACGAACACGAAACTTCAAACAATTCAGTGTAATCCTTCCATTTCTGAAAGTTACAGAAAAAAGCAAATTTTACATATTCCCTTCAAATGATACACAGTTCCCTGTGTACTAACCTTGGATCTGTGATTCTGAGAATCTCTCTGACCAACCTCCCCATGAAGTTAATGGAACCGTCTACCGGCTGGAACTTGGGAATGGGGATGGTTGGTGATTGGTAGATGCTCTGCCAATCATGGACCTGGGAAGGAGAAAATGTACGACTTGTTTCTGATTGGTCAAAACGAGACGCGGCAGCCAATATCAGCGCACATTCATTAAGGCCTCCTTTACACAGGGCTGCGACCTTTGTACCACCTATGAGCGACCAAAAATTGGCCAGGACGCTCAATGGTCGCCTAAACCCAGAAAATCCTGTTTCTACGTAACTGCAGCTCCAGCGATCCTTGTGCCCCCCTTGAACCACCACAGCTGCAATTTTCGGGTATTTTCTTGTCGAGCTACGAGCGACCTGGGGTCCACTGAGCCACTTGCCTGCCTCCCCTGTGCTTCCCCTGTGCAACCTACGGCCATGGTGGCTCAAATGTTTTAGTCTTACCTTGGTCCTGAGGAAGCTATTGCATTCTTGCTCCATGTTGTAATTGATGATACGAGAGACTTCTTCCTGCCATATCTTCAGGCCGTGGATGTTGACATAGTCTTGGATATACTCAAAGGAGCGAACGAAGCCGTCCATCTTGGCTCCTAGGGCATCCAGTCGTTGCATTAACTCACTGGTCTAAAAATGAAAAAGGAGTCAACAAATATGTGATCCATCAATGATCAAATCTGAGCTAGAATTATTTGAAGTTGCAATTTTCAATTTGCATGTAAAATTTAAAAAAAAAAAAAAAAGTTTTCTATTTTGGGTGTCTACGACATTCTGATTAAAAAAAAAAAAATATTTGGAGTTACTTTTGCAATTCTAATGCACAAAAAGAACTGTCTGGCTTATATTGTTGGATTGCAAATAATTCAAAATTTGTCAAGTAATATTCCATGACAAAAATTCAGGAATTTTATGTCTCATTCATTATTAAAAGACATTTTGTAATAATCTAAATTAAAAAACTCTACTTTGGGCATTTGATGCACAGGGAAACAGCTTAAAGGTTTCAGAAATGAAAGGATAGACTTAGTACTATTTTGTGAGGCCATGAAATGTGATGCGATAGTTCTATGTTCTTAATTAATTAAATGAATATAGGATCATTTGCTTTTCATGCATTTTGTTTTTTCGTTTCCAATGTACTACAATAATAACACCACTCAAAATCCAAAGAAGAATGTTCTAAACCGAACCTGTTGAACTTTCAGCTCAGTGGATATTACACTTTTTAAGAAAATGGTAACAAACCCTGCACAACCTTTTGATCAGGAAACACAATTTTGTCAATAGCACTCTTTATTTCCAAAAATCAGTCAATTGAGTAATCGTTGGAAATCACCTACAGTACTCGATTTTCTTCTAAATGACAGCATACCAGAGGGAATGATTTCACAGGGTGTTTAGTACCAGTACGATCTTTAATCCAAGTAAGCCTTTTGATAATAATTCAGCAAGTTACTTTTGGGAAAAATGCGAATGATCCTTTAAGCAATAAGATTTCTGTCACAGTTTCCGTACCTTGGCCTTGGGATTGAACATGATGCCATGATGCAGAGCGCTGGCTACTTGCTGCACCAACTCCTTCCTGATGCCGTCCTCCAGGAGCTGCTTAGGGTCCACTTTGATGATACCGACCAGCGTAGTCTTCATCATCAGGATACCCTCCGTGAAAACGGAGATGGAATGGGTAAGTCTGGCCACCTAGCATCAAAATAAGTAATACACAAATTTAAAAAATCATGAAGTGACAACTCTCATAGGGATCCATGTGAATTGTTTTCGTTTTGCTGAAAAAAAAAATTCCTTTTTTGTGATCCGTGGAATGAACTTTAAAACGGTGTTTGTGTTCAAAATTCCATAACTTGAAAATTACACGAGTGATTTGAATGATTCTTTTACTAAAAGAAAGCTCATTGATTGGGCTTTCATATCCTAGATTTTGAAAGTGCTACATGCAAAACTTCATTTAAAAATTGGTCCTGCCATTTGGAAAATGTTTTTTTAACTCACTCTGTATTACATTGCATGGGCCCCGTTTTAGCACTTACTTCGTATCTGAGATCCAGCTGAGCGAAATCTCGCAGTTTTTCCTTCTCTAGTCTGGTGGGCACCTCCTTGATGTGATGCGTTTGTAACTGTATGATCTGAGACAGGAGACTAAACATGGTCTGGGGTATGATCTGCAGCACCTTGCGTACGTAGGCGACCAGCTCGCTGGAGTAGTATTGGGAGACGCTGATCAGATCGGGGCTGTTGGCTAGATTGATGCGGATCAGAGGCAGGTCCAGGGCGGAGGCAAGCTGGAAGAATCAACCCAGAGGACAATAATTTTAACCCTCCCACTATTTAAACAGCCACAGACAGTCAAAATGTCCATCCGCTTCCCTGCTTTACTTTTAGCACAGGCTAGTCACCAACAGTCTGATGATATTTCTAACAAGCACTTTGACTAGTCAAATTCAGTCAACAGACAAAAGCAGGCAAGTGGTAGGCCCAGCTGTCTTATCAATCACCTACAGTCAAAGCATAGCTGTATCAAGTCACATAAACAGTCACAGCCAGTCAATCCTGCTTCATGTAGGCTGGGAGCTCTTTACTAAAAGTCACTTGAAATATTTTGACTGAAAGTACAACTTTGCACAGAATGCTTGTTTGCATAGGAGGGTTAATGAGTATTTATAGCATCCCTTGAACAAAGGCTTTGACAAAGCGGGGAACCCCCAACATAGGGCTGGATAGCTCAGTTGGTAGAGCACCGGAACGGTAATCCGGAGGTCGCAGGTTCAAGCCCCGCTCCAGTCAACTTCTTTGTTCAACTTTAAATTTTTTTTATTTTACTAAGCACACATATCCACCAGAACTGGTATTCAAGGTGTTACACTACTATTATCTGTGCTCATCAGTCCAATGAAACATTCCAAAGACAATCTCAGCTCCCTGGGGAGCATACAGCTTGATGCTGCCATTTCGACGCAAAGCAGCTAAAATCAATCACAATAACCATCTCTGCCCTCACAGGTACCTCTTTCATTCTGGCTGGGAGAAGCAATCAGTGAAAAGTGTCTTGCCTAAGGGCACATGCACTAAAGTGTGTATTTACCTTCAATCGTGGACCCCATATTGTCCCTCTTTTGTTTGTACTTTTAACTTTTTAGGAAGACCTCCCATATGTTTTGTACATGATTATCAATTGTGGACCCTATTGTCCTCCATTGTTCAACGTTCCCTATTGACTGCAGAAACAAACTCACCACAACTGCAGGCTGGACTCGAACCCACAACCTGCAGAATTACCCACAGATCTTGAGTTTAATCCTCCAGACCGCAAGGCCACAGTAACCCACCAAGAAATGTAACATGGTTTTTTAAACGAGCTGCAAAAATCCAAAGCTACTTAAAGATATAATTTTTCAAAGTCTTATTCCCTGCCTTCTTTACATATTTACCTTAAGGAATGTTGCTCTTAGTTTAGTGACCAGACCAGGGTTGCCTTTGATGCCTTGCTGCATGTAAGGTGTGTATCTGAAAAAAAAAGAATAATTCAAATAAAATAAGAAAATAAAGAAAATGAAAAACGACATTTCAAACCAAACACAAAGTGAAATGCAGCAATGTCTGCCTTATGACTGGCACAAGACAGATATGCTACAATTGCAGATATTTGGGTATCAATGAGCTCCTAAGCATAAGTCTGTGACTGTCTGTGATTTGTGTTATGACTAGGATCACAGTTACTCTAATATCTATAATCCTAGTTGTAACACAGATCACAGACAATCGCATGTACTTACTTATCAACGAGTTCCCGTGTATAAGACAGATCTACTACAATTACAGATAGTTGGGAATCAGTGAGATCCTAATCATAAGTTATATCTGCTAAAATCACATTTACTTGAGTGTCTACGATCCTAGTGGTAACACAGATCATAGACAATCACAGATCCTCACATGTCAATGTGTTTCCATGCATAAAACAGATCTGCTACAATCACAGTTACCCGAGTGTCTGTGATCCTTGTCATAACAAAGATCTTAGACAATCACAGACAATCACAGATGATGGTTCGAATCATCTGATGAAAGATCCATGCGTAAGCTAAAGTCACTGTTACTTGAGTGGCTATGCACCTAGTCATAACACATATCACAGACAATCACAGATACTTACGTGTCAATGAGCTCCCATGCATAAGACAGATCTACTACAATCTCAGATAGTTAGCTATCAATGAGCTCATAAGCATAAGTTACATGTACCATATACACCTAGTCATAACACACATCACAGACAAACACAGATACTTACGTATCGATCAGCTCCCACGCATAAGACAGATCTGCGACAATCTGCATCGTGATGAGTACCTCTTCCTTTATGTTGATGGTCCGAATCATCTGATGCAAGAACTTACGAGTGTCCAGGAGAAACTGACGAACCTGTAAGTTACTCTCCAACTGATGAAACTCTTGCACCTAAAAAGTTGAGAGAAAATATAAGAATTATAAAGTTGAACAAAGAAATTGACTGGAGCGGGGTTTGAACCTGCGACCTACGGATTGCTGTTCTGGTGGTCTACCAACTGAGCTATCGAGCCTATGTTGGTGGTTCCCCAATTTGTCAATGTCTTTGTTCAAGGGACACTAGTCAGAAGCCATAAACCCATATGTGACCTGTTCTGTCAAAATCAGACTTTTCTGGGCATAAGGTCGAAAATGATATTTTTACATATTGTTAACATATGTTCTTTTTCCTTTTAATAGGTGGTTTAATTTTTGAAACTGGTCATTCCTAGGCAGAGTTATGCAATTTTGAAGTTCATTGTGTCGAAAAGTAGAAAATGGAGAAAATGGCCACGAACGTCACAAAACAGTTATTTCTTTAACTGATATACCTTATCAAAACCATCAAAAATAGTATATGTAGAGTTCAAATTAGGGGTTCAAACTTTTATAATATATTTTAGACATGTTCAGGATAACAACTATGCGAAAATTTGAAAATCGATAAAAATCACCCCACAGCGTTTTTTGGCCCTATCTCAATTTCAACCTCTGCCCAGAAGCGTCTGCTTTTGACAGAACAGGTCACAATATATGCCATGTAGCCAGGGATCACACCCAAAATCACAATGCTGGCAACATTAGCAATGCTGCAAACCTGGGAAATAGCAAACGGGGATCACTCAGAGAGGATATATAAGAGTGTTCAATGTGAATAACAGCATCGATAGGACTGAGTTTGACTGCAACAAGCGTTTTCTTTTGTTAGATCACTTGACTGGTGGTAGTACCCACTGCTATATGGCCAGCCTACCCGGCAAGCTCGGTGGTCGAGTGGTAAGACGTCTGCACTAGTAAGCAGGAGATCGTGGGTTCGAGTCCAACCCGAGCTAACTAGTGACCTTTTTATGATAGGCTCTCGGAAAACACAGTGCTTATAAAATTAAGTCAGCGAAGGGCAAAACCCAACATAATTCACTTGTTACCTCTTCTAGCGCTTGTATGAGTTGTACAATCTTGCGTCCAGCTGCTGTGGAGTCATCATAGTTAAGTGATGTGATCTGTTTTGCCATCTCGGCAAACCAAGCCTGGAGGTTATCTAAACAAACCAAACCAAGGGATCAGAGAATTGTAACAATATAGGATACGGGAAGAATGCAAACTTATAGGGGAACTTGAGGTTTGACTTCGGTAGAACAGGTTTATGGACAATTTTAATATGATTTTGCACAGCCCCTAGGGAGTGAGGGTTAAATTTCACCCAATAGTGCTTTGACAAAAGTCCGACAGAAGTCCGACGTGCGTGTACGCGCATACCGTCGCTTTGCTCACGAAGTGACAAAAACCTCTAAATCTGGCAAAGGTTGAAATTACGAGATTGAAATTAATCATTTTCGACCACTTCGCAGGAACAAAATTCTGAATTGTTTGCATTGTCCAATAGCTTATGGTTTGTGCTTTGCTAATCCATAGCTGTTTGTTAAAAATCTCTTGCTCTGGAATACGCAGTGCGGCATTGGACAGGCGCACATGTTATTGTACACATGCGAAGAGGAAGGGCCAAATGGATCAGTCTATTGTGATTAACTTACCGTTCTTAGCGACTCGAGTTAATGGTTTGGTTCCTGAGAAGACCTCTCCCAGCTCAATCATTCGCTCCACGCTCTCTTGCTTGTACAATTCCCACTTCTTCTGCTTCTCAGATAACATCTTCTTGAACATCTGTAAAAAGAAGACCACTGAAGTGTTGTTGTCGATGCACTTATGGTCACAATTCAATTACTAGTCAATCACAAGCCAATCACAAGTCAATCACAAGTCAATCACAAGTCAATCACAAGTCAATCACAAGTCAAACACAAGTCAATCACAAGTCAATCACATGTCAATCACAAATCAATCACAAGTCAATCACATGTCAATCACAAGTCAAACACAAGTCAATCACAAGTCAATCACAAGCCAATCACAAGTCAATCACAAGCCAATCACAAGTCAATCACAAATCAATCACAAGTCAATCACAAGTCAATCACAAGTCAATCACAAGTCAATCACAAGTCAATCACAAGTCAATCACAAGCCAATCACAAGTCAATCACAAGTCAATCACAAATCAATCACAAGTCAATCACAAGTCAATCACAAGTCAAACACAAGTCAATCACAAGTCAATCACAAGTCAATCACAAGTCAATCACAAGTCAATCACATGTCAATCACACGTCAATCACAAGACAATCACGAGTCAATCACAACTCAATCACAAGACAATCACAAGTCAATCACAATTTAATCACAAGTCAAACACAAGTCAATCACAAGTTAATCACTAATCAATTACAAGTCAATCACAAGTCAATTACAACTCAAGCACAAGTCAATCACAAGAAAATCACAGACAATTACAAGACAATCCAAGTTAATTGCAAGTCGAACGCAACTCAATCACAAGTCAAGGCACAAGCTATTCCAACGATCTGTGACAAAAGCATTCCATTTTTACTGTTCATCCTCTGTTACTTGTGACTGGAATGCATTTGTGATCTACTTGTGATGGACTTGTGATGGACTTGTGATCCATCACATGTCCAACTACAACAGTTGGAAGTCTTTTGACTACCACACTGGGATTTATTTCATCAACTAGTATTTTTGTGTAAATAGGTAATCCTTCTACAGTCCGCCAGATATGTTGAATAAGTGTTCTCCAAGAACAGGATTATGTTATGGGCATAAACCTTAGACCATCATTCTGTGTCTTGGAAATCTTGAGGTTGACTGGATGACATTGTGTTTGATTAATTTGCTGGGTTTTTTTTTTGGGGGGGGGAGTTGAGATTTCATCTTTCTGATCAGAGCTCATTCAACTAGGATACGGAGATAGATATATGCAAGAGGATTCTTACCTCCTTGAGTTTAAACTCAAACTGTGCCGCATCCAGCAGTAGCTCAAAGAGCATCTTTGGATTGTACTTGGATTCCGTGATCATGGTATCCCTCATCATCCGTAACTTCTTATTGGCATCCCAGGCTGCAAAAGAATGTTTATATAAACAGAAACAGTTAATGACAAATTACAATTGGATAAAAACTGACTGTTTATTGCCTTAAAGATAGGGTAGATCATTTATCATCTGTGCATTTTTTGTTTGAAGCAACGAAAGTGCTCAAAATCTAAAGACGGGCGCTTGACAACTAACCTGATGAAGTTTTAGCTCTCTGAATGCTATGTACTCCGAGACAACAATATTCTAGCATCTTGATTTCCATTCAAAAGTCGCTTTAATAGTCATGTTTTGGAAATCAATCCTGCAAAACCTCTAACAATCACTGTTAATGCGTTGAGGCAGTGCTGATGCTATCCAGAAGCAGTGCGGGTGATTTAAAGTATTACCGAGGCCTAAATGTATGCATGGCTAAGCATAAACAACACAAGGTACAGCCTAGACCATGACACAGTGCATCCTCCAAGATCAGCTGCACATTTTTGCCAGATAGCCTCAATCCTTCGGAATTCTTCACTTGTGCAAAGAGGATATTTAAGGATTTGGGGAGGTACGGGTTAAAGTATCTAGGATATCAATGGTATTGGAGTCAGGTTGGCGCAGTGATAGTTTACTTGCCTTCTATCTCCATGGCCCAGGTTCGAATCCGGCCCATGTTCGAATCTGGCCTGGGTTTGAATCCAACCCAGGTTCAAATCCAACCCAGGTTCAAATGAGAAATACTTTTCAGTCACTGACTTTAGATTCCATCCAGGCTTTTTGTGCCATCACTAAAAACCTAAACATTTTTTAAATTCTTCATTTCGTTCACTAGGATTTTTTTTCAGGCTTTCTGTGGTACAAGTAAGTGTGCACTTTTTGAAGAATACTTGGTTTCATTTAAGAACAAATTTTAATAAATAAATATAATAAATTTAAAACGTAAATCATGAACTCTAACCGCCTCAGGCCTTTTGGCTAGGATGCACCCTCAATCCTGCCAAACCCTCCAATTACCACCATGTAAAACTTTGATTCAACCTCAAACCTCCAAAATCATCTGTTATTTCTTAAATTTAAAGAGGTGACCATTGCCTCAATCCTTAAAAATCCTCGGACTCACTTTACACATGTTGGAGCAGTGCAGATGTATCAAGAAGCAGTGCGAATGATATCTAGTATTTATAATCTAGGCATAATATATGCATGGCTAAGCATAAACAACACAAGGTGCAGCTTCAGACCTTGACACAATGCATCCTGCAAAATCAATTGGCACAAAAATGGCATACACCCTCAATCCTTCAAAATCCCCCCAAACCGCCTGGTTGATTGTGGAGGATTGAGGAGCGTTAGGGTTAAAGTTTGCTTACGTCCGTCAGCAGTGTGAAGCATGAGCCACCGTAGATTGACGTTACTTTCTCTCAGACAGTTCATCAGTTTTGGGATGTTATCCAGAACGAACTCCTCCGTCAGCGTTCCTTCCGTTAGATACTGACGTAGCAGTTTGATCAGTTGGCCCACTTTCTGGTTGTGATTGACAGTCTGTCAAAAAAAGTGGGCGTTGGGTTATAGGTAATTTTGGAATGCATAGCTTTGCCTATTTGAATATACTGTTTGATATATACTGCTTTTCTCCCTTAAGTAGGGTTTGGGACTCAGGATCAGAGGGTCAGGGGTTCGAATCCAGCTGCTGACCATACATTGTGTCCTTGGGCAAGCCACTTCACCCCACTTGCTTCGATCTCTCCACCCAGGAGTATAAATGGGTACTGGCATCAGCTGCAGAGTAACCTTGGCCCAATTTCTTGGCTCTGCTTACCGTTGGTGAAAAATCCCTGCTAACTACAGCAAAAACTTCCCTGGTTATGTAAACATATTTCGTGCTTATGTAAGCATATTTCACGCGTTATCGCGGAATTTGGCATCAGCTGGAGAGTAACCTTGGCCCAATTTCTTGGCTCTGCTTACCGTTAGTGAAAAATCCCTGCTTACTATAACAAAAAATTCCCTGGTTATGTAAGCATATTTCGTGCTTATGTAAGCATATTTCGCGTGTGTTCGCGGAATTTTGGCTTCTGCGCACGCGTACTTCCCGTAACTAAGGATTCTGTGCTTATGGGTTAGCACAGAATTTTTCTGCTAGCGCCGTTAGCACAAAATTTGTGATCGTAAGCGCAGAATTCTGTGGTTAGCAGAGCCAAGAAATTGGGCGCTGCAATGGACTGGCATTCCATCCAGGGGGGAACAGAAATATTCTCAATCGCTTCATGCCGAGGAAACCGGAGATAAACGCCGGCTTGATGGGTTACATTGGCTTATGTGACTTGTTCAGAGCTATACAGATTGTGATCGGTGTTCAGGCATGTCAGGCATGGAAGCATCCCAGTATAATGGCCACCATCACCATAATTTCAAAATCGGATTGGTGTTTATGCAAAAAAGGTTTATTGAGGGCTATTTACCAATGTTTTGACGTTGTTCAGGTCCATTGTGTTATTCATGGCTGTTTTGGCAGCTTTGTAGGGCTCCCACATGTCTGCTAGGTTGACAATTATGCCCATATACACACTGATCATCTGTGGAAAAATAGCGACGGAAAAATAGTCATCAGAAGAAACACTGAATATGGAAGACACAATGAGTTATCTTAATATGCAATACAAAGTTATAGTTGAGCCCACCACATGGCCATCACAAGTCAAATCACAAGTCTATCACAAGTCCATCACAAGTCCATTACAAGTCCATCACAAGTCCAGTCACAAGTCCATCACAAGTCCATCGCAAGTCCATCACAAGTCCATCACAAGTCCATCACAAGTCCATCACAAGTCCATCACAAGTCCATCACAACTCCATCACAAGTCAATCGCAAGTCATCACAAGTCCATTACAACATAATCACAAGTCCATCGCAAGTCCATCACAAAGACCTCCAAGCCGAAGTCTAGTCGAAAGATGTTATTGTTCATCCCCTGTTACTTGTTAACGGACTTGTGAATGAACTTGTGATTTCATTGTGAAGGGCTAGACAAAACATTACCTCATGATTAGACCATGTTTATCAGCTTAGTTTGTAGGTTAAGCACAGTAATTGGACTAGACATCTTGAATGACCCACCCAGTTATCAGGGAAATGTTTGTCCACAATCTCCCGCATCTTGGCCTGTTGGTTGTGCAGCGTTTCCGGGGAGAAGTACAGAATGACGTACAGCATGGCCGCTTGCGTGGCTAGGGCAGTGCTGCGATGCTCCGGTAGTGGATAGGCTGAGATCTGTTGGAATTCAACACGTATCACTGTGATATCATTGAAACATGACAATAAATCTTACGAACTCCTTGCAAATGTAACCCCCCCCCCCCCCCCCCCCCCCCCCCCCCCGTTAAAAAAAAGTTTCTTGCTTATTCACAGTGTCCGTAGTCATTTCTTCTACAGTATAAGAAGATTTGACGTCAGGATGATTCTTTTACCTGGTTGTATATGTCATCCGAGCGTAGCCTGGCTATCACCATTTCGATGAAATTTGAAGAAATTGGAATGCGTCTGTTGAGATACAAAGGTATCAGTGCAGAACGATCACTATACAGTATTAAAAAACAAAAGCAAACAAAAACACAACAAATGAAGTCTGTTACTGAGTCTACCAAGTCCCAACTTTGTTGCATATTCCACAATGCAATGTACAGTTTCACTTTCTTCACTCTCAAAAATTGGGCCAGCAGATAATGGACCTTTCCTGCCTTTCAATCAAACAGAGCACATTGACCAATCAGATCACAACTTTTGGTCAGCTGACCACGGTGACCAAAGGTGGGCGGAGCTAATAGGTTTTCTTAAATGGATCCTTCCTGTCTGCCAATCAAACAGTGGGCACTGACCAATCAGATCACAGCTTTTGATCAGGTGACCATACCAGCTGGGCCATCCTTGTGAGAAATTAACACAAAATCAAAAAAGGGTGGGACTTGTGGACATTATGCGGAATAGTCCATTTTTAATGAGGGATATCTTAAGGTTTGGACTGTCAGATATTCTTACTTGAAGTAGTTTTCTGGGTAGTTAAGGGGTCTCCTAGCTCCCGGTGCCACGTAGAATCCGGTAGATCGTAGGAGTTTACAGACATCGTCCATGTTGGAGTCCACAGCAGCCTTGGCAGCACTGCAAGATAAGAATCCGAATTCAAATTAAACAAGACGAGGCAAACCTAGTAAAGCTGGTCCCAAAGCACACAGCATGTAACTATAATTCAAGCAATCTCTGTCTGTCTGTCTGTCTGTATTTCGATTATCTCCAGAACCGGGCACTGTATGAAGTTGAAAATCGGCGGGCGTATTGCTCAGCACCCAAGAATGTGCAGTGTCAAGTTTGAAGCTGTTCAGATGAGCGGTTCTCGAAAAAGCTGCAAAAAAGCAGCAATACCAAAGGCCTAGACTATACAAACGTGTATATATACAGGCCGCGCCATGCACTGCTGCACATTTTAAATTGGCACAGCACTCTACTCCATGTCACATGTACGCAGCTGGGTTAACACACGTCTAAATGGTGGTTGGCTGTATGGTCGTGACCATTTTTTGAAAAGGGACGACGTGCCACGGGGAGGTGGGCCTCGACCATGTTTTGAAGGGCACGATCGCGCAACAGTGAGGTGTAGATATGGCGTGCTGCTATACAGGTACTGCACTCTATACCGCCACATTTACAGGTCTACCGGAGGTCAAGCAATTTCCCCTTCTAAACAGGCACGTTTTGAACGGGCACTGCACTAGTTCTATCAACTGATTCAGAATGACTATTTACTGGAAATTTCCTCAAGACTTTAGCCCTTTGAACAATGCCACAGTTGTATCCTGCTGCAGTTGCGACAACAGACTCTGAGGCATTTTGGCTTTTGGGAATTTGGACCTGTTTGATCTTGTTACACAAGGCAGGCTTCTTACTGTGACAAGTGTTGCAAGATGTTGTGTTGGGCAGGGTTCCTAGACAAAATAGTATGGAGGCTTATGAGATGGGGTTAAGATTTACCTGTATCTGTGATAGGAGACCAGCATCCGTTCTCTGACTGGACCATCGATTCTCATATCCACAACAAGAAGCATCACACCATACAGGTACAAGGATTCACACTACAAATTAAAATAATGGACAAAGTCCTGTTATTTCAAAACAAAAATATATGCAGTGGATCGGTCTGTGCCACAGTCTATGTCGGAGCCGTTACCCCTCCAGCTTGACCTGAAAGATATAACCTCTGACCTCTGACCTGTACTTATTGATTGGAGTTTACTTACCAGGAGTTGTTTGCCATCTTCGTTGAGTAGCACAGTCTCTAGCGTTTGTTGGATGTAAACTCCTTCCTCCAGGTCCTCAAGGAATCTACCAAATCAATCAAAATCATTCAAATCTATAAATCAAGGAAAAACATTCAACTTATTCAATAATGATTCTAATAGGAAGAAATCAAATTGGATACTCAATCGTGGTGATTCACACTATTTGTGTTTAAACCAAGTTCGAGTTGGAATCAAGTCAGACACAAGTACGTTACAACAAGTCAATCACAAATTGATCACAAATTGATCACAAGTCAATCACAAGTCAATCACAACTCAGTCACAAGTTAATCACAGGTCAATCGCAAGTGAATTACAATTCAATCCCAAGTCAGTCTCAAGTCAATCACAAGACAATCACAAGTCAATCACAAGACACTCACAAGTCAATCACAAGTCAATCACAAGTCAATCACAAGTCAAACACAAGGCAATTACAAGTCAGTCACAAATCAATCACAAGTCAATCTCAACTCAATCACAACTCAATCACAACTCAATGACACACTCAATCACAACTCAATGTCAACTCAATCACAACTCAATCACAACTCAATGACACACTCAATCACAACTCAATCTCAAGTCAATCACAACTCAATCACAACTCAATGACACACTCAATCACAACTCAATGTCAACTCAATCACAACTCAATCACAACTCAATGACACACTCAATCACAACTCAATCACAACTCAATGACACACTCAATCACAACTCAATGTCAAGTCAATCACAACTCAATCACAACTCAATGACACACTCAATCACAACTCAATCACAACTCAATGACACACTCAATCACAACTCAATGTCAAGTCAATCACAACTCAATCACAACTCAATGACACACTCAATCACAACTCAATGTCAAGTCAATCACAACTCAATCACAACTCAATGACACACTCAATCACAACTCAATGTCAACTCAATCACAACTCAATCACAACTCAATGACACACTCAATCACAACTCAATGTCAAGTCAATCACAACTCAATCACAACTCAATGACACACTCAATCACAACTCAATGTCAAGTCAATCACAACTCAATCACAACTCAATGACACACTCAATCACAACTCAATGTCAACTCAATCACAACTCAATCACAACTCAATGACACACTCAATCACAACTCAATCACAACTCAATGACACACTCAATCACAACTCAATCCCAAGTCAATCACAACTCAATCACAACTCAATGACACACTCAATCACAACTCAATCTCAAGTCAATCACAACTCAATCACAACTCAATCTCAAGTCAATCACAACTCAATCCCAAGTCAATCTCAAGTCAATCTCAAGTCAATCACAAGACTGACAATCACAAGACAATCACAAGTCAATCACGAGTCAATCTCAAGTTAATCCCAAGTCAATCACACGTCAATCACAAGTCAATCTAAAGTCAATCACAAGTCAATCACAAGTCAATCACAAGTCAATCACAAGTCAAACACAAGTCAATCACAAGTCAGTCACAAGTTAATCACAAGTCAAGTCACAAGAAAGTTCACAAGTTAACGGTGATGAACAATGGCAAAGGGATGAATTTGTCACAGTTCACCAGTTTAGCTTGTGACTCAACTTAAGCCTTGGCAACCTGTGATTGACTTTGTGACTGACTTATAATAGACTTGTGACTGACTTCTGATTACCTTGTGATTGACTTGTGTTTGTTTTGTGACTGACTTGTGATTGACTTGTGACTATGTACAAATGGATCTTCAAATGAACAGACAAAAAAATAGAAGCAAAGATTTGTTTAAATTACCGATTGAGATCTGTAACATATTTATGGATTCCCTCGAAGGCCAGATAGAATCTCCGCAGTATGTCGATATGATTCTCCCGGAACATTTCATCAAGGTCTTGGAGCTCCTTCAAACAAACACAAGTACATGAACATGCATTAACAATTCTAGTTTTAATCCTCATTTTGTTTGAGCAGTCACAGACAGTGGAAATCCAGTTCCCCTGCCTACCTTTTACACAGGGTAGTCACCAACAGTCAGATCATATTTCAATAGGCACTGTGACAGTCAAATTCCATCAACAGACAAAAGCAGGTGACTGGTAGGCACAGCTGGCTTATCAATCTCCTACAGTCAAAGCATAGCTTTATCAGGTTTCATAACAATCACAGCCAGTCAATCCTGCTTTATGAAGGCAGGGAGCACTCAACTGTTAAAAGCAGTCACTTGATTTATTTTGACTGCAGGGCTGGCCTTGTTGAGATTGCCAGCCAGAGAGGAAGGGCAATACAATAACATACAAATGTAAACAGGAACAAAAATCATTGTGCATTAAGATTGACAATTTAATTATGCTAATTATTTTTTACAAGACTGCAGCATCTTTGTATACGACAGATGATAGGATATATTTATTTCAATCTACTGCAAAAACAGGAAAATATCAAATGAAACGCTTACAGGTCTGGAGTCAATCTTATTGTCGTAGTATTCCGATCCTTTGAAGTAGTTAAAATCGAACAGGATGTCGCCATATTTCATCTGATCAAATTTATTATCCAGCTTGAAGACGGGAGGGATGAAGTCGGCCAGACGAAGTAACTCTGCGATGATTGCATTGCCCCGAGAGACTAACTTGAGGAGTGTCTGTCCACAGAGGTTGTTGTCGGCCAGAAAGTCAGCCATGTTGATTCACTGGTCGTCTTTCTACCAGGAGACGCTGTGAAAATAAACAGATTATGGATTAGTGTCAATTACACAGTTGAAAAAATCTTCTCTCAATTCTAATGACACCTTTTTGTCATTTTGAACAGTTTCTTGAGGTAAAAATTACGATTTTCGGACGCGGTTTACGGTTGGTGCTTTGCGATTCAGGGTACCTTGCGTGTTTACGGTACATCGCGGTGATCGCCATCTTTATTTGAGCGTTTTATCAGTGTCGGCATTTTACCCCCAAATTTCCCTCAAAAAATCAAAATCCTGCCCTTTATGTATGACATACCTAAATGTTCTTAATATTGTCGCCAACTAACTAGTTTGGTAAGCAAAATAAATTAAAAGTGGATTTTGTTCTCTTAATAAGAGTCTTATTGGAACCGGGCCCGTAAGTAGGTCCTATACAATCAGCACAATTACAGAATACTCCACATGGAAATTACCTTCCCCCGGCCCTTCCCCACCCAACCACCCAGATAGCCCATGCCCAGCCCGAACCCGACCCCCCCCCCCCCCCCCCCTCCCCCCACCCAAAAAAGGGGGGAAGAAATGGACAGCAAAAATATGCAATAGTCAGATAGTGGGGTAGTGGCCTATAAATACACAATTCACATCGCACCCAAAGAACGTCAAAACATATACATTTCAATTTCGCCCTTTTTATCCCTAATTAGGCCTCATTTTCACCGGTTGAAAAAGTCACTGAGTCTGTGATTTTGTACACGAGTGTCGTGCAGTGCCGGCCGGGCCGGCCGGACAAGTAATCAGTGACAACTCCCACTTTCTTGTTTCGAGTTCAGCACAACATTGAATCTTTTTATCAGGTTTTCACCTCAAAAAGTTCAGAAAACACTTTCGTTATAGGCGCAATTTATACGCCAATAATCTTCACGATCAATCAATGGGAATTCAGCATAAAAACTTACCAAAATAAGTGGTATTTAACTGGTTATTTCATCCCAAACTGTATGAGATGTCCCGACAAAAATCTACTTTCATCAACTTTTTTACATCAATTAGTATGGACCCCATTTTATGGAATATAACTCCGGTATAAAAGCGTTTGTGGAGTCTGGAGACCAGACAAAGTCAGGTGCTGTTGACAATTTTCTTCATCCTCGTTCCCAGCTGAACTCTCACGATGATCCCAATAATGTGGTAGCGTGTTTTTCACTGAATTGTTCTTTTAATGGAGTGATTTTCAATCTTCAATTAATTTCAAATCAATCCAGTCTTACAAGGTGATATATAACTGGATTGACTTTTTTTCTTTTATTGGTCTGTAACATAAGAAACAAAAGAAAAACACTTTTATCTTTGTTTTTTGGGGGGCATTATTATTATGAACAGCGCTTCTGCAAAAAAAAAAAAAACTGCAATGAGACGGGCATATGTTAATCAGAATTGTTTTATTTTCATCAGTATCAAAATAAACCTTAAGGAAACTATAACATTATTTTGATCTGGCTATAAAGACTAACAGTACTTGAGTAGAAATCAAATTGTACTCAAAGAAAGAAACATTCAATGGGATTCTAAAAGCCTGAAAGAAATTTGAAAATTCTAAAACAAAGTTGATTTTCATATTTAAAAAGTCATTAAATATTGCAGCATTCTCAAAGTTTGAGAGTTTCTTTGATAAATTAAAATGTTTTACTTTAGTATACTGAAAGTCAGATTGTCTTTGGCAAAAATATGCACTTACAGTTCTACAAAAGGAACAAATTCTCATATGGTAAATTGATTCACTAAAATTCATACATTAGGACATAAAATAAACCAAAAAGTCTTGAGTTGATAAACTGAAAAAAGTTAAGCTGAATCATCAATCTTTTGAGAATCTACCACCAATATGAGTGGAACTTTTGAATTGAAAAATGATTTCAAAGTTTGTACATTTAAATTCAAACAATCTTGAGTAAAAATGACGACATATAGGACTAGATACAAATTTATTTGTTCAATCTGCCCCCCACCCCCGGAAAATTTCTTGAACAATGTCGGTGTTCATTTTCGAAACCATTTCACATGAATGCAGTAAATATTTTCATTCCTATTCACAGATTTCCGAGATATTTCACAGATAAATTTTGTTCCTGAGCCTCAGACAATCCGAAGTTTTGGCACTTAAATTTACAGTAATCATATTTAAATATTAAATACAAATCAGGTTTATATACATATATCAAAAAGTTGCCTTTGAAAAATAGTCAGGTTTTCAACTGTTCTACTCATCCCCAGATTTTCGTCAGTTTTTTTCATGAAACTGCCCCCGTTCTCTTCTTGTTGAATTTTACGGAGCCTTTTTTCTTCTCATTTATGATTTGGTTGATGAGTTGTCCGAAGCTGATGTTGATAACAAGGCCAATGAGAAGACAGATCCACCATTCCCATACCAGAGGGAAGCTGAGGTTGACTGTAGAGTAAAAAAAAAAAGGACAGATAAAAATGAGATGATGAGGTGTTTTGTATTGAATTGAAAATTGGGGTTTCACTTCATGGAAATATACAACACTTGCTTTAGCTGTACTTTCAGAAATGGATGGATTTTTGAGTTAGAATTCTATAGCAAATATTGTTACACTGACCTGTTTCAAGGTTTGTGTTCATAGATGCTGGAAAAACCAAAGAAAATAATGCTTTCTTATAGTCTGGTTCCCTGACCATACTTCAGATGAAACGGAGCAATCTATAGACATCAGGGAATTATCAGATCAGGGAACCAGACTACCTGGCTTGCACCTGTTTACGGATGTGTGACCGATTGCAAACAAAATGTGGACTAACTAAATTTGGTAAATTGGGGGCAGTATTTGAAAAAAAGGTCATTTTTTTTCCAATGATGGTCAGCTAACCATTGTTGGAAACTGACACAAAAATTTCCACTTTTCTTGCAAATGACAGCACACAAGGTGCCATGATTTCACAGGATGCTTGAGACTATTACTCACTTACAGTCAAGTAAGGTAGTTCATAATAATTTGGCAGTTTTGGTTTTTCATGTTTGCAAATGCTGTATATTACCTTTAAGTAACTTATTTCATACCTGTCTTGTTAAAATTATTTGTTGCTTGATTCTAATATCGCATCTTTGTTTCTCACCTGCACAAGTTATTGCCGAGTGTATTATGGTAACTGTGACAGAAAAATCCCACAGACGCTGCCGAAGAAACGTCAAGAAAACAAAAGTTGAGACGAAAAAGGTGGATTCCAGTGCTATAAAATCACCTACATGGGAAAAACAAATCCAGGATTATTGTATGCTTGAGGAACATGATTTAAATTTAAATTGTGATCTAATATCATAATTAGTATAAAAGTAATCCAGGATTTTCATGACAAATTTTGGAAGAACGACATACCAAGAAAGGGTTGCGTACTCCACTTTGTAGAATTTGTGAAAATATTTTCAAAGCTCTTGTAGTGGAATGGAATCGTGCCGTCAAAGTTGTGAAATCTAAAGGAAAATAAATAATAAACGGTTAAAAATCTTTTGTAAATTATTGAAAAAAAAAAATAGGCAAGTTTGTACTCAGCAGCTCAGGCAAATATAAATATAAGCATGATAAAAGGAAAACTTTTTCAAAATCAAGCCAAATTAAAAAAAGCAAAACATGTTTAGCGTCCCCGCCTGCTTCCTTTTTGGAGGCCGCCTCTTTTTTCCTTTTTTTTTGGAAAAAAACCCAAAAATATGATAAATTTGAAACAGTGACATCATTTTGACCTCTTTCTCTGTTGTATCTAGCCCACATAAAGCTGGTATGTCATTTCCTTAGTCCAGGTAAAAAAAAAGGGCCTCCTCCTTCCTTTTTTACAGAAAGGCAGGACGCTAAACATGTGCTTTTTATTTGGCCTTTAGAGTTGTGCAGATATGTTTTTTATTTTTTTTATTTTTTTGCTAGATCTCATTTATACAGGGTGGCCTTATCAGTTAAAAAATGCTTTCCAAAGGGCCCTGGTTAATTTACATAAATATGAATTAAAACAGTTAAAGAATTTGAATTATAACAAAACAAAAGACATATTAATTATTATAAAAACATCAACAATCAAATGATTATCGTACTCACTTAAAAATCCCATGCACTAGGCTGGCTGTAATGTAGAAAACGGTATAAAATGACGTCAGACTCAAGAGCAACCAGAAAATCACAGCCTGAAAAGAGAAATAATTCACCTTAAAAAAATGTATCCATTCCAATTTCTGTTTATCATGTTTATAGAATTTTCTACAGTGACATTGAGACGCCAACACAACACTACAGGTGGAAATCTACACTACCATCGAAGGAGAATGTTCTATTCCTGGAAACAGTCGTGATGCATGCTTCTCCTTGTCGAGCGACATTTTGAAGACATCCGGAATTTTGAGAGAGAAAAAATGATGGAAAAAGCCTCAATACTGCACTGCATCAGGCCTACGGTAACCAGGAACTCATCATTTGCACAATGTTCGAGTTGTAAGTCCGTGTGAAGGGCGCCCTCTTTATTCCTTTGTCTCCGCCACAAAAAGGACACACTCACTCTTTCAGTTGTACTTGTAGAATTTAACATAGTCAAAACTCAATTTGTTTTAAAAGGTTTTTCAAAGGGACTTCAACCTTTATTTTCATCACTTGATGAATTTTCTTCTTCCTTTAAGCTTCTCGCCTTCTGACATGTGAGAATCGTTGATTACTTTCAATCCTTTTTTACTTTGCATCTCAGTTCCTTGCTCTATTGCTCTATATCATGATCTTACAGAAATATTTCTTAAAAAAAAACAATTTTACAGTATCTGCAATTTTTTTCCATTTTTCATTTCCCCGTCAGTTATTAATTATTGTATGGGTCTTGATAATGTGATTGTCATAATTTTCGTTCGCCAGTTCAAAATATTTATAGGCTGTAAATATTTTGAACTGGCTCAGCTAGCGACACGAGTTTTGCGACTTTTAGCCGGCGTATAGGGCGCCCTCTAGCAATCTTGAAACCGAAGCTTAAGACAATCTTTCGCGGCAAATTTTTCAGACAGACGCATTCTAATAAACCATTTAATTTAATGATTTCTTATTCTTTTCATTCAACGTACTGATTTGTAAATACACAGAAATATATCTTAGCAATAAAATTAAGTTCATGTGTGGCAACGTTTCTTTGGTAATCACGGATGTGTTGTTTTTTTACTGCTTGAAATGTTCACCTTTCGCGCCAAACGACCCTTTACCGCTTCAGTGCACAACAATAACTCGCCGCGATTAAGTAACCATCCTCAAACTGAAAGTTCATGACGTTTTCTCCCTTTTAATGAGTGCAATTGCCAGAAGATTTATAAAGATAGTAAATAAATCTGTTTATTAAGGAAAATTCGAGTTCAATCTTAAAACCCTGGGGATTACTTTTCCTGAATGGCGAATGAACAAATCCTCATTTAGAGCTGTTGAACGTTCACAGACTGCAATGCAAAACATAACGTTTGTTCATCGATGAATTAATTTTTGATCAAATTAGTCAGGTATTTTGCCGTGAAAATGGTTAAAACCAGACGTTCTTCGCCGTTAGAGGACCACAACTATGGGGAGGAGTTTCTGTCTTTGAGTAGCCGGAGAAACAGGCGAGAAATCCGGCCGAACGAGGAGGTATTTGACGGACCATTTTTAGATTGTTTTGTTCGTTTTTGTTCTGCTCGGCGCACGTACTCGATTCGCGTTAAGGCAGTTTACGGGGAAGTTCCCGCTGTCAAAATGCAGGCTTTCCCTTTAATGGGAAAAATATTTACGTGTATGGGATTAATCCCTGATATACAGGAAGCAATGCTTGAATGGATCAGAGCAATTATCTTGACTATAGACCCGGAAACAGCAAATCGGCAGGGGTATTTCTGTGTTCATGTGATTCACTCAATCGGCAGCTGTATTTTTATTACTAACTTGACCTTTCACCCATATTGATATAAACAAGAAGCGCCAATCTATTTTGAATAAGGCTGTATCCACATTATTTATTACACATTTGACATTAAATAAGTGGTGATTATACGTGGTTTAGGTAGTGGATATTTGACCATGGACCAGTCCCTGATTGTCTATGCGCAGCGACTGTTTTGGGGGACTTAGAAATTTTTATCGTGATAAAATCTTCGTCTGGTTCTTCACGAAGTTACAATAACATAACCTAAGGGCATATAAGGGTGGTGTGATTTAATGACAGTTTCTCCCCCCCCCCCCCCCAGGTTCGATTCCCATGGACAGGATGGATGTCCATGAAGCAAGTTACTAATTAATAAAGAGGATCAGGAATGGAGGAGAAACTTTATTGAAAAAAGTGGCGTCCGTATCTGGAATTCTTTCAAAACAATCCTCCACTCTAGAGAAAATGACATAATCTTCAATTAACTGTAGTGTAGGATTTGATTTAAAACAAAAAAGGAGACAATTCTTATTGAATTTGAGCGGTGTGCTTGCAAGGCAGGGAAAGAGTGTTGCCTCCTGATGCCACTATTTCATCTCAGTGATGGCCAGTCATTGAATAAGAAGTAGAAAAGACATGAATCTAGGACTGAGAAACATTCCTAATTTTGTTAGAAAATACTTAGAAAATCCACTTGACTCTCCATAGACTTTGCTCACAACCAAAGAAGTGGCGTCTGGATACTACATTCTTTTACAGGCGGGCTTGCTATTCACTAGGCCACGCATTAACTCCACATAAATTGGCAATATGGTGTAGGCCTACTTGTGCGATCTGCTGGCCTAAACACGGAAAAGAACGAAACAAATGCGGGACCATTTCACAGTTATTTAAACACTATGTTATTCATTTGTTTATTGTTTTTCAAGATTGATGTCAGTTCCAGCAGTGACGTGACTCCTCAGACTAGCAAGCATGATCGCAGTAATTTCCGAGAGAGCGCTTCAGTCAGTACCAGAGGCAGCTCAAGAATGCGAAGAAACAGGTAGATTTACTATTAGCATTGACCTATTTGGAAGTAATAACATTTCTTTATAATTTTCAAAGAAACGTTGGAAGCTTTCCTTTTAAGAAAATTAGAATGAGGCAAAGTAAAATAAAAAAACAGTTTGTTGTCCCCGACCACATTCCTTTTCTCGACCATCTCTTTTTTTATTTCTTTTTATTTTTTGTTGTTTTATCTGCTTCCAGAAAATAATTGTAGCTATCTTTGCAAGTTCAAAATCTGGTAGGAAGGGTGACAGCTCCTTTGTACACACAACTATCAACAAAAGAGTTGAGAAAATGGAAAAATCCATCTGCTGTCTTGGAAAAAATCCACTATCTTGAGGAAGATAAAAAAAGGGAGGAAGAAAAACGAGGAAACAAGGGCCTCCTCCTTCCTTTAAAAAAAAAACTTGGACGAGAAACCTTTTTTCTTTTTCAGTGAAAACATTTCTTTATAATTGGTTTATCGTAAAAAGAAAATGTTTAAAGGTTTTCCTTTTAAGAAAACTTGCATAGTGGATGAGTTGTCTCACTTTGTGTTGGGTTTTACTCAACCATTCTCCATATTTTACGCCTTTTATCCGTTTTTTGCGTAGATCTCTTCGGATGGACGACACACCGCTGTCCACCTACAGTCCAGTTCGGACCAGGAGGTCCAGTAAGATTGAACTTCAGCAGGAACAATTGACAGCACCGGTCACTATTGAAAACATCAACTTGGCCGACTTTGAGGAAGACGATCGTGAGTTCGTACCACGGCGCAGCATGCGAGCAAGGAAGCCGTTGTATACAACCATGAACACAAATATGATCGGTATGGACAAATTTAAGCTTCCTGTATTAATTATTTTAATTAATTAATTTTTTATCACATTTTGTCAGTGCATTGTTTAATGGTTGAACATGACTGAAGTTTATTCAAGGAAATGTAAAAGTCCATCATTAGTCAATCACAAGTCCATCATTAGTCAATCACATGTCCGTCATAAGTAAATCACAAGTCCATAAGTAAATCACAGGTCATCATAAGTAAATCACAAGTCATCATAAGTCAATCACACGTCATTAGTCAATCAAAAGTCCATCATAATTGAATCCCAAGTTCATCACAAGCTAATCACAAGTCCATCATAAGTCCATCATAAGTCTATCACAAGTCCATCACAAGTCAATCACAAGTCTATCCCAAGTCAATCACAAGTCTGTCACAGGTCAATTACAAATCTATCACAGGTCAATTATAAGTCTATCACAGGTGAATTATAAAAGTCAATCACAAGTTGTCATAAGTCAATCAAAAGTCTGTCACAAATCAATCACAAGTCATCATAAGTAAAATCACAAGTCCATAAGTAAATCACAAGTCATCATAAGTTAATCACAAGTCATCATAAGCTAATCACAAGTCATCTAGTCCCAAGTCAACTAAAAATGTATTCAATTGAATTATTATTTATCTCCTTTTACTTGAGACCATACTTGTGAATCGCGTTTTGATGAACTTTCTATATTTTTATGCAGTCAATCATGTGCTGTCTGCCCTACAAGAGGATAAAGCCTCCAAGCCTGTTCAGAAGAAAAGAAACGATGAAGACGAAGAAGAAGACGAAGATGAAGAACAGCAAGAAGGATCAGAAGATGGTGTAAGGAGTGCAACCAGCATGCATAATTTCCCTCAAATATAATTTTCACGGACTGTAACAGATTTGGTCATAAGCCCGCCCCTTTGTGTACATTTCTCACAGTGTTGTGACCGAGTTACGATACTGTGGGCGCCTGACCAAAAGGCACAATCGAATTGATCAGTGCGCACTGTTTAAGTCCACTTCTAAAAAGAGAAATGTCGGGCATGTAATATTTCTGCTTTCCGCAGATTACTGCGTTTTTTTCCCACCTCCGCTTTTTTTGGCGTGACTCTGCGCTTTTTAAGTTCTGCATGCATAATTCCTGTTATAGGCTCCCGATATATCACGTGTGGCGCAGATCACACGTAGTCACTATACGACTCAATTTCTGCATAGGTAACGGCTATATTATGTTCGGCACAGCGTGTATTTTTTTACAACTTTGTCGGGAACTGGACTAGCCAGCCTTGCGGCCACGGAATGGCCCACCACTCGTACGTACATACGTACATAGCCTTGGAGTCAAGCTAAGAGACTAGATGTGACCATTATCAAGTTGCGGCCTTTCCTTTCAAATCAACGCAACCAAAGCGAGGCTGAAAGAAAAATAGTCTGGTTCATTTTTGCACAAGACACAACATCATTCAGTACTGTGATTGGATACAGGGAACATGACTGAAATGGTGGCAGCATGATAAAGGTCGATAGCCAGGTTTTCCTCCTTTTCTTCTCCCTCTGCCCACTCACATGCCTGAATGTGTTACTGCCATCCGAAGCCTAGTAATTCGGACACGTCCTTATTGTTGTTCTTATTTGCAGGAGAACGATTCCACAGGTTTGGATATGTACTCTCGCATCAAGAGACGTCATATCAAACAACGAGCCGTGGCAGGAGACGGGGAGGAGGATGAAGATACAGATGATGAAGGGTCTGAGGAGGATAGTGAAGGTTAAAGAGAAAGTCATCATTCTTATTTTGTTTGATGTAATTTTGTGTCGGAGAGATGTCTATTCAACATTGGGATTGCCCTGCACTAGCCTTTCTTCTATGGCTGGCAAATTCAACCACGCCATCTCAACAGTCGATATCAATCAAGTGACTGTTTTTAACCGTTGAGTGCTCCCTGCCTTCATAAAGCAGGAATGACTGGGGGTGACTGTTTATGTAACTTGATACAGCTATGCTTTGACTGTAGGAGATTAAGTCAGCTGTGCCTACAAGAAATGTAATCTGACTGTTGGTGATTAGCCTGTGTATAAAGGCGTGGCAGGGGAGAAGGATGAATTTTTTTATTGTGACTACTCAGTCAGCAGGAGGGTTATAATAAGCAGAAGGTCGTGGGTTCGAGTCTCACCCGAATAAAGTTGTGAATTTTTTTCTCACAGGCCTTTGGGCAGCACTGATTGAACAGATCATTTGAAATTACGTTGGTTGAGGCTAAAACCCACATTGAATTTTATCAGTCTTATGAAGAAAATGTTATATTGAATAGCGTTGAAATTTCTCCATTGAACCGAGCACAGATGATTTCTGTGAGAAAATGTTATTGTGAACATGTTAATTTGAGAATCTAGTTGAACATTTGTCAATAAAATATATGGGGAGTTACATTACAGTTTGGAAGATAAATCACAAATATTTTAATTCAATACAGAAGAAAGTTCTGAAGAAGAAGAGGAGGAGGATCCGCCTACAAAGAATTACGGTTTGCGACAGCATCGACGTATCGTACAGAGATATGAGGCTCCACTACAAGGTACAGGTTGATTTATTTTAATGTTTCTATATTTGCCGACAAAACTTTCAAAATCCAAAACTGTGCAGTATTATTCTAATAACACATTGCAATTTTTTTTGTACACAGAGAGTATTCCTAAGAAGCGTTCCATTCGTTTGTTTGACAACACAAGCTCACCGCTACGACGGCATTATCGCAGTCATTCTAAGCCACTTACACCAATCAGAGGCCAGCATTTCAAAAGGTAGGAATCGTTGTGGAGTTCTGTATCAAATCATTTTTTGATTTATTTTTTGCTCCGATTTTTCTGATTTGAAAGAGAAATAGCTAGTTTGTTACCCAAAGTTAAGGAACTAGATGAAATTTTAGACATTTGGGAATAAAGTGTTCAAAATCATCCATATTTTGTAGGCTAGTTTGAAAGTATAGTTATGATAAAATAGACAATGTAATAGGTCATGTTTTACTTCAAATTTACATCTTTTTTATATTTTTGTTTTAAATTTTTTATTTTAAAAGAAATTGGTAGTATTGTTACCAAAATCAAATTCCATTTGATTCTGAAGTTTTAATATAATTACTCTTCTAGGAAACACCATGCTGCTCACAACAGGTCATCCACTAGTTCGGATTCTTCAGATGATGAGAGGCGTTTTGAACGGCGTAAGAAGAAGAGCATGGCTCGCAGTAGAATGAGGTATGCCTAAGCTTTGATAAGAGGAAATTTTCTGGGAAAAGTCAGGGAATTTAATAGTGACCCAGAAGGATAAAGGAAAGAATTTGCCAGTTTGGCGTATGTACGTCTTGTGCAATTTGTCCAAGTTGTGTCCATTGTCGGACTGGCAGTTGGTGGCGTTTGAGTGTTTATGCAGTGTGAATATTACTTTGCTTTGCTGCAACCACCTCTTAACTTCCCAGCAACCCTAATAAAGTGTAAATATTTCTGAAGGAAATATCAGGAAAACTCCAGGATTTTTTCATCACAAAAAACTGGGAATGCTGTATATATCAGGTTGTGATTTGGAGCTTCTTTTGAACATTGCAGATGTCTTCCAATGAACATGGTCGCGGAGGATGTGACCGGAGTCAAGAAGGATCGGCAGAAGATTGGAAGCAGTCTTGCGGATGTCGATCCCATGAGCATCGATACCACAGTAAGTATATCACTACCAAGCAAACAATCATGGTCTGGAGCAGCTATAGATAATTTCACAGTTTAAAATCTGAGCCAAGAGTGTTTGCCTGGTGTTTTTCAACATATAGAATCACCAGGCCAACACGTAGACATATCTAAAGTAAACATCTTAGACAGAGACGCACGATACTTTGAAAGGGGGATGAAGGAGGTAGCCTACATCAGAGCCTACAACCTTTAAAAACCGGGACGGGGGCGGTACAAACTCCCAGGAGTCTATGACACGGTGTTGGGATCACGTGTCCGTAGGGTCCAGGATGCAACATCCGGGTCATCCTGCTGATGAAGACCGGAGTTTCGGTCGAAAATTACAGGTATGAAATTCTCTAGTGTTGTGATCAAAAGTTTACCTCTAAATTGGAGTTAACTTTTACTTTCTCGCCTCCAACAGGTAACATTTGACAGTGTTGGCGGTCTCAACCAGCACATCCAGGCTCTCAAGGAAATGGTAGTCTTCCCACTTTTGTATCCAGAAGTCTTCGAGCGTTTCAAGATCTCGCCACCGCGGGGCGTGCTGTTCTATGGCCCGCCGGGGACAGGCAAGACGTTAGTAGCGAGGGCGCTAGCTAACGAGTGTCGACAAGGTGATAAGAGAGTCGCTTTCTTTATGAGGAAGGGAGCGGATTGCTTGAGTAAATGGGTCGGTGAGTCCGAGAGGCAACTCAGACTATTGTTTGACCAGGTGAGGAAGTTTTGAAAGCGGTATTTTTTGGAAATTAATAATAATAATGATTTGTATTTATAAAGCTACAAGGCGCTTCTCCATTATTACCCTGCTCATTGGGCCAATGAAACATTCCAAAGACAATCTCAACTCCCTGGGGAGCATACAGATTGATGCTGCCGTTTCGGCGCGAAACAGCTGAAATCAACCACAATAACCATCTCTGCCCTCACAGGTACCCATCTACTCCTGGGTGGGGATAAGCAATGAGTAAAAAAACGCCTTGCTCAAGGGCACACGCACCATAACCCCAGGCTGGACTCGAACCCACAACCTACAGAATTACCCGCAGACCATAAATTCAATGTTCCAAACCACTAGGCCACAAAACTTTGCTATTTCTTTGTTGTTGTGATTTTCGGTCACCAATACATTGTATAATTGTACAGAATATTTAGGATGCAAAGGGGATGTTCGTTACAGCTAAGTGTTCGTTATAGAGGCGTTCCTTAGTGACAATCTTCTATATTTGTTATAAGCTTACTTCCTTCATCAATAAATGTACCAGAATTTTTTGCCATTAAACTTGAACCTTGGATATTTAAATAGTTACTGCTTTCAGTTGGACAGCAACTGTCACTTCATTTTTAATGCGCAATATGTTTGAGACATCTATGTAAAGGATGCGCGAAGCTTATATACCTACAAAGTTCTGAAATGTTTTTTGTTTTGCAAGCTATAGATACTCAATGTTAACAGTTGCAAAACCAATTTTTTTTTTTAATTTTCAACAGGCCTATCTTATGCGTCCAGCAATTATCTTCTTTGATGAGATTGACGGTCTAGCACCTGTTCGTTCCAGTCGTCAGGATCAGATCCATTCCTCAATTGTCTCAACACTCCTTGCACTCATGGATGGCTTGGACAGCCGTGGAGAGATCGTCGTGATCGGAGCCACCAACCGAGTTGACGCTATCGACCCAGCGCTCCGGCGCCCTGGAAGGTTTGATCGAGAGTTCTCCTTTCCTTTACCTTCACAAGAGGTGTGTAAATCATTTTTTCCCTTTTGTAGAAATTTTCAAAATATGGAATTTGTAGGAATTTTTGAGAAATGAAGCTGACTCCTTCCGAATCACAGTTGCAAGATCATTATTTATTTACTTGATCCCTTGATATGAATAGCTTGTATACGTTTCCTTGAATTGCATAATTTTTCAATGTGACTACAGGCTCGTCGCAGCATTCTGTCCATTCACACCAAAGACTGGAGTCCGAAGTTGTCCGATGCGTTCGTCTGTGAGGTGGCCGATAAATGTGTTGGTGAGTTTGTCATTTCAACCTTTCGAGATAATAATCATTGATTTAAGTTACCGACTCCTGAAGTGTTCCACACTCCTTTGTCAATCTTCTCGTCAGAGTCGGAATGGAGGGAATTACATTTCAAATACAAATACAAGTCAATCAAAAGTCAGTCGCAAGTAACGGGAGGTGAATAACAACAGAGATATGCTTTTGAAACAGGTCATTTGAAAAAGCTTGTGAGGTGATTGGAACTGAAGGACTTCTGGTGACTTATGATTGACTTGTGATTAAGGATTTGACGTTTAAACGTTTAAAAAAACAATACAATTCTAAATCTGTTCTCAAATTTTCCACAAACGTGTAAACGAAACCCAAATTATAAAAAAGGGGCCTACGTTCACTGTTCACATAGTCTTCCTTTGAGTTAAACCTACGTGTACATAGCACAAATAATTAATGTTTTCATTTTAGTTTTCAACCTATTTAATTTACAAAACCTTTGAAGCACTTCAACACTTGATTACATTCAGGGCACACGTAGTGCAGTTGTTACGTTTTCAGTGACTGTTGATTTATCATGTCAATCACACCGGTCTGCAGACATAATGAGCATGCATCAGCCTTTGTGAATGGCTAAATGTTTAAACGATTCTGTAAATATTTGCTTTACAAAAAACGTTTACAAAATTGAACGCAAAGTCACATCCTTACTTGGGATTACTTGTGATTGACATTTTGATGACTTGCGATAACTTGCGATGATTTGTGGTGATGTGTGAAAACTTGTGATGACTTGTGGTGACTTTTGATGAATTCTGATGGACTTTTAATCACTTATGATTGACTTGCGATTGACTTGCGATTGACTTGCGATTGACTTGTGATTGACTTATGATTTGACTTGCGATTGACTTGTGGCAACTTCACTTCAACCTGCCCATTACATTCTATTGTAAGTGCACCAGTGTGCTAGGAGTTACGTGTTTGAAATGAAGATTGTCAAACTGTTTCCAGACATTTCTTCTTCTTTTTTTTTTATAAAGTGGAACAACTAGTTCAATTTTTTCCCCTTTCTTCCTTTCGTCAGGCTACTGTGGTGCTGACGTGAAAGCCCTGTGCACGGAAGCCGCACTGTTCGCGCTCCGACGTCAGTACCCACAGATCTATGCTTCCAAGGAGAAACTCCAACTGGATCTAACTCGGATTCAGATGAGCGCGCAAGACTTCCACAAAGCAATGAAGAAGATGGTGCCGGCTGCGCAGCGTTCTGTCGTCTCGCCTGGGAGGGCGCTGTCTGTCGTTATCCGACCGCTGTTGCAGAATCAGTTGAATGCCGTGCTGGAGCAGTTGCGTCGAGTCATGCCTGCTGCGGTCTGTCCAGGTGATAGGAAAACTACAACAGGTGAGTAGGAAACTGTATATTGTCCATGAAGGAAAACTGTTATTATATTTCTGACTAATGTGAGTATATTTTTGACAACTGTGAGTATATTTCTGACAACTGTGAATAAATTTCTGACAACTGTGAGTATATTTCTGACTACTGTGAGTATATTTTTGACAACTGTGAGTATATTTTTGACAACTGTGAGTATATTTCTGACAACTGTGAATAAATTTCTGACAACTGTGAGTATATTTCTGACTACTGTGAGTATATTTTTGACAACTGTGAGTATATTTTTGACAACTGTGAGTATATTTCTGACAACTGTGAATAAATTTCTGACAACTGTGAGTATATTTCTGACTACTGTGAGTATATTTCTGACAACTGTGAATAAATTTCTGACAACTGTGAGTATATTTCTGACCACTGTGAGTATATTTTTGACAACTGTGAGTTTATTTCTGACTACCGTGAGTATATTTCTGACTACTGTGAGAATATTTCTGACTACTGTGAGTATATTTCCGACTACCTTGAGTATATTTCTGACTACTGTGAGAATATTTCTGTCTACTGTGAGGATATTTCTTACTGCTGTGAGTATATTTCTGACTACTGCGAGTATATTTCTGACTACTGTGGGTATATTTCTGACTACTGTGAGTATATTTTTGACTACCGGGAGTATATTTCTGACTACTGTGAGTATAATTCTGACCATTGTGAGTATATCTGACTACCGTGAGTATATTTCTGACTACTGTGAGTATATTTCTGACTACTGTGACTATATTACTGACTAACGTGTCTATATTTCTGACTACTGCGAGTGTATTTCCGACTACTGTGAGTATATTTCCGACTACTGTGAGTATATTTCTGACCACTGTGAGTATATTTCTGATTACTGTGAGTATATTTCTGACTACTGTAAGTATATTTCTGACTACTGGGAGTATATTTCTGACTACTGTGAGTATATTTCTGACTACTGTGAGTATATTTCTTCTCAGGATCTGCATCAGACCAATCCAAGATGATTCTGGACATGATTGAGGATAATGATGACTATAGTGATGAGGACACTCCTTGCATCTTTGACAAGTCGTCAACACAGAGTAACGGCAGAAGAAAGAAGAGTGTCGGTGACCGAGAACAGTCGGTTCTGTCATTCATGAACTTTTCAAGGCAAGTTGTTTTGGTTAACTTGTTAGCACCTGCACTAAGTACTAATTAGCTGATACATCTGTAAATCCATACAGTCTGGGGTAGCTTCTGGTCGGTACAGTGAGTAACAGGCAGGGCAGTTTGGGGCGGTACCGGGGTTTAAAGAGTTGATCGGGGAAAGTGAATTTTTGTATGGTGAGACTAAATTTGGTTTAAACTCACATATCTCTTGCATATTCGACAATAAATATCCCTGTTAATTTGACGCACCTTGGATTGTTAGATATGCATTAACCCTTACTCTCTGAGGGTAGTTTACTGCATGTCAGTTGGTTATGCCAATGCCCTCCAGCTGCAGTTTTTTGGCAGATAACAAGTCTTAACAGTGAAGGCTCCAATTGGCAGGAGTTGGAGGCCCTGGAGGGTGCCTGATACTGACCAGCTGGGGGCACTCACTTTGTTATCAGAGGACTCTCATTGTTCTCTGTGGCATGTATTGGAGTGCCTGTCCAGTTACCCTTGAAATGACATGGCAGATATTGGAGGGCCATGCAAAAAACATAGGAGATTTTCTTGAGGCACATATTGGCATGCATTGGAGGGTCAAGTAGGGTAAGGGTTAAAGTAGATAAATGGAACTTTACAAATGTTTGTATTTTGTAATGAAAAGTAGTGAGTTTTAGGCAGTCTTGCAAAGATGTTCACAAACATCTTTATGATAGTTCAATTTGTTTTCTCACACAGTGCTGCCTACGAGAGACCCTCCACTCACAGGCCCCGCCTACTTCTAAGTGGTGCCAAAGGTCACGGTCAAAGTTCACATCTAGGTCCAGCTCTCCTGAACACCCTAGAAAAGATGCCAGTCCACCGATTAGATCTTCCCGCGCTGTATTCCGTCAGCGCCAGTACACCCGAGGAGTGCTGTGCTCAAGTAAGTAGAATGGCTGTTGTTCGGTTTTGACGGTTCACTCGTAAAACATCAACCCTAACTCCCTGGGCATTTTTGCTAGGATGCAACCTCAATCCTGTAAACTCCTCCAACTGCCTCCATGTACAAATAGTATACAGCCTCAATCCTCCAAAGTCATCTGTTATTTCTTGAATGTGGTTCTTGGAGGGGTGACCACTGCCTCAATCCTGCAAAACCCTCCTGCAATCACTGTCAATATAACCTTCCCAAATCCTCCAAAATCATCTTTGCAAAATGGAGCATTTTGCAGGATTGAGGCTATATGGCAAACATGTGTGGCTGATTTCGGAGGATGCACCGTGTCACGGTCTCAGGCCGGACCTTGTGTTGTTTGTGCTCAGCCGTGCATAAATTTAGGCCTAGATTATACTTGACATCCTCCACTCCAGGATGTCACTGGCTCTGCCTCAACATGTTGACAGTGATTGCTGGAGGATTTTGCAGGATTGAGGCAGTGGTCATCCCCCAAGGACCACATTCAAGAAACAATGGATGAGTTTGCAGGATTGAGGCTGTATGTAATTTATTTTCACATGGAGGCAGTTGCAGGATTTTGAAATGGTTAAGGAGTTAGGGTTAATTAATTGCTATTTCCTAATATCTTGACCATGGGCGTGATCCCTGGCTACATGGCATATACAAGTTTATGGCTTCCTGACTAGTACCCTTGTACAAAAAAACGCTGACAAAAATGGGGAACCGCCATCAAATGGCTGGATAGCTCACTTGGTAGAGCACCGGAACGGTAATCAGGAGGTTGTAGGTTCAAACCCGCTCCAGTCAATTTCTTTGTTCATCTTTACAATTATGAATGTTTTTATGCGACAGATTTTCCGTGAGGCGCGGCGTACAAGTCCCAGCATCATCTACATGCCTCACATCCATCACTGGTGGGAAACCATCACAGACACGACGAGGGCGACATTTCTAAGTCTTCTGCAGGACCTTCCGCCCAGCGCACCTGTGTTGATTCTAGCAACCAGCGAAAAGGCTCTCCACGAAGTAGCAGTGGAGGTATAAATCCTTTTTTGACACGCTTTAATTAACCGATCGTATTCAAGCATAAGAATTGAAGGTTTGCGTTGTGGAAAGAGCAATAAGTGTAAGTTTATGGTTGCATGCAACAAATCTCTTTTGTGAGTTTGTGAGGTTCTGAAAAGAACAAGGGGGAAACTCAACGTTTTGGACAGTATACTCTGCCTGTCGTCAGGAGACTGACAGACTCCAGTTGTGAATATTCAAGCAATAAATATTGACTTTCCATAAAAAACCAAATCTATAATTCAGTTGCAAAGTACTCATACAGTCCCTGAAGGAAATATTTTGGTCCACTGTTCAGTTGTTTACTCAAACCCTTCAGGGTATTTTGTCAGGAAACCCTGCACAAAACAAGAAATGCAACATTTGTCAAAGTTAGAAACATGCCGTGTGTAACAACATACAACAGGTTAAAAGATCCAAAGGCCAAAATGACTCACAGTTGGTGGTTGCCAACTGCAAATTGATCGAATACTGACATTGTTCAATTGGACGAGTCCCATTGTCTCAGATTTGGCTGTTTATGCACTGAGGTTGATAGCTCACTGCAGCTAGGTCCCACAGACTACTACAACACCTGTCGTACTGTGTTGCGTCTGGCAGGGTTAGGGATATTAAGTTTGAAATGACTTGACACACAGGTGCGAGAGCTGTTCAGTGATTACAGAGGTGAAGTCTACCGAGTACGACTTCCATCTCCCGAGGAGAGACACGCCTTCTTTGAGGATCTCATCCTCCATCAAGCTTGTAAGCCGCCTCCAAGGAAGAGAAAAACAGGTACGTTGCCATCCAAAGAATTGTATTTTTACTCCCTGATTTGCAAGCTCAAACAGAAATTGTGTCTGTTGTTCTTTAGCATCTGTAGAATACCGTGCAACTCTTCAGAAGGATATCTCGCACAGGGATTGCCTTTGCGGCAACAAGAGATGTACTAAATGTACGTTACGGGAAGCACAGTTCTTCATGGAGTAGCCAACAGAGTTCATTCGAATCCACAAATTATGAAACAAATGGTAACCAACCGCAGTTCTGTTCCTGTATCCATATTTCCCCTTGATTTGACCTTTATGTGACCTTATCGTCAAGTTCCATGTAAGCTTTAGTTTTGCCAACTGTCGTTACCATTCAAGAGCTGTATGTCCTTTCAAATCCTTCACAAGCTCCTCTTGCTCTTCGTAAAAAAAAATAGGCAAGTCCATGTTGGCTTTCGTAAAAACCATTGATAGCTACAGCATACCTTGCACCTGCGATTCCTTTTCTACTCGGACAAACCATCTGCATATGAAAAAGAAAAGGAAGAAACGTTTTCTAACAGCTTTTTGGCATTGTTCGCCCTCTTCTGCATTTGTCTCGTAGACATTTTGTTAACTCACTTACGTTTTTGGTTAATACAGCCACTGATAGCTTGGAGGTACTTCCTGTCGCGGCGCCCCCAGAGCCGCGCAAACTACAAGAAGAGGAGCTGAAGAAACTGGAAGAACGCGAGGAGTCAACGCTACGAGAGCTGAGGTTATTCCTACGAGATGTGCTGACACGTCTTGCTAATGAGAAGAAGTTCCGGCATTTCCTCAGACCTGTTGATCTTGAAGAGGTACGCAATCAACAAGTATTCGCTCAGAATAATAATGTGTGGTGTTTATATAGCACTTTCCTTCAAAGCTAGGTCTCAAAGCACTTCACAAGTATTACCCCGTTCAACAGGCCATGAGACCACTTTTCTTCAGCCGAGATCAGTGCAATCTGGTCTCTACCTTCACAGGTACCCATTCATACTCCTGGGTGGAGAGAAGCAATTGTAGTAAAGTGTCTTGCCCAAGGGCATAACCACCATGTTCCTTGTCAGGGTTCGAACCCACATACCATGGCACATGGTCGAATATAGAAACACATCGCTCTCCAAAAGTCAAGGGTCCTTTTTTTGTTAATTTTCCCTAAAGCAGTCACACCCTATTGGTATGTGCATAAATATTTAAAACATTGTTGACCCCTACGTCATATGTCAACCTAACAATCGACACGCTGGCCAGCATCGGACTTTACATGGCCCGCCATGTTGAGTCTGTGTTCGGACTACTCAGACACAGCCTAATGGAGCTGTTGTGTTGTGCATTTTGCAGGTACCTGACTACATGGTTGTCATCAAGAACCCCATGGACCTGTCGACAATGATGAACAAGATCAACTCGCATCATTACAACAGCGGACGAGACATGTTGGATGACATCGATCTGATCTGTCAGAATGCATTGGAGTATAATCCTGACCGAGATCCTGGTGGTAAGTACTACCCTGAGACAGTTTACCCATTCCTATTGGTCAAGAGCTTGTCACATGGGTAGTTTTAAACGGCTGATAAACACTGACTGGTTTTAAACACAATTCCTGCACCGCTGCGTTCTGCGCCACATCGCGCAGTATGCGCTGCACGCCACATCGCGCAGTATGCGCTGCACGCCAATCTCCATATAAGGAGATTTTTAGCACTATGCACACGAGGCACATACCATAGACATGTTTCACAAAACATGAAGTAAACTGTTGAACAAAATCGTTTGAAATTTGTGGAGTTTTGACTTGTTTTGCCTTCGGCTCGGGCCAATATTGGCGACCAAGCCCAAGTCGGTTTTAAACGTACTTGTTTAAAACCGGCCAAACACATATTTATATCCTTAGCATATCTCAGTACATGATAATACTTGTGTCAACACATCATCTAGAATATATATTTTTCAAATTTACATACTTGTCAAGACATGCATGACCAAAGTTAACAGTGTGTTTTGGTGTACTGGAGGGATTATTTAATTAATAAAGAGAGATTTTCACTTTTTTTGTGTTTTTCTAAGCGTCCACTCCATGTTGGCTTCAATATGGTTTCAGTATCATTATGTGGTGTTACTATTTCCCTTGTGTCAGACCGAGCGATCCGTAATTTTGCCTGTGAGTTGAAGGATACAGCGTACGCCATCATTGAAGCCGAGATGGACAAGGATTTTGAGAAGGAGTGTCTGGATATCAAAGAGTCACAGCGGAACAGAGGTAAGGCCAAACTTGGATATTAGAATGTAACTTTGTTTGACCAAACTGTAGCCATGAAGTTTGTAAGAAACTCACTCCAACATTGTTTTTGGGGCTTACATGTATTTTCATTTCAAAGTCTGCCTCAAAGTTTTGCAGGAACAAGCCACAATTCTGCTATGTGAAGCAATGTTAAGTTTGAGATGCTTTGTGGATGTCTTTCAGGTGAAAGCCCTGCCAAGACAGCTCCTCTGTATTACCGAGTTCTCCCTCCGAGCATGCTCCCCGCCAATCAACAACCTCCTAATCTCAAGCCAGTCAGGGAGCAGCCAGCCAACCTCAAGAGGAAGACCGACACCCCTCCAAAGATTCACACGCCTGTGAGCGGATTCAACGATCCGTTCTCTCAATCCACGTCCGTGAAGAGGAAAAGGCCGGCACGTCTGAAATCCAGATGGAACAGGGGGATTGTGTCAAAGGCGAAGAAGAAGAAGAAGGCGACCAACGTGGCAGACAGCTCGACGAAGGAAATTGCGGATGAGATCAAAGATGCAGCGGAACAGAAGAATGAAGATAATGTGGAAGAGAACGTGCCTAACGTGGATGTCGAAGCTGATAGTAATACAGAACAGAATAGCAAAATCCGTGAGGATGAAACTGGCGACAACCAAGTTAAAGCAGACTCCGTCCCTTCTCACTTGCAAGAAAACGGACCGATTGAGAACGGGATCGAATCGGACACCTTGCCCGATGAGGACCCCAAAGTTAGTCAGCACTCCCAGTTACCCACTGATAGATTCTGTAGCGACAACGAAAGTATAAAGAGCGGAGAGGCGTACCGGGATACCAGACCCACTCGCGGGATACCGGGATACCAGACCCGCTCTAGACTCCGTTCCAGCGCCAGCTCACATTCCGATCACAATCCTGCTTCCCCGAAGTCTACCTCATCAGCACCTGCAATGAACGGAAGTGAACAGTCCACACATGCGTCCCACAGAGAACCCGGCATCGATAAAATAGATGATCGGGAACAAAGCGCGGAGACTTCCAGATCAGAAATAACCAGTGAAGACCAAAATACCTCGGGACTCGTCCTCAGACAGACAAGTAATTCCACACCGACTGCAGAAGTGGAGATGATAGCAACGACAACGTCCCATGCAGATGTTGCGGGGGCGGGGACCAATGATAAAGAGGAGGCGGTGGAAGGTAAGGGTGACACGCTTTGTCTTTTAGCCGGTCCCAGAGGGCCACTTTAGCATCCCCTTAGTGCCTATCATGACTGGCTGAGGACTTTCACTTGCAAACCGGGCAGTGCTATCATATAGGATTACCCAAATTATAGTAAAGCCAATGAATGAGATAAAACCCATTGTTTAGACCAGGGCCAAATTTCATGGTTCATTGCGCATAAGCCAAAATTCCTCGCTTAAGCATGTCATATGCTTACCCAAAGCATGGACATTTCTGCTATATTAAGCAGGGATTTTTTGCTTACTGTAAGGAGAGCCAAGAAATTGGGTCCTGATGCATGAAAGCATTCCAGCAGACGGCTAATATGAATCCTTTGAATAGAATTGCGTGCGATCTTGGACGAGCTTCAGTAAGCCTGCATTATGTTGCAAAGTCTTCTTACATTTCGTTTCACTTTTAAAAAAATTATTTTAGGAAAAAAAGATTTGGTGTTAGGAGAAAGTGAAGATTTGTGCATTTATTGCATTGACTATAGAGTACCGAAGTGTGACGTCATTTAGAACCAGAAAGTGTTGTGCAAATGAATGGAGTTTGGCACGTGTTGGTTCACGGGCTGAATCACCCGCTAATGTCTTTTACACACATTTTGTGCGCATGATGTATTCACTTCAGTACTCTATACGTTACAAATGTTATGTTGGACTTCTAGTTTTAGGATCACCAGCTCCACGTAGAATGACTAGAAGAATGTGGGCAGACATGACGACACCCAAGGTCGTAGAAAAACCGGAGGAAGTCACACCAGTACTTGTTGTAGATCACAAAAAATTGGAGGTAAACAAATCTAAATTATTATTATTATTAATTATTTCTGGTAATGAAAGCAAGGATTCCTCAAAAGCTCCCTAGGCACTGTAGCTCGCAAGCCTGAAGAAACCTGTAGAGAGAAGACAATGAGAAGAAATTACAGTTAGAGGTGGGAGGAAAACCCCAGAAGAATATTCTAGGGAAAACCTACGGAATCAGATAGGGACTGAAAATCCAATCCACATGTGGACCAGATCAGGAATCGAACTGGAGTCACAGCAGTAGAAGGCGATGAAAGAACCGCTACGCCAGCCTGACTGCATAGTGTTTGGTGGTAAATGTTCTCAAGATTGACAGATTTGAAATTGTTCTGGAACATTTAACTCCCGAAGCCTGTTCTGTTGGTGTTTTCTTTAGCATGTGGGTTGGACATGATGTAGTTAAAGTATATTGGAGGATGCTCTGGCTCATCAGCCAAAGAGAGCTTTGATTTTAGCCAAGTGTTTTGCTGTTTCGCAAGTTAAAGTCTGTCACGAGCCAATATGGCCCATCAGGCCGGCGTTTATCTCCAGTTTCAGTGGTATAAAACAACTGAGAATATTTCTATTCCCCTGGATGGGATGCTAGTCCATCGCAGGTTACTCCCCAGCTAATGCCGGTACCAATTTATACTCCTGGGTGGAGAGAGGCAAGTGCGGGTTAAGTGGCTTGCCCAAGGACACAACATATGGCCAGCAGCTGGATTCACACCCCTGACCCTCTGATCATGAGTCACAACCCTCACCACTAGGCCCCACGATTTGCTTTTTAGACAAGTGGGTAAACATTTTTGACATGTTCCCAAAGTTGGTTGATTATGCATCTTTTTGCTGTCTGTGTTAGGCCCTTCTTACCACCGTTGTTCAAAGGACTAGTGGTAGTAACGTAGAAGCCTTGGAGAGACTTCACTGTAGCTTGAGTCAGTGTATCTATTCTCATCGGATGGAGTACGACAAAACTCAACTACTGACAGTAAGTATCGTCAGTATTTCATTTTACACTCCTGTAAATGAAGAATTCTTTTAGGTAAATGCGTTATGCCTAGTTTCGAATTGGGACTTACTACCTTTGGTACTTTGCTGCAGACAAGTTTGTTGCAGAAACATTGTTTTATGGATAATCATACCCAACTGTTATTTATGAAAGATATTTTGAACATTCGATGAGTTCAAAATTATCTTTTGTGTCTCTAAATTTGCCTGGAAAATTGTATGCCTTTTTCTGGCGGTTGCCATTTTGGCATGTACAGGGGTGTGAAATCTCCGCTATTTAGCGGATTTCCGCTTTTTTGTTCAGCGTGCCACATTTTGTTTTCCGCTTTTTTTCTTCCGATGATCCAGATTTCCCCCCGCTTTTTCCCCCGCGCGTAAGCATTGATTTTATTTCCGTTTATTCTATTTTCCGCCGAACGCACGCGATCCGCTCTCTACCACATACACGTAGCTCAGAGATGGGGTGCGTGCAAGCGAGTATTCAATGTACTGTACATGTACATGTACATTTACATATGTATGTGTACTATACGATGCCATGTGCATGCATTTTGCAGCTCGAAGCCGCGTGTGTACACAACGTGTAAACAGCATCCGGGGAACCAACAGTCATTGCGCTGTGATTGGCTGCAGATAAATATGTATATTCACACATGCGCCATGAAGCGCGTTGGGACTCTTTGCGGCCGTTCCTGTGTCTATGCATGTAGTGACACGCGATGATCTCCACAATAACTCTCTGTAAACATCGTCTTGTTGCAAATATAAAGCCTTGAAATAAGACTAGTAAATTGTCGCCGTGCCGCGCCGGTAGAGGGCTAGGGCATCATGCGGGGCAAAGTTCATGTGTGCATTTCATTGCATGCACGCATCGGCCTGCTGCGTATCCGCTGCATGCTGATACGTACGTTAGTGTGTCGTTTCAAATGTTTCAAATATTTTGACATTAATTCCGCAAGATGTCAGTGCAACACAAATGTGTTATTATCCCAAGAGGTTTGGAGTTTGATTCGGACATTGACAAGACCGATCCTCAGGTTACGAATCCGTGGAAATGGATTTGGATGGAACACATGGTTAATGGGCAGAAATTAGGCGACTCGATCAGAAGCCGGGACACGCGATGACGATGTGTATCAAGTCATCTGCAGTAAGGAGTTAAAATATGGAAAACGTGGTTGAATTTCCCAGTTTTCATATACAAGTTGGCCATTTAGGCAGTTTCAAGCCAATATGAAGGAAAAGTTAACTTAAAAACATGCATAAATTGCAAAACATTTTCGACCAATAGTTGGCCCAGGCATGCCAGGGGGCTTTAAAATGCACCACAGAGCATCTACATTTCAAATTTTTTTCCGGGCCCTTGGGCGGGCCCCGAACCCCACGCCGTAAGGGCTTCGCGCTCGCAGGTTCAGTTATTTACAGGTTCAGCTATTTTCAGCTTTTTTTTGGGACTCCACTCACACCCCTGCATGTATTCGAAGTTTAAACATTTGGTAGAGTGCCGGAACAGCAATCCGGAGGTCGCAGGTTCAAACCTCGCTCCAGTCAATTTCTGTGTTGAACTATACACAAATATTATAATGCACCTAGTCAGTATCCCTATGTGGTTTATTTGTAAGTTTAAAATTAAAATAAATGTATCCAAAGACTGTTTAATGAGAGAGTGGCTCTATTTTGGGGAGGTGTAATACAAGTAAAAATCTGTAATATTGGGTGGTGCTGTGGTCCAATGGTTACGGTGTTTGACTCGTGTACCGTGGTACATGGGTTTGAACACTGACGGGGAACATGGTGCTTGTGCTCTTGGGCAAGACACTTTACTAAGATTGCCTCTCTCCACCCAGGAGTATAAATGGGTACCTGTGAGGGTAGAGACCATATTGCACAGATCTTGAGCTGCTGCAGGGTCTCATTCCTGATGAAAAGGGATTATAGGCCATCAGCTTTGGGGTTTGGTCAGTGTCAAATCAGGACATAAATGATTATAGTGCGCATGCGCAAGGTATACCGCCCCTAGAGTGGTAACAAGCATTTTGATGGACATTTTGAGAAAAAGGGTGATAACACACAAAAAGCTGCCACCGCTGCAATGCTATCACATATTTTCCAACTCTGGAGGTGTGTACCTTGCCAAAAATCGCTATGACGATTATTCCCCTCATTTGATACCGGTGGCCAAAATTTTGGACCGAGGCTGATGGCCTATTATAATTGTGATGGGCATGTGATCATATTTGTATGGAATTTGCACAATATAAATGTATTAATTATTAAAGTATTAATATTTTGTCCAATTTCTTTGCAGGATATGGAGAATGAGGTCTTATGCTTCGTGAGGATGTAACAGACAAACAGCCACGTGAGATTTTGAATTGTTCTGATTATACACACAAAGTTTTTGCAATTACAATTACTTACATGCCCAAGATGTTCTTGAAGTAAACCATACACAAGGCACAGGAATTATCGATTGAACGTTGGAGGATTATAGAACTCCATGACGTTTGACCAAATCACAACTTTACCAACCATATTTCCGACAAAAATCTGACGTGCATGCACATGGCATGCTAAAACCGGACTATTCCATTTGAAGTCAGAGGAATGAACGTACGGGATAACCCTACCTCAATACAGCTGCAAGCTTGCTGGCAAGATGGTGAGTCTCAGGGAAGACATCCTTGCAATTTTGTGGTACTGTTTTGTTATTTAAGAAATTTTAGAAGCATTTTCCATTATTATCACATTATTACCGATAAGACAACTGAGCTGTGGTGCATGAGATGATTGCACACACTAAATGCCGTGACGTGAATTCGGCGTTGAGAAAAATTTGCTGCGAAATTCGACGGAGTTAAAATATGTTTAACTTTTGTGAATTCACAGCGCGGAAACTTGGTATGACATAAAATTCATTTGTGTTCGCGTTCACTTTCGCACTGGGTATGAGCAGCCTTAGGCTTATCTTATGTACTCATTTCAAACTGGTGTTGCATAGGCGCACAAAACCAAATACGGTAACGGTATGCCTTGCCTACCCGTGTTCATTGAGACCCGTTCTGCTTACGGTGGACCCGTTTTGAATTGAACACGTGTAGTTGAGGCGATAGTGCGGAACGGCCTGTGGTTGCCTACAGTTCAAGTCATTAACCCTCCTATACAAACATACATTCTGTGCAGAGTTGTCCTTTCAGTCAAAATCAATCAAGTGACTGTTTTTAACAGTTAAGAGCTCCCAGCCTAAATAAAGCAGGATTGACTGCCTGTGACTGTTTATGTAACTTGATACAGCTATGCTTTGACTAGTACTGTAGGTGATTGATAAGACAGCTGCTTTTGTCTGTTGACTGAAGTTGACTAGTCACAGTGCTTGCTTGAAAAATGATCTGACTGTTGGTGACTGGCCTGTGTGAATGGCATGGCAGGAAAAGAGGATTGATTTTTTGACTGTCTGTGACTGTTCAGACAGCAGGAGGGTAAATATTTGGCAATGTATTATATACTATCTACTTTACAAAATAATTACCATAATTAACAGTTTCTATATGCAACAGACATACAGAAAAAGATGCCAAACCTCTTAATCTGACCTCATAGGTTTTGTAATGTGTGGCAAATCAGGTTATCAGTGGTAAAAACAATCATTCTCAAGTACTAATTAGTTTTTGAAAAAAATATTGACTGCATATTTCCTCGGTCACTCAGTTGGCCTAATTACTTTTCTGTGCAGTAGAGAAATACGGGCAAATAAGTTCCTCGTGTAGATTCTGAAAAGTTTAAACTTCCATTAAAATGTTTTACCTGGAAATATTTTGACACTTTTCAAACCTTCAGGGTAATAAGAAGTTCACGGGTGGGAAATGAGGGTTATGTTAAAATTATCTTAACTTGGATTTTTTTCCCCTAATTTCTAACGTGACTAATGTGTTTGAGCAAGAATTACATGCATTTGAAGGATTCGACAAATTTATATTATGATAAAATCAGGTTCCATTTTAAACTTTTTGTTGATTTAGTATGAATACACTGTCGTAAAAAGATTGAAAATCAAATATTGCAAGGCCTTTGGAAGACACATTCCCCAGCTGATTTTACGTGTTTTTTGGAAAGTATTAATATGGATCTAATCCTGACTGGTGTCGAAGAGTAATGAATATTGAATTCATTCGTTTGTGAAAATGTGATGTTGCCGTAGAAAGGCATCATTGAAAACCGATGAATTGCTCATAAAGTCTTGCAATGAGCTCATGCTGCAGTTGAATTTGAACCCTTTAGCCCTTGAATCGCCCCAAACCGCCCTGCCTGTTACTCCTGGTACTGTCCCAAACTGCCCCAGCACTCTATGGTTTTATGGAGGAGTAAATACAATGTTATACAATGTAATACAATGTAGTACAATGTAATACAATGTAATACAATGAAGTACAATGTAATACAATGTAATACAATGTAGTACAATGTAATACAATGAAGTACAATGTAATACAATGTAATACAATGAAGTACAATGTAATACAATGTAGTACAATGTAATACAATGTAATACAATGTAATACAAGTGCTAAAGGGTTCAATTGTGTATATAGTGTGTGATATAATATTTCTTTTTAATGGATCATTACTTGATAACTCAAGACTCACCACATTCAGGCAACTTGAAAATGAAACCTGCAATTACAGACAGAGTGCAACTTTGGGTAGCGCAAAGTTACCCCCCCCCTCCCCTGCCCCAACACTCTATGGTTTTATGGATTCAAGGAGGAGTAAATACAATGTTGTACAATGTAATACAATGTAATACAATGTTATACAATGTAGTACAATTAAATCAAGACTCGCCACATTCAGGCAACTTTAAAGCTATAGTCCATCATTTGCAGCTATCCGAAAAGTAACTGGCGTACTTATTGTTGAAAAACATTCTTGGTTGAAAGATAGTAAGGGGACTAAACTCCCTGTGAAATTATTCATTCTGGCAAGCTGTCATTTTGAAGTAATCAACGAAAGAAGGCCTTTCCAACGGTGCGTCTTAAGACGCACTGTAAGAAATTTCCGTTAGTAGTTCGGTTTTTTTTTATTCAGCGAAGCGCGCGCAAGTGTTGACACGACGCACACGCGTGCGCGGTTGCTATAATTCGTCGAATCAGTGCGCGACATCGCGTAGCTGCAATCGGCTCAGTGAGAATGTGTCTCGCACGCTGAATTCAGGCCCAATTCAAAACATGATTCAGCAACTTTTTATTTGAAATTGAGATCTTAGAATGCCGTTTTTCTCGGAATATACAGCTGAAGCTGAGCTGAAACTTCATCAGGTTAGTTGTTCAGTACCCTTCTTTAGATTTTGAGCACTTCCGTTGCTTCAAATGAACAAAATGCACAAATTACAAATGATGGACTATATCGTTAAATTGAAACCTGTAATTACAGACAGAGTGCAACTTGGGAAAGCGCAAGGTTTAACCATCCCCCTCAAGCCAACGGCAGTGTTCAAAGTTACCAAATAATTTTATTTCAGTTGTTGGGCAAGTATTTTATGTAAAGTGAAACTTTACTCCGATCATTGGCAAGCATGCCTCAAATATTTTGTGTTCTGGAAATTTCGTGGAGCATGGTTATGTAAAAGTTAAACGAGAAAGATATTTGTTTCAGAGTTGAAATCGAGTCGATCACAAGCCAACTTACAAGTCACTTCAGGAGTCAGGTCATAATTAATAGGAAACGTACATACAATGACAAAGGAATGCTTTTGTCACGGTGAATTTGAATAGTTTGTGAATAGAGATTGGAGGACTTGTGATGACTTGTGATGACTTGTGACTCGCTGGATTACGACTTTGATTTGTTTGGAGTTCACTTTTAACTGTTAGTTCCCAGATAATTTGCTAAAAGTACATATTGGCAAGGATTCTTGCTGCGACTGGCCAGTACCAGTATGGCAAAGTTTGTTTGGTAAAAGTTTTTAACTTGCACATAATTGGGAGTTAATATATTAGTAATTTATGAGAACCGAAGAGGTTCTATCTTGGAAAAATAATAATATATTGATGAAAACAAAAGAATCTTGTTAATTTTACTTCCTTAGGGTGGGGTGGGTTTCTTTAACAAGGAATTGAAAATGTTATACAGAAGTTAACTAACCGATGTTGGTCATCTGTCCGTAGTCTTTGGAAGGGAAGACAATTTAGTGTATAACCTGAAAAGTGTGGTAATATTTTCATGAGTATTTAAATTTAGTCAAAATTGCATCAAAGTTCATCAAAAGGAAGGGAAATTTGATTTTTTTTTTTGTAAGCCATCCAGGGTAACCACTGTAAATCCCTCTTTACACTGATTGCATATGGGTCATTCCACCGGGTCGGGAAGCAGTGCATGTTACATTTATATATTTGGTTATATTATTAAAAGTATCAATGCGTTCTAAACAATTGCTCAACATAATATTTGTCTTAAGGTGTTTCTATACTTGAGAAAGTTTGAAATCATTTGAAAGTACTTTGACAAAAATATGAGCAAAAATGTATTAATTCGGATGTAACATTGACACCGTTACAATGTTACATCCAAATATTCTTTTTTGCCATTTTTTACACGAATGTAAAATATTACCAAAACTGACATTGCATATTTACAACTGGACACCTAAGCACCAAGAAAAGCTTTTGTTTTGGTATAGTCAGGGTTCAAATATAGCAGAAACAATACCTCAAGTGTGGATGTAACGGTGTAAAAATCACTCAATGGAAGTGTGACATTGGGTTTTACACCGTGTCAATGTTACGTCCACACAACCAAGCTATCATTTCTGCTCCATTTGATACCTGACTACCATAACAAAAGCTTTTCTTATTGTGTTGCATGTTAAGTAAGAAGTACGCAAAGTGAATTTGGGTGATGTTTCGCAGAAATTTAAAAAAAAGGTACAAATGTCACATTTGGACGTAACACTGACACGGTGTCAATGTTACATCCAAAATGACATTTTTTACTCATATTTTTGGCAAAATACATTGAAATCATTTCAAACTTTCTGCAGTCGTGAAACACCCAACAACAAATATTATGTAGAGTAACTGCTAGCAAGGCATTCATGCTTTTCTTAATATGGTCATATGTCACACATTGTTCCCCAACCCGGTGGAATGACCCATATAGCATCCATTTTGGAGGTGCGTTTTGATATGTTAATTCATTAACAATGAATGCACAACAGGTCTACCCCTGCGTACCCCTGTTGAACAAAAGCACACACCTCAAACATGGCTGCAGTGCAAACTGTCTATTGTTGATGAAGTAAGTTACGTGTTCCTTTATGTGTTGAAGTTCTGTGGATTACGAACAGAAAACTCAAGGTGCTTGTAAGATAATGTTTGTCTTTTTTGCAATTTTTCGAATGTGAATTTTGCAGGGCGTACAATGTCTTTGTTTAAGGTGAAAAATGTAATTTGCAAGTATGTAATGCACTGCCTCCAAAAAGGCTTTAATGTTGTCTTGTTGGTGTAAAAATTATTGTTTGACATTACTTACATGTTATGACAAGTCAGTGGATATTATTTACAAATCTTGTATTATCAGTTCTAACTACAATGTGACATTCATGATTATGTTTGTAAGATTGACCAAATTTATTATTTGTTTACTTTTTCTGTAACAAATGGATGTATGGGAAAGTATGG